CCCCCACGCTATACCTCCGGGCCACCTTTCACTCAGACACCCGCCCTCTGTCTGCGCGGCGCCAATTAAGCCATGGTCGCATCTCCGGCGGTACCTGAGTATGCGCGTACAGCTGGCGTGCTGTCAACATGTGGACTGACCCCACCACAGAATCTACGAGGATGAGCTGCACTCTGCGATTGAGGCGCGCTCAGAGTCCCTGCAGACGCTGCGCGAATTAGGCCCGCCAGATCTCGTCCACCTCATCAAGCAGCCCATCAAGTCGACAACGAAGCAGACTGGCGTATACCACCATGTCAGCGGCATTGACGCCTCGTCCTCTGCCAGCTTGGCGGCATACATCAACACGCTTACGTACTCGCCCCACGACAAGCAGAACAAGGTGGTGTCAGGGTTATACTGGTATGCCAACATGGGCCAAGGGGCACAGCACTCGCTGACAGCAGGACAGCTGCTACAATGCCTTCTCGCGCCTGGACATGCGCGTGCAGGTCTACATCCCCGGTACTGTGGAGAGCTACTGCATCGACGAGCGGGGCGACAAGCGGGTAGCCACCGACGAGCTATGGCTGGAAACGTACCTGTGCAGCGTCCTGCGCGCATACTCATACGCCGACGACGGCTCCGGCGACACTATCAAGAAGATTATTGGCGTACGGCGCTTCAATCCTGTTACGAGCACGGAGAGCGAGCACAAGTTTCTGGATGCAGCAGAGCGCTTGTTCTTCAGCGGTAAGGAAGCGTCCAACGACTCGAACAACGCCAGGCTGATTCTGTATAGGTTGGCAATTAGGGTCAGACCCTGAGATCCAAGTCCCCAACCTCGTCTCGAACCACCTTACCACCGGGCTGCTCAGCTACATCCACACCACAGGAAGATATGCATCCGGTATCAATCTGTTCGAGAAACTGCGCACGCGCGACCCTGAGATCTCGTCGCTACTCGCACGTGTATACATGCAGGCAGACGAGGAGGTCAAGGCGGTACAGCTGCTGCATGAGGTCATCCAGGAGCTACCCATGGACTACTCCTTACTCGACTGCCAGGCCGAGTTCTGCAACAGCAAGGGTCGCGGGGACCTAGCGCTCGAGATTGCGAAGAGAAGCGTGGTGTCTGCACCTAGCGAGTTCGGCACATGGGCTAGGTTGGCGGAGATCTATGTCAGCCTCGAGCAGTGGGATCTGGCTCTCCTGACTCTCAACTCGTGTCCCATGTTCACATACCAGGACAAGGATGCACCACGGATGCCGGAGCCCCAGAGAGTGTTCCTGCCGATTATGCCGGAAGCCATGTGCGACGAGATCGAAGACAGCAACCTTGACGATATGGAGATGGTCCACCCGACATTGCGCAAGCTCCACGCAGCTGGCTTCAAGGGCACCTTCCTGAAGGCATACATCATTCTAACAGAAATCACAAAGAAGATTGGCTGGGATCAATTGCTGAAGATACGATCCCAAGTCTTCGTCATGGAGGAAGAATACCGCCACGAGAAGCAAAACGTTCCCGTTTCACATTCGCGTAGTGCCAGCACCACAGCACTCCGCTCACCCTCGCCATCAGTTCAAGCATCCCCCAACCCCCAGGTCAACGGCAATGGCGAAGACAACGACATGTCCGGAGCAAATGGAGAATCGTCTGCAGAAGCAGCCGTACAAGACTCATTACAAGAGCCCGGCCACACCGTCGCCGCCGAAGTCGTCAAAGCAGGCAGCGAAGAGCCACACCCAACCAACAACGACAGTCCCTCGCAACCAAACTACACACAATTCCAGAACAAGCGCCTCTGCGAACGCTGGCTCGATAACCTTTTCATGGTTCTTTACGAAGATCTGCGCGTATACACCATCTGGCGCACCGAAATGGCGCAATACAGACAACAGCAACTCTTATACAAGAAGAGCGCTGAGGAGTGGGAGATCCTTGGTGAGCTGGCGGAACGACTGCATCACATCGACGAGGCGGTTGAAGCGTACGAGAACTGTCTGCAGATCAAGTTCTCGCCGAAGGCGATGAGGGGTGTGTTGAAATTGGGTGAAGAGAAGAGGAATACGAGAGATGTTTGCGCGGCGTTGATCAGGCTTGTCACATGGCAATATCGATGGTACTCTGAGGTATGTCCAATCCTTCTCGAATCCCTAGCCCCCTTGCACTCCTCCAACACATGGACAATGGAGACTAACAACACATCAGTTCTCACCCTCACTGCTCTACACGATCCGCAAACTCATCGAAGAAGAAGGCGCGGTCAAGATCAGGAGTATCATCCAGGGCACCAGCTTACCGCAGCACGTTCTCGATCTCACACATCAGTATGCGGCGCTGTGCGCAGCGTTTAGGAGCAGCGGGAGCGATGGCTAGAAGCTGTTGAGGAGCCCTACGAAGTTGTGGCTGGAGGCAAGGAGCAAGTGCTGAGGTCTGAAGACGTGAGGCAAGAGAGGAGGTGTTATCATTTGCTGCATTGATAGCGGTGGTGTTATGGAAGGGTTTAGCTACGCAACGTTAGAAGCAAGAATGTTGAAAGCACACCGTTTGTTCCAACTGCTCTACCAGCGCGCTTGTGTGCTTGCTACGTCTTATCGCTGAGAGGGCTGTATGCGGTTGGCACCACCAACTGAACCTCTGCATCTCAGGCTCTCACACGCTCGACCTGACACATCTAGCACACAAGCTTGTAAACAACGGATTGACGTAACATGGCTGCAATGAGAGCTTGCGGTGCGCTGTGATGTAATTTTGCGTTGCTTTGATCTTGGAAAGCCGTTTGCTGAAGATCGACGGAGAAGGGGGAGCACTTGCATTGAATAAGTGAACCTTAACGTGCGAAATTATTGTCACATCGACATGTTCCATTCCAGCTTCCGTACGGCCTTTGTCGTCAGAAGGGACATGCAGTAGCCGTGCATGTGAGGGCTTCTTGTGCTCTTGCAACGCTTTTTCATCGGCCCTGGAAAGGTACTGCGTCTTGACACTTTTGGCTTCAACAGTCTGTACTCGCATTTTGTCTTTGTCTGGGGTGTGATCAAGTCAGCTAGCCATCCTGCGTTAGGCGTCACGACGATTGCCATGCTCATCGAAGGGTACAGTAATGAATGTGGTGGAAATTGACATGTTATTGCTATAGGATGTTACGGTGCTAGGAGGTTGTTTTACTGCCCGCGTGATGCCTATTGTGTTCATCGCTACAAACGATGTTACTGTTGAGACTGTCATTGGTCGTTGTTTCAAAGTCATGGGCAGCACAGCTTTTGGCTACTATCTCGACTGAAAGGCTCCTTTGTTAGCCGCCTACAAGACATAGCGTTTCTTCAGTATCAATACGCAAGGGTCTCAGGTAACAGGGAGTCAATTGGGCAGCGCATGTGAGACGTGTTGAGAATGAGCAAAACGATGAAAGAAAACTGGCAGCACTTCTGCAGAACCTGTTAGCAGGCACCGGTGGACGCGGTGAAATGGGTATATATTTGCACACGTGCTGTCCATCATCCGCAGCGTGTTTTGCAACCGTTTGATTCGTTTTATCGTCACAAGGACTGAGTTCCGCTCAGACGCCTTAACATAACCTGTCGGGCCTTTATAAGAGCCCAACCATTCTGAAAGCCCATGAACACCACTCCATGCTCCTCGATACCAATTCCGTTTTTGCCGCCAAGCAACCTCCGCATATCGTGGGGAGGAATCGCTTAACGGTAGGACTTCTGGTACCTGGCGCGGGCACCGGGACCACCGAACTTCTTGGGCTCGCACCGCCTGTAGTCGGCAACGAGGAGTGTGCGGTCGTACTGGACGAGGGCCTGCTTGAGCTGGTTCTTGGAGTGCTCGTCGACGAACTTCTGGTAGTAGGCGACGATGGCCTTGGCGATGGCCTGGCGGATGGCGTAGATCTGCGAGGTGTGACCACCACCGGTAACGCGGACGCGGATGTCGACATCAGCTGTGAGCTGTTAGTTCTGTATTGTTTCCACATCTCACTGCGCAAGCGCCGGTATTTCTGGGCGACGCGCTCGTATGTGCTTGGTTTGGGATACATACCAAACTTGTCGAGGCCGAGGATCAGGACGGGCTCGTAGACCTTGAAGCGAAGGATCTCGGGCTGGACAAGGGAAAGAGGCTTTCCGTTGACCTTGATGAGACCCTTACCAGCCTGTGCATTTCTTCGTAAGTATGCTGTCTCGAATGCGCGCGCGCTCGCAGCGGTTCGGGCGTACCTTGCAGTGGGCGACAGCAGTCGCGGTCTTCTTCTTGCCGAAGCATTGCACGGATTGAGAGGCCATTGTGGGCGACTGTGGTTAGTACGTGCGAGGTCGTGGGAGGTGCGGGCGGTTGACGTTCACGAGAATCTCGAAGTTGTGCGAACGCAAAACCCAACTGGAAGCGAATTCGAGTGTGGGGGCCCGTGCGCTGCGCTTGACCGCAAACTCCACTAGCTCAGGACTCCACGCTTCGAACTTCCGGCGAACAGCACTTGGCATTGCAACAACTGTTCAGCCAACATGCCGCACGACCTCTACGTCTTCGGTAGCAATGGAGAAGGCCAACTCGGTGAAGGCATTCCTGTCGCAGATATTGTCAGCAAACCGACAAGGCTCCCACGGATAGTTGCCTCACGGGACCTCTTTGGGGATGTGAAAGAGATCACGTGTGGCGACAATCACACGCTGTTTCTTTTTACCGATAGTTCGCTTGCAGGTGTCGGACAGAACAATGTCGGCCAGATGCTCCCAGATTGTGAAGGACCGATCCGCCTTACCCGTCTTGAGCAATTGCATGAGAACGTTCACTTTTGTGCAGCTACCTGCGAATCCTCGGCTGTCATCAACACCATGTCTAGTGTGCGTAGCGCCATCCTTACCAAAGGACGCGGGCAATGGGGAGAACTCGGTCGAGGAGAGGAGTGGAATATGAGTGAATACAATTTCTCCGATCCGCATTACCTCAAGGAACGTTTGCCTGGAGTTACGATCGATTTCGCTGCTGGGGTGTGGCACTACGTTGCTATCCAGGACGACGGCTCCGTATATGGCTGGGGCAAAGCTCGTCTCGGTCAGCTGGGCGAGAAGCTATCCGACAAAGTCACAACGCCGACCAAGATCGAGGATGTACCTTTCAGGCCGTTGAGAGTAGTTTGTGGCAAGGACTTCACCTACCTAGTCAGTGACCCTTCCACAGGTGAGCATAAAGTCCTTGGCAAGGACAAGTTCAACATCGTTTCGGCCATGCCACCCGACGTGAAAGGCTACAAGGATATTGGAGCAACGTGGCACGCCATCTTCGTCCTCTTCAACGACGGACGACTGGCTGCCTGGGGCAAAGAAAATCAGTGGAAGCTCTTACCCCCAGGCTTGCCACCTATCGATAAAATCGCCGTTGGCACCGACCACATCCTAACAGTCACCAAGGAAGGCAAGCTCATATCATGGGGTTGGGCCAAGCATGGCAACTGTGGTGATCTGTCCAATGTGCAGCAAGAGATTAAGAATGACATGGTCAATGGTTTCTGGAACGAGATTGACATACCCGGCAAGATCACCAAGGTTGCAGCCGGCTACTGCACAAGCTTCGTTATCACGGAAGTAGAGGAAAACGAGCCCAGCCCCAAGAAGACGAAAGCGGAGAAATGAATAGTAGACATCATCCACCGCTTACAGCACCCGGAGCTTAATCGAACGTCAGTCCGGCTGGGTACCGATTCCTGTCCCGCGCGTTCGTAACCTTCCCATCAGCCTCCCACTCGACCTTATACCGCCACCATTTGTTATAATTCCACACTTCCCAGCGCAGCAAGAAATGAGCAAGTTCACGCCCCACATACAACGCAAACTCCTCATCATCCGGCTCAACATCCCAGTCTGTGCCCTCAGCCTCGAATTGCTCAAACAGCACGCGCTCTTTCCCAACTGGAGTAGTGCCCTGCGATACTGATGCCCATGTCTCAGACCAAGCCCTGTCGCCGTCAATGGTCGAGCGAACGAGGAAGCCCCACTGGTACATGGTCCCAAAATTGTAGTAGTTCCCAACAAAAACCTCATTCCGCTCGCGCCGGATCATAACGCAGTTCCCCAGACGTCGCCACTCGAACACCTCCACTTCAGGGTTCAGAAACGCTTCCAGACACTCGGGGCTCGTGTACGCCAGCACCGTGGCCACCGCGTCGCAAAGCCGCGGGCGCGCGGTTTTGATGACGGGGTCAGTGGTGGAGGTGTAGGCTTTGGCGTCCAGGACGTGCATATGTCGTGCTGGTGCGTGAGCGGGGAGTACGGTGTAGTCGCGAGAGCGCAACGGGGCGATGATGGAGTCGTGGGCGTCCCGGCCCCAGGGGTTGCCGCAGTCCATGTCTTCGAGCTCAAGGATTGTCTGTTGCTGCTCGTCTGTGGTACGAGTGCTATCACCCATCGACGTTTCTACAGCCTCGGCGATCTGCTCTGCAACGCTCAGTTGCGGCCCTTCAGGCTTGATGAAAGTGTTCCGCTTCGTCGTCGCGTTCCGTCGAACGGTGTTCAATTCCTCCCGTGCCTGCACGGGTGTTGGCCACCGATCGAACTCATCATCCTCAGCTTCCCACACACTCTTTGGTGGTAGGAAACCACGCGGCAGGCTATCTGGCGATACGGTCATCGAAAATCGATTCGGGCTCAACTTCCGGACCCAGGGCAGATGCGTGTCTTCTGATCCAAAGAGATGGCGAGGGTCGCTTTGTGGAGATAGCAGTGGGGATCGTATGCGCTTGGGGTTGTTGATATTCACAGCTCGTGGGAGCGTAGATGTAAGTGTGGGTTTGGGAAGAGGTGAATTGCTGAGGGAGTTGTCGTTTGTCGGTGAGTGGCCTAGTGACCCGAGCTGGTTTGCAAGGTCGTCTTCGTCAAGCTGACGAGGGTTTGGAGTCGAGTCTGAATGGCGCTGTACTTCAAAGACATCAACTTCACCTTCGGGACTTCGACTCTGTTGCTGCGCCGACGTTGATTTCGAGTCTTTGTCTCGAGATGTTGGTCGAGAGTAGAAGCTATCCTCATCATCCCATTGCACAGACCCGTACTTGAGCTCAGCCTGCAGCTCTGCGTTCGCTCGACGAAAAGTTCGTAATCCAGGCGAGCTGATCTGGTTCCCTGAGATGGTCCGGGGTGGTCGCCCGAATGGTGTTGGTGACGTTGAGGTTGCGTCGAAAGGATCTGTGGACAAGTACGCCATATTAGGATCCGAGGTGAAGGCGACTTCGATGCGAATCGTAACGGTCGGTGGAGTTAAGATGGAATTAAAAAGCTTGGTGGAGTTGTAGTGGGCTACTGAGTGTGATGGAAGAGACGGGATCGAGTTGATGCAGCCATGAGGCTGCTGGGAATGCAACATTGTGCGGTGTGCGGTGATTTGTTTCTGGAGTGAAAATCAAGTCGCAGTCTGAGGGCCGAGCACTGTACGCCGATTACGGACTCTCAGAAATGAAGGAGAGGTCGAGCAGGATCGATGGTACGAACATCACATCTGGTCTACAATGCACAGCAAATATCTAAAGAACGACAGCGAGAGGAGAAGATACCAAGGTAGTGAGTCCAGGGATACTGTGCGCGGGCGGCTTGTTGTGAGCTATCAACATCAGGAGCTTGACTGTTCCATGCGCAGACCTTCGCTCGTGGGCCGCATATACGACGCATCAGCGCACGCTGGTAAGGAGACAGGGGTGAAGTTAAAGTCACATGAGCTCACAAGCGCGCTTTGCGCAGCGCCAACTATAGCGAGGTTCAACTCCACGAATGAACCATTAATGGCAACACACCTCGGCTCAATCAACCGAGGATGAAACGAGGTCTATCTTATGGTTTACTAGTGGTATGACAGCGTGGTAGGAGATTCAGCCTCAACGGCATCATGTGCGAGTCAGCGATCACACGCTAACATCAGCAGCAGCGTGGCTAGAATGTGCACTGCACGCTTGCTCGCGTGCTGCTGTTGCGGAGATACTCTCAAATTGTGTTCCAACTGCGATGACTGTCTTATGCACGATTGTCTCGAAGAAGATGTTAAGCCGCAGCTGAGCAGTGAGGGTGGCTGACGTCACGAGGTGCAGATGCTAGCATTAAATCAGGCGCACAGCCTCATCGGCCATTCAACACGACACCTTTCATTCACGATGAACAATGATTGCTCCGACCCAGTTACACAAATTGCTCACAATGCTCACAACATCTATCGGTCAGGCCGATATATATCGCTCTGCACCACTTGACCTGGAATGCGAAAGCATTCGTCCTGCTGAGCTAGAGCCTACATCAGACATGAGCTGTTTAGATACCATCAGGTGTCGGCTACGATCGCATAGAATGTCCCAAGTACGTGGCGGTATCATACGAGTGGGGTTCGAAATAGCCATACAGCCATATTGAGCATAATGGAGTAGAGCTCTCTATCGGCCGGAACTTTTGGATGTTCTTGTACCATATACGCCTGTGCTTCCAGTTTGATTTGCTCTGGATTGATGCTCTATGCATAGACCAATCGCACGTCGAGGAGCGAAATCACCAGGTTCAGATGATGCGACAGATCTACAGCAACGCGCAGTCAGTGTTCATTTGGCTTGGCGAGTTTGAAAGAGGCTCTCAGAGTGAAATCGCTATGGGAATGTTCAACATAGACGATAGCACTGCAACACACGGTGATGTCAGCCTGTGGAGTACATTGGAGACTATAGCAGTTCTATCGTTGTGCGACGCCGCGTGTTGGCGTCGTATGTGAATTATTCAAGAGGTTGTTCTGGCAAAGGAAGCCACTGTGTATTGTGGTCTGGAGAGCCTGAACTTACGCGTGTTGGACCGGCTCCTTGACGACGCCCAAACACAACTCGCGGCCAACAAGATGGGTCCAGCCATCTGTTGCCTCTGGTAGGCAGCCCTGCCAATGAGGTCATCAGAACTAGGAGGGACTGATCGGCAACACCATCCCTCTGATGTTACTTTTGGTGGACTTTGAACAACATGAAGCAACGATTCTCCATGATAAGGTTATGCATTGTTCAGCTTGGCGCGGGAGGGACATCACATATTGTCGACTACCGCACTTCCCGGAAGGTGCTGTTTATGGAAGTTTTACCGGTTACCAGTCGCGAAGCTGATGCAGTTCGTACGAGTTGAACATGTATTCTGAAACAAAGGAGAAGGTGCGGTTGAGGGTGGTTACCATACTGCCAGGCGCAGTCACTGGACACAGCCTCGCCAAACATTGCACTTGATGCATCGCCTCGTACAACATTGAAGCACATCATCCTATAAACATCACACCCCGCATCATTCCTCCCCGGCGCTCCAAACTATCTCCCAAATCAACCAGAATGTCACAGAAACGCGACCTGGAACCCGAATCCGATGTAGATGAGTCGACTGATTCAAACAACAAGAGGTTACGTCTACACGACCTCCAGTCTGGTACTGCTGCAGATACGGTCGTAGATTTATCGCTCGGAAGCGTCGTCGCGCGGACGTACATGCATGGTGCCACAGAGCGGCTTAGCCCATACACGAATGCGCCTCTCGACTTGGAGGGTAGAGGCATTCGTCTCGTTGAACTTCAATCGAGCAGTTCCTCAGACACTATCAGATGTCATCTGCGATCGTACGCCCTACCACCAGATGGTCCATCGTACATTGCGCTCTCTTATCAATGGGGCCCCTGCGAACGATACGCCAACATCGAACTTAATGGGATGCCATTTACCGTTGGTCGTAGTCTCTGGACCTTCCTGCACCAGATGCGCCTACATCGGGTCTTTAAGACGTTCTGGATAGACGCCATCTGCATTGATCAAGCCAATGTGGAAGAAAGGAACCACCAAGTTGGAATGATGCGACACATCTACTTAAACGCGGCGTCGGTATCTATCTGGCTTGGCGAAGTTGAAGAGGACACTCTTGTCGGTGAAGCCATGAAGATTATGGCGCCGCGGAATCTCCGTAGCGGTCAAACGCTTGACAACATTGCGCACTGGAAGAGATGGACAACGCGGGAGATTGAGGCTTTCCAAGCTTTTTGCGAGCACAAGTATTGGAGTCGTGTGTGGATCATCCAGGAAGTCGCCTTGGCCAGAAAAGCCACCATATATTGCGGCCCGCAGATTGCGGAATTCAGCGTGCTTCATCAGCTGTTGTTGAAATCAGGCCACGAGAAGTTTCCTGATATCTGGAGAACACCGGCTTATCAGGTAGTCGCATTGAAGTCCGTCGATTATAAACCAGCGATCGATCATCAACCAGATGGTTGTTGTCTCCGAACGATGTCATTGCATTTCGCGAACCACGAAGCCACAGATATTCGCGACAAAATCTACGCATTGCTCGGTGTGTCAGCGAAAGCCCGTGCTTATATACCCGTGGACTATCGAATATCACGAGAAGAGCTGTACATAGTGAGTTTGTCATATATCTGTCAGACGGAGACTCGAAGTACTAGTCTACATCACATGAAGGCGTATGCTCGCGCGCTCGCCAAATTATTGAACATGAACGTCTCCCAGGAAACGATGTGCAAGTGCATCGAGACTCATTTTCTGACGCGTGAACCGCCTTTCTGGCTACGGAAAAGCCTGGATCTTTATGACGCCCCAAAACAAGCCGTGTTCGTCGAAACAACTATAAGCACATGGAACCCAAAGGGACTTTTTGCTTTGGCTAGGTGGGTTTTTGACGTCATTGTCGCCTCCGTTTTCTTTAAGGTATGGAATCTAACGCAAGGTAGTGAACCCGTAAACTGCAGAATCAATGTGCCAACAGGACATTACCAAGGACCGGCTGAGCTCCTCTGGGCGTCCTCGGGGTGGACAAATGTTCGACAAACGACAAGGGAACACACCACGACAGCGGCCATGTAGGCTTGGTCAGTGCCAAAGCAGTAATTCTTGTAGTAAGATTATAGCAGCGACGCTTCACGAGAAGAATGGGAAGATGATGTTGTATGCAATATGTGCATTACTGACTATTTGTCTGAACTATGTAAAGCCGGTCTAGCCAGCGATGTTGTGATGCGCGCCATGTAAATGCCAATCAAAAACTCCTCCCGCAATGCGTTGTAAATGCTAGACACCGTTAATGCTTTTCAGCTGGCCGGCAGCCGGGTATATTATCGTAACTCATCCATCATCCATCCCTTCATAAGATCCTCAAACCATCAATTGCACTCCACTCGGGCTTCGCACTCCACTCGAACTTTGTCCTCGTGTCGCTCAACCAACGCTCTTGCCACGGCGACCCTTGCCGCACTCGCGCTTGCTCAAAGGCTCGTCGGGGAACACCCATCCGCGCACACGCTTAGCCTCGCGCTTCTCGCCCAGCTGAGGCTTTGGAATCCACGCATCCTTCTCGAGATGGTTTTGCCTAGTCAGCGCCGCGGGGCCGCCGACCTCCATACGCCAAGTGCCCATGCCCTCGAACGGGTTCTCCTTGGCGAGCATGTGGAGGTACCACAGCGCAAGGGAGGCAGTGAGCTGGAAATCGCCAGACGCAGAGAGGCCAGATGTAGACAGTGAGATCGGGGCAGACAGCTCGAGGTACCCGAAGATAGGCATGCCGGCAGCAGCGTTGAAGGTGGTCGGGTCCGGGGTGGAAGAGTCGCCGCCTGCGCGGACGCAGAGAAGCTCGATCTCGGTCATGATGAAGCCGTAGCGGCAGCCGTGCTCGCGCATGACGCGCTGAAGGTGCGCGAGTCCCTGCAGGTAGAGGACCTGCTTGGGTGCGGACTCGCTGCGCATGCCGGTGTTCCAGTTGTCGTAGCACTTGACGAGACCGACGACGCGGCCGCGAGCGTCGCCAAAGAGGGTCTTCTCGAAGTCGGAGGGGTAGCTGGAGACGAACTCGGGTTGGATGCGGGCGCCAGGGGCGGGCTTGATGGCGCGCATCTGCATGTGGGTGTTGCCCTGGGCGATCTTGAGGGCAGCGTTGACTTTGTTGGCGTAGTAGTTGGTGCAGATGTCGTGGAGCGCTGACTCGTTCTCTGGCTGCATGTTCTGGCGGATGGGCTGAGGAAGATAGGATGTGGAGACAGGGACCTCAAGGAGGGGAAGGATCGAAGGAATCTCCTTGATGGCAGCGATGTTGAAGTCCTCCCAACTGCGGAGATTGCGGATGTCCCACCAGAAGTGGTTGTTGATGCCGCGGGGTGCAGCTGTGACGCGACGGACAAGGGCTGGGGAAGGGTTGGGGGCGCCAAGGTACTCGAGCAGAGAGGATGTAGCAACGGGCTGGTAGGCATCGAAGCTGGGCTGCTCTGTGAAAGAGGGGTACTGGACAGCAGGCGCAGGCTCGAAATCCAGAAGAGGGAAATCGAGCGCTGTGGCAGTGTAGCTGGGGGGCTGCTGCACCTGAGAGTAGTCGATGGGGGATGTGATGAAGTTCGACTGAGGCGCGCTCGGGGCGGTCACGTAGTTGGGGATGTTGCGGTAGGTGGGGAAGCCATACCGGCTGATGGTGGACTCATCAATGCTGTTGGCAGAGGTAGACCTCACGTGACGGGAAGCATTAACAGAGCTAGAGCGCGAGTGTGTGGGAGCGTACGACGACGCTCGGCGGCCCCCGGATGGTGTGAATGTGATGGGGGAGTTGAGCATAGACAGTCCATTGAAGTCGCATGAGTTGTTCGAGACAGGCGAGATCAAGTTGTTGTGGGTGTAGGAGCTCGATTCACGGTACGACTGGGAGACCGGTCGTGCGTAGGGGCTGTATCCATAGCTGACGTTTGAGGCAGCAGACGTCGTCCTGCGATGTCTGATGGGTCCGGCTGTGGGCTCAGCTACCTGATCTTGAGTGCGGACCTTGGGGAGGAGAGTAGGTCCAAGCTGGCGCACAGGCGATCGTGGAGGTGTAGGGGCCACATTCGGTGCTGGTGAGGACTCTTGCGAGTAGTATGTGACATCTGATCCGACACTACCGGGAATGTAGTTGTACGAGGAAGCAGGCGGTGTTGTGTGGCGGCTATACATTTTGATGATGTGATAGCTCCCAGAGCTATTGAATGTTTGGACAGGAAGTGTCAATTATCGAGTAACGATTAATGGGGAGAACCAGCTCCAGAATGTCTAAGACAAGAAAGAAAGAAGGAGAAGGGGAGATGTCTCGAGCCGGTGGGCAATGCTCGCAAGTCCTGGATATGATGTTCGATGTGATGGTTGTGGTTGTGCGGCGAAGCACCTTGTACTTATTCCTTTCACAAACCGAGACCTACGAACCAGTGCTCACAGCACTCGAGAGCATCTGAAACATGATCCACCGGCCCCGGGATCCTGGATTGAGATCTCGACAAGCGGTCTGGCGTATTTTGCGCAGAAGGTTCTACAGCATGGAGCCTTGCAAGGCCAACATGAAACACGGCTTTCGAACTGGGCGAGCACATCTAGCGAACGACTTACTGCTATCCCTGCTGCGCTATTCGCTGTATACGGTTTAGTTTTGTGTAGTTTTCAGCGGTGTACTGATTTTGAGTGGACGACAGCGGTGTGGTTGTAGGAAGGGCTTTACCAGAGCGGTAAGCGGGAAAGCGACGCGCTTGCAGAGCGGTTGGCAAGATGAAACCGGGTCGCTCGGCGGGCCGCTGTAGAACATCGTCTACGGGTGGATTACGATGAACTTGGCAGAGAAAGTACCGCAGGCGCGTACTCTGTAGTACTGTGTACCTCTGTACGCGCTGCCATGCTGTCAACCTTCACAGCGGTCGCATTCTTGCGCTCACTTTCGCAGTCCACCGCTCATCCCTCACCTTCCCCTCCATCTATCCACAATTGATTAGTCTGCAAACTCGGCAAGGCTGGACTCTCTGGCGGCAGTTTGAACGGGAAGCGGTGACGGAACAAATCAAAGAGTCGAGGTGTAGTTGCTTTAGCGCCCTGCGGAAGGGCCTGTGCTCCGCGTGGGGCGCGCAGCAGTCGGTGAAGAGTCATCATGGTTCGGTGATTCAATTGGACCACGACACTCGAAAGTTTCGTTTCATCGCTCAACGTGCATGTCTCCCGCAGAACTTCCGCACACCGACATGCGGCATTATGCACTAGAATGTGACTCACAACGGGGCGAGAGCAACGAATTCACGACTATAACACGACCAAGACCGCGCTGCTGCACGACGCGTGAACGCGTTGTTGTCTAACTGTTGTCAAAGCATTGGTTCTGGGTTTCCGGCTTCGCCCACACTGTGTGCTGTCAGTTGTCATGACGGAACGACATTTCTCGACTGTCAGTTTGCGCTCGCTGCCCTGGTGTCGTCTGTCGTTCGTCTCTGCGAAAGTCGAGCTCTGCAAATCCATTCGCTCTGCGCATCCAGGCGCCGGGACTTGCTGTCAAACGTCGCACAGAGAGCCGCTTCGCGGGGAAATGGGGCTGTCGAGCTTAGAGCCTCGTTAGGCGCTCGAATATCCGGAAGTGGAATTATGCTCCCAAATATAGCCCGAAGCAGGCGCGTATATCTCGAAGCGGAACCCAGAAAGACCGTTAATTGCATGAACTCGGAGATGAACTGTCAAACCTTACTGAGGCTCTCTCCACACATTTCAAGGTTCAGAAGAGCCTCCCAGCCTCAACGCCACGACTACAGACTGCCACAGGCGCCTACAGCCTTCAGGTGAGAAACAAACGTGAGCGCTGATTGCACAGAGTTGAGGATGAAGCTTTGAGGCTTGGGAGGGTTGGTAGGTTTGGGATACGTTCGCAGAGCCTCACAGCCTCAATTACGCGCCCGGCAGCAGCAAGGAAGGTAAAACACTGTTGCACGAGACGAATGTCATAAAGCGTCGTATGTTCATGACGAAGAAGCCCAGCATCATCAAGGGGCCACCGTGTAAGAACTACAGTTCGATGTAGATGGCGAACGCCTGAATATACCTTCTCACGATGCCAACTGACTCTCGACATTCTCCTTCCACCATGTCTCCCAGTCCACAACCAGCCTTTGCACTCTCGCGTCTTCTGCTGCGAAGACGACCGCATGACTTCTGAAGGCTTCTTCAAGATCACAGCCCAAGAAAGCCCTCTGTGCCTCGTACGTTCTCATGTCTCCGGAGTCGACAGCATTGACTGCCATGAGGAACTGTCTCGCCAGCCCTGCATCCCCGCCTCCATGTCCACCGCCCGCGGCATGCGGAACATGCCTCGTAGTCTTGTTGGTTGCAAAGTCGTGAATACTGATAGTCGTGCTATCGTACTCAATCTCCCCCTTCGTGCCGTAAATCCTGCCCCGTCTCTCACACTGCTTCTCCGTTTGCGCAATCATGTGAAATAACGCCGTCTTCGCACCTCTTCTCGCGTCCTCCCCATCATCTTCCCAAGAGAGGGTGACCATTTGGTCGTCGCAGACGTCGTTGTCGGAGTCCCAGACGCAGCGACCGAAGTAGTTCCTCTTGTTCCTGACCCCGAGCGGAGTGGAGACGTCGTAGTCTTCGGCCAGGTCAGCCAAGAGTTGCGATTTGGCTGCTTCTGCGCCTTGTGTCTTGTAAATGTCCTCGATTTCGGAGTTTACGATCTTGACGGGCCAGTCTGCGTTGCCTTTTGCGAGGTGCTTGTCGAGGTAGATCTTCTTTGCGCTGTAGGAGCATGAGGACTCGTGGGCACAGGAGAGGCAGTTTGTTGCGCTGCCTGCGGCTGCGGGCTTGTGGGATTTTCGGAAGTATTTGAGTGAGCCAGTGGAGGTTATGTGCGAGGGCAGGTGGGGTGTAGATGTGGACGAAGAGGGTGTGCAGAGCATCCACATCAGGAAGTCGATGTCATGGCAGGACTTTGTGAGAAGGGACGGCGCGGATGTGGACTCTTTGCGCCAGTTACCGCTGTTATCGTTGTCAGTCTAGTGAGTCTGATATGAACAGAGGAATGACGCACCGAACGTAGCTGTGACTGAAGTGCCACCAGCCCACGGGCTCGCAATGCTCGATACTGAGAACATCTCCGATAACGTTCTTGTCTCGCACCAGATGTCGTAGGAGCATGTTGTGTGGTGAGTACCGTAGTACATGACATATACCGAAGATTGGCTCTTTCTTCCCTCCCACTGTGTCGTTGCTCTTCTTTGCATACTTGAGTGCCTTGTACATCCTAATGCAGCTCTCCAGCCTCGTACTCAGTGGCTTCTCACAACATATATGCACACCCAGATGAGCAATGCCACACACAACTTCTTCGTGCATCTCGTCGAGCACACAAACGAAGACTGCATCGATTCCTGGCTCTCTTACTCTCCCTCTGACTTCATCTTCCCTCCTCTCTTCCTCCCACTCGACCCATTGCTGCCAGTCGAAGAAGTGCTGCCCAGGCTGAGCAGGCCATTTGCCAGTCCATATGAACCTCTTGCCAAATGCCTCGCGCTTGGAATGAATGGGCTCACACACTGCTGCGATGATTGTATTGGTGCCTTCTAGGGCAGCCTCTGCGTAGGCTGTGCCGCGGCTACCTGCACCTATAACTAAAACGCGAGGTGGGTTGTCGAAGTTCTGGAAGTCGGGTGCTTTGAGATATGCTTCATGGCTGTCGCTGTTGGTGTCCGAAGTAGTGTTGTCGCTGAGATAGGGTGCCATGTTGTTACCGGTACGCCTGGAATTTGTTTGTAATCTGATGTTGTTGTTTGATTAAAGACTTGAAGAGCAACTTTGTGGTGGCGATTGACCGGATGAGAAGGGACAATAGCTATCAGAAGCTTAAGAATGCTGTAAGATATTATGGTAGAACTAGAAGTAGATCTTATCCTCGAGTTCAAACGCAGCTTGAATGGTGAAGACTGTGCGGGGTTGACGATAGCCTGCAAGTCCCATGGGCTTGTTGATGGAGGTGAAGCTGAAGGGTCGTATATCAGTGTCGCATTGCAGCTCAAGGTTGCAACGATCAATTGATGCTCGCCTATGGCGATCGCTCACAAGGCTCGAGGTGTACATGTGGAGGTTGTATCCGTATAGTATTCGACCAATGAGATCATTGATGATTAATAGCGCTTTCCCTTAAATCATCCTTGATCGAACGTCTATCAGCTTCGCAGCTTCCTCGACGTAAGCTCAACGAAAACGAGAGGTGTCTAGTCTAAAGTCTAGATGGACTAAAGTGCAGTACAGAGCCAGGTAGCCACCGCTTATATACTTGTAATAAGAAACGCTTGATAAAGCTGCCATACTATCGGTCGAGCTCGTAAAACAGTAGATAGACCTCCTTCTGCATGCCGAGCACTTCGCTCGTCTTACTCTCCTTGATCTTATCATCGCTGATGCGCCACCAGCGGTTGACTGTGCGCCTAGACTTGCGCTTGAGAGGGTTGGCGTCCACCATCGATTGCGCCTTCTCCGAGGCCTTATCCTTGAGCGATCGTAGACTTTGTGTCCGCGACAGCTTTGATGTGGAGTCACCTGATGGAGGCGATGGGCGCAGCGAGTCCCCATCAGTTCGAGGCGCAGATGTTGGTGCTGGCCCACGCGGGCCTGCTGTACCCTGCGATGAATTCGATGACAGTGACTGCAGAGAAGGCGAGTCTAGTGTCAAGTGTGAGGGAATGGGTGAAGCAAGATCGCTTGCGCCGTCGAAGTTAGTGGAAGACAGTCGAGGGCTCTGCATGGCTGAAGCGGCTGCAGATGGTAGTGGACTGGCTTGGCGACTGTATGCGCCTTCAAGTCCGAATGAATGAGGGGTGGAGAACGGCACGGGCTGTACCTGTCGACGGAAGGACTCGTAGTGTCCACTGTTGTGGCTGCCCTTGTGTGTCACCATCCCAAGCAGCCTGTAGTTGTTTCGATGCAGCAAGCCGCCAAGAGGAAGTGATTCTGGAAACGAGACCTTGGCCAGGTTCTTCGTTGAGACAGTTCCAACGGCGAACATCGATCGCGAAAGGTGTACAGCGAGTACCTTGGGGAAAGCAGAAATGTACATGTGGCGCGCTATGCGACGTTTTGGTGACAGTTTCGGGTCTGGAAACTCGACATCCACCGGAGGATTCTCTGGATCGTCCTCGAGGGCTTGCTTAATCTTGGAGATGTCGGACTCCAAGCGTTCTTTGACCTCTGGCTCAGTAGCTCTCTCGAGCTCTTGCTCTTTGGTCTTCACTGCGTGATCAAGTCGACACCATTCGCACTTGAAGTCATCGATGTGTTCGACTTTGAGCATGCCATCAAAACAGGCGTTGAGCGTGGTAGACGAGACTTGTGGTACGCTGAGCGTCAAAGTCACGAACGCCGAAGAGGAGGGCTTCGGCTTGAAGTGGCATGTCAAGCACTCGATCTGAGACTCGATCTTGCCTTCGAAAGGGAAGCCCTCTTCATCCGGCAGAGGAGCATCCTCATCTTCGCCCTGCTCTTTGAGCTCGTCCTGCGGTGGCTCGACGCCAAACTGCTCTTCGATTTCTCTCCGTCCAGACGCAGCGTCTCCGTTCTCTAGTGTGATGCCATGGCGACTAGCATGCCGCCTGGCCTTCGCACCAGCATGATATTCGTCGCACAGACGCTCAGTGACGATCTGGAGAAACTCCTGTGCGTCCTGCTGCTGTCGACTGATGCGTGTACCGAAAGCATGCTCGAGTGCGCGTATGAAGGACTGCGGCGATATTGTCTTCTTGTATATGGGTCGCTCGTTCAGCTTATCAAGGATGTCCTTCAAGCCATATGTAAGCAGACCCTTCTGTAGACCCTCCAGCTTCCCCGGCCTGTTGGTCGCACTCTCCGCACTTGACTTCTCCGGATCGACAAGATAGACTTCTGGCCCATCAAGCTTCCTCCGATGTGTCTCCCTGATCAAGTATATGCGCAAGTCTGGTAAGCCGGCCAGCGCCTGCAGGACCGAGTTGATAAAGCAGTCGTTGGCCGCATTGCTCAGTCCGACTACGCCCTTCTTTTTGGTGCTGGAGCTCGTCGCCTCATCGTCCAGGAAGAAGGTGGGGCCAAAGACATAGACTAGGGTGATGGCAGCGAGGGATGCGCCTGCCGCATAGGTTGCGATGGTGGTTGCCTTCTCTGGCATTTTGCGGCGCGAGCTCGTTACCGCGGGTCGGGGATTGGTCGACGGGGGTGGTGCAGAGGGCCGCAGAGTCGTGACAGATTCTAGCAGAAGTGCGCTCGGTCGGGTGCAGGACGAGAGGAATGTGCAGGTGAGACGTCTCTATCCTCCATTGTTGTCTGACAGCTGCCCTGTCATGCTGGCAGTCATCTGTCGTTTGCTCCGTGAGGCAGCGCCCGCAAAGTGAACTGCCAAGCACTACGTCTCCCGCGCCAGTCCGCCCAAGCGCAGTCGCAAGGATCTCCAGATTTGTTGTTCGGACGACTTGCATCTTTTTTGGCGGGACCATACAACCACCACACAGCCCTCCATGGCCTCGCTCAGCCGGTCAGCGCTGCTGCCCCAGTGTACGTCATGCATACGAAGAGTTGCGCGGCAGAATTTGGATGGATGGGCGCCGCAGCAGCAGATACGCAGCATCTCGAAGGCGGCTAAGGAGGCCGAGCGCAACATCGTCGTCAAGCTTCTGAAGGATGTGCCGCGATATGGACGCGCTGGTATGGCAACAGGCATCAGAATTCAATGGACCAGCTATGCTGACCCCAGTCAGGTTCATACATCCCTCTCAACCCTGCCACGATGCGCAATCGATGGTTTCCTGCCCGCGTCGCCGACTACGTACCGTTTAAGCAATTGAAGCTGCTGAAGGCTCAGGATGTGGACATGCAAAGAGACACAACATTTGGTGTACGAGTGAACCTGGAAGAGGTCGAGGAAGAGGAGGAGGACCTTTTGACCCCACGGAAGCCATACGTACGGCCGATTGAAATTGATGTTCTTAGCGTAGGTCTAGATATCTCAATTGGGAGGATGACTGCTGATGTTTGTAGCCCGAACGATCTATGGAACTCCTCGACACTTTCATCTCCCCTACGATCGACTTCTCACGCCAGCGCATCGAGCAGGAGAAGGAAGCAAAGCCACGATACGGCGCTTCTGGCGCGGCTGATGTGCTCACGGCGGCTGCTATGGGAGCCAAACCCAAGGCCTCATCGAACGCCATCTACGGCTCAGTATCGACAGCAGACATTGCTGCAACCCTGAAGGCAGCGCTGGCGCACAACGACGAGGCAGCTCGCGTGATATTGAACGAGGCGGATGTTCGATTTGTCACAGGAACAGAGGACGGAGACGCGCAGCGTGTGAAGGAGCTGGGTGTATTCAAGGTTGAGATACAACTGCCTGGCGCGGCAGAGCCATTAGTGAGGAACATCCGGGTCAAGGCGAAGGATATGGACGCGTGAAGTCGCAACACCGGTACGCCATCCGCGGTCACAGTCCAGACCCGGGAATTTTTCCGTTCGCTGTAAAGATACACCTGTACAAAACGTGTAGACACTGTTTGGGCTTGGTTTCGGAAGAATGGGACTATACAAACCATGAAGCCATAGCAGCCACAGCCGGGAGCGTCAATGAGCTGATCCTCTGACCATATGTGATTGGTGGGACCCTGAACTCGATGTTGTGATGCAACAAAACCACTCGGCAATTCAAGGCCTTACACTGCGTTCTGGCACGTTCTACGGCGAGATTCGGACAGAAGCACAGAGCTGTTCGACCATGCAGTCCACTCTGCCGAGCAAGCGGCCCCGCGATGACTTCAGAGCGCGGCCGTGAGCACCAGCCCTACCGGTGAGCAGCATCTTAAATCTCTTGTCCCTCCCACGCGCCTTGCAGAAGCAAACCAGTCAATTGATACACACAGGTACGTAAATTTGGCTCTACCACTGGTGGCACAGCGTAGCGTCTGCGTGAGGTGCAATTGCAGCATTCGGTTGGATGGTTGAGAGAGCTGAAGCTTGCTTGTTGCGTCAACATGCGCCGGGCAGATAAGCGGGGTCAAAGACCCCACCATGTGCTCATGGCATGCAGAGTTTCTCTTTCTTAACGCGACTACCCTTACTACTCTACTCAACAACTCTCACGACTCTTTCATAAACGCCTCAGTTCCCAATTGACTGATCCCATATTCACCAGAACACTCTATACATCACATACACAATGGTTTCCGCTCAAGAAGTAAGTTGATCTTTCAAAGCACCATGTTTCAGGAGCGCAGCAGCTAACCACCAAACTCAACAGGTTCTTTCCCGCAAGTCCGGTGTCATCACTGGCGATGATGTCCTCAAGCTCTTCCAGCACGCTAAGGACAACGGCTACGCCATTCCCGCCATCAACGTAGGTTTCTCGAAGTTGAGCTATTGAGCGGTAGACTGACAAGCTCAGGTGACCTCTTCCTCCACAGTCGTTGCTTCTCTCGAGGCTGCCCGCGACGCTAAGTCGCCCATCATCCTCCAGACTTCGCAGGGTAAGCCAGATCAAGATGTCATTACCTCCAAACAGTGAGCTGACTTATTCCAGGTGGTGCCGCATACTTCGCCGGTAAGGGCGTTGACAACAAGGACCAGGCCGCCTCCATCGCTGGAGCCGTCGCTGCCGCACACTACATCCGCGCCGTTGCACCCATCTACGGCATTCCCGTTGTCCTCCACACCGACCACTGCGCCAAGAAGCTTCTGCCATGGTTGGACGGCATGCTCGATGCCGACGAGGCTTACTTCAAGGAGCACAACGAGCCTCTCTTCTCCTCTCACATGATCGATCTTTCCGAGGAGGAGGTTGAGTGGAACATCCAGACCACCAAGAAGTACCTCCAGCGTGCTGCTCCCATGAAGCAGTGGCTCGAGATGGAGATCGGTATCACCGGTGGCGAGGAGGACGGTGTCAACAACGAGGATGTTGACAACAACTCCCTCTACACTCAGCCCGAGGACATCCTGCACATCTACAAGGAGCTGTCCGAGGTCTCCCCATACTTCTCCATTGCCGCTGGTTTCGGTAACGTCCACGGTGTCTACAAGCCCGGCAACGTCAAGCTCCAGCCCGGTCTGCTCAAGAAGCACCAGGAGCATGTTAAGAAGGAGACTGGCGCTAAGGAGGACAAGCCCGTCTTCCTTGTCTTCCACGGCGGCTCCGGCTCCAGCGTTGATGACTTCAGGGAGGCTATCTCTTACGGTGTCGTCAAGGTCAACCTCGACACCGACATGCAGTACGCCTACCTCACTGGTATCCGTGACTACGTCCAGAACAAGTCCGGCTACCTCCAGAGCCAGGTCGGTAACCCCGACGGTGAGGACAAGCCCAACAAGAAGTACTACGACCCCCGTGTCTGGGTTCGTGAGGGCGAGAAGACCATGTCCAAGCGTATCGCTGTTGCGCTTGACGACTTCTACGCCTCCGGCAAGGTCTAAATTAGCACTCGATGCAAGACCAACTTTTGTCGAGGCGTTTTGTTAGAATGGACTGCATGAGAGAGGAGTTGGCGGTCCTGGGGGAGGGGGGGGGGGGCGAGGTTGACGATTCGAATGAACGACATGACCCAAATACATGGATGCCAAAAAGAAGGTTCCTGATTATATATACCAATAACGAAACATCTCCTCCAACTTATCTCCCTTTGCGCCTGCCGTGTTTTACCTCAATGAAGATAGTGGAAGTGATTTACTCACATGCTGCAAGTCACCCGGGCAGCTGTCGCACAACGCAGTTGATCTTCGAGATCTGGAATGTGAAGCCGCCTCTTGCGGTCAGCTAGCACCAACCCATTTCTCGCTGGTCGAGTCCACGCATTTGAAAAGAAAAGATACACGTTGCCTAACATGGCTAGTGCGAAGTGGATACTCGTGGTGTCCGCGATGACATCACATCCATCGCATGCTCTTTCCGGATTGCAGACGATCAGCACCAAATCATGGCAAGTACCACGGAAACTTGCACGTGGTTGTTGTCAGTCGTCAGCGCTGTATATTTATTGCCTTGGTCTCGCCCGCACCACACAGTTCACACCACAACACAACCTTGATAATCTCCTTGATAACCTATCATATCCAAGCCACTTCTTATTATTTGACAGCTCAGTAGCTACTCCACTCCTACACCCTTACAGAATGTCTGGCGGTCACTCTAACAGCGGAATCGGCGGTGCCATCAAGAAGGGCGTTGGCATGGTCCATGTAAGATCTCCAGACCCACATCTGCTTCTTATCGTACGTATACTGACATGATACAGGGAACTGGCGAAGCTATCCGCGGAAACTTCAACGCTGCCATAGATCAAGCCAGTGGAGACCGTGCAGGCGTCGACAAGAACACAGCAATCGCCTCCAACGGTGCCAACGAGATTGAGCACGGCTACCACCGCACTGGTCATGGTGCAGGTGTCACACCAGTTGACGCTGATCGCGAGCGTCTGAACACAACTCACACCACATCGACCAACTACGGCTCGCACAGCACCAACACTGCCAACAAGCTCGACCCACGCTTCGACTCTGACATGGACCACCGCGGCACTGCAACAGGCTCTACCAACGTAGGCCACCACTCCAACAACGTTGCGAACAAGCTGGATCCTCGCATAGACTCTGATGCCGACCACCGCGCAAACCCAAACAGTACGATTAGATAGATGAGCTACGATACCCGCCCAAATATTATTATACCCTTTCCTCATTACATCATACTCCCGTTTCTATACGTTGACTAACTCCACAGGCTGTTGCGCGCCAACTTTATATTCGCAGACAGACGGTACTGACTCCACTACGACGCCCTTTGGAAGCAAATGGGAGCCGCAAGCCGCCTCTGACCATGATCATGACCATGACGAGCACTGCAACTGCCACGCCCAACACATCCACCGTGGTTCGATCAGTGGTGGGACAAGCCTGGAGGCAGCCCAGAAATTGGATCCCGTACTCGGCACGAATGAAGAGTCGACGAGCAATGGTCCACACAGCACCAACATTGCCAACAAGCTAGATCCTCGTGTTGATTCTGACCACGACCATCGTGGCACAGATGACAACCTCCAGGCTAGCCGAAATGGGACCTTCGCACGTCGTGGAACCGAGCCTTTGATACACACCAGCCACACACATGAAGGCGAGCCTCAATCAGCCCATGGGTCAGGGTCAGACGACCGGCTCGATCGCCATACGCGCCGAGCAAGTTTGTCACAAGATGCTACCGCGCCACTAGATGAGTCACGATCGACAGCGAACCCCCACAAGAGCGGCTTTCTGAACTTACTCGACCCGAGAGTTGATCGTGACGGTGCGAAGCAGATGCGGTCGAGTGGGTCGTAGGATCGACGAATGCCCCCAGGACTGGTGACCAGCGGGTAGCCCTATACCTAGGCAGTGTGAATTACTGACTTCTCCTGTAACTTCTGTGTCTTTATTGTGCACTGAATCCCTCCATTGCGCCATATGTCACAACAAGACCAAGGCCATGCCATGTCTCTCACACAGCATCTGTTCGCCGTCCTACCTCCGTAGTGCCAATAGTCTGGCTACGTCCAGGCTGCTCTTTCATCCCCACGACTTCACTGCAACCCTAACATTACATCTCTGAAGCAAACGTTGAGCTTTCTGCAACCTAGCTGCACTGTTCTATTATCTGCATAGCTGTCCTTATAAGGTTAGCATCTTTTTAGCAGTGTCGAGTTTCACTGAGATAAATTCAAACTTGTGGCACTACTGAAGTACTCCAAAGCTCATCTGTATTCTGATTATCGTCAAGGTCATCGTTATCCGTTGTCTTGAAAGATGCAGAACGAGTGGTTGATTTGAGGGAAACGCGGCGCGATGGTCTTTAGGATTCCGTGTATGCAATCGTGCAGGTTCTGAGCTCCGTTCAGCAAGCCAATCTAGTACTACTCGTTCTCTAATGAATGCCCCATCATCGTTGTTCTTTGTCGCGGCTTGGGGATGAGGAAGATGTGAGATGTGGAAGGCGCGAGATTTGGAACATGCCAGACATAGAGTAGGCGAGGTAAGGAAAGTGTCGTTCGACCGGTGTACATGAGCGAGGCGCCCAGCACTGCGTAGGTGTACGAAGGTAATGGAGACTGGCTCAAAATCTTTGAGGAGAGCACTTGCAACTCTTCTGGCGACTTTGGGAGGGATGCTTGGTGCACCTGGGATGGGAACAAGAATTAGTTCACTGTTCCCACCGGTACTCTAATGGCGAGTATCTGATTCGCAGTGAGCACATTGGTGTACACGGCGCTCATGATGGCCAGGCTAAGATCTACTACTTGTAAGTATTGCCGCTTCACCCCTTCATATCGATTCCTTTCCTCACACAGATCAGCTGCGCTCAAGTCAAGGTCACCGGTGGCACCGACACTGCGCTTCCCACCGATACAATCAAGTTCTCAGGCGGCTACAAGAAGGACGACCCCGTCGTTCAACTTCAGCATCTACGGCGGATTCAAAAAGTACCCCATGCCCGGCCCGGCTGTTTGGGAGGCTCAGTTTCCACTGGCGGCTCAGGCAACGCCAGCTCTGCCAGCGAGTTTACTGTTCCTTCCTCCGAGAGCGAGAACGTTGTCGCTCATGACGATAGCAACTGCGAGAGCAAGAAGGTCACACGTGGCCGTCGCGCTTTCTGCGAGTCGATTCGCTAGGAGTAGGCTTTTCCAAGTCGAGCGCATAATTGTGAGCCGGTTGATCTCTTTTGAAATTGGACAGGCGGTTTGTTCGCAGTTGAAGTTTTTCTCTTCTTACACTATTTTGGCACTTTGCTCACTTGAGCACCTCTTGTACACAGTTTAGAATGCTAGACATTCACGCACAAGTGCAGTCCGCGGGCTTTTTTGATGCTGCAGCAATGCTTGTGTATTAGAATGTGTGTGTGCAGGAACGAGAGAGATTGGTGCGGAAGGAAGCGGCTTTCGTAGCGTGGAACCAAAATGTTACTTCCACGTCTTACCTATCCACGTGCTCCTTCCGTCATGCCTTGCAAGACTGCAACACACATGGCACCAAATTTCAGAAAGTTGATCAATTGTTGCGGTATGAGTCGGTCCATACAAGACCCTATCACCCTTGCTTAGACTGTTCTAGACTAGCACGTTCCAGAGTCAGTATATAGTCGTCTTCTCCTCACTAGATAGCAATTCAGCACAGTGTTCCATCGAACCGATAGTCCTACATTATCGTTCACCGTAGCTATCAGTATTCTACAGCGGCCTACGCCGCCACATCAATTCATTCCCGTAGAATGATGCTGATGGCTGTCCAAGATGTAACCAAGGCCGAGCGCACTATTGTTCACAATCAACGCTGAGTATTTGCAAGATGTATGGTAATGGTGTTGTTCATTTTGACAAAAGTCTAAGGATTGTTGTGGTATCGTGACACAAGGAAACTATGATATATACAGGAAGGAGTGAAATCGCTGATGCCAAATCTAAAATCTAAACAGTACACCCGTTACTCATCCTTGCACTCGAGCTCCCTATCATAATTGAGCTCATGCGTCAGACAGAGCGCTGGAAGAGTTGCTTACTCGAGCTTGCCGGGGTACTGGACAAGGGTGATGTAGGCGGGAGAGACACCCTGGCAAACGAAGTCGTTGGGGCCAGCACCACCAGCGCGGCAGTAGTTAGGCAGGGTGGTGGTAGCGACGTACTGGATGTCATCGGAGACATCCTGCCTCAGGAGGAGACCGGAGCGGTCGCTCTGGTAGGCCCAGTAGATGAAGGAGTTCTCGCCGCACTCGTAGAACTTGCCGTCCTCGACGTTGCCGGAGGATGTGCAGTTGAAGTCGGCAGTGCCGCCGTTGGTGGCCTTGACGTTGAACTGGAGGGAGCTGATGGTCTTGCCGTCGAGCTTGCGGGCGTAGAAGTTGTCAATCTTCCAGATGTAATCACCTTGCTGGACGACGGGGCAAGTATCGGCGCGGGCCTCAAGAGGAGCGGCCATGGAGAGGCCAGTGGAGGCGAGGAGGGAAGCGGCAATGACCTTGAACTGCATTCTGAAGGTGTTGATTGTTTGCGGTTGTTGGTAAAGGTTGGAAGTGGTGGTTGTTGGTGTTGGATGTGTGGATGATTGTTGTGAAGATGGTTGTTTGATGCTGTTCAAAGGAGGAGATCCTTCAGACTTATATACCTGATCCTTCGACGCATGCTCAGCATACCGAGAGCGAAGATGATTCGCTTGACGTCAAGTGACACTGCACCTCGACACAAAGCGGAGATCTCTTGGTACCAACTACCCAAACACGAACAGAGAATGTAACTGCAAGGCTAGCTGCGCCATAATTGGAAGGCCCTTGTGCTGAATGCGGTTACTCGGTACTCTGCGTGGCAATCGTGGTGTAGATCCGCCGGCATGAATGGCCGGATGCTTTTACCTTGGTACAACCGTGGATGAAGCCGAAAAATCGTGTCCGGGCAGTGATATTGGCCGTATCTGCCCACGCCGCAGTGCTGAACTGTACGAAGGATGATATTCATGTTACCGTAGACCCTGGTGTTGCATCGTGCCCTAGGGCGAGCAAAACGTCTGCCCAGCAGTGAAGCGGATGGTCGGAGGATCTTCCGCGTGTGTTCATATGTCACTGAATCTTCCGCCTTGCGGCCAAGCCTCGTGTTGACAGCGAGCCGGCACCCTTCTCCACAGTTTGGTTGTCACTACAGGAGTTATTTCGGGATACTTGGGCATATCGCCGCTGTGGATGTCAAGGTGCTGCTGAAGTGTGTTGAAATACTGCAACTTGTGTAGCTACACGAGATATTCGGACATCATCAGTGAATACAATACATGACCTGATCGTGTCAAGTCACTTAGGTACTCCACCAGCAGAAGGAATTGTAATAGAGGACGAATTTAGAAGCTTCGAAAAATGGGTCGGCGGCTGTGCTCATGGAAGCTTCTTCGGTTGCAGCTGTACCAACATCTCTAGTGAACTTGGGACGTCTCCGGCGTAGAGTTTGGAGCAATGGCAGAGGCTGTCAGCGCCGCCGTGCTAACATTGAATCAAGGTAGCGAGCTGCAATAAAGTTGGGTGGGTGGGACTGTGAGATCATCGCCGGTCGGTACGGATGAGGCTGTCGATCGAGCCCCACATTTGCCCGTGCGAGTGGCCTGTGCCACAGCGTGGCTTCATCTTCTTCGTATCGCAAGCCACCAGACATCACCAATCCTTCACACGATGCAAGGCGCAAGCAAGTTTGTTGTTTACGAGAAGGGAAGGAAATACCCATGATGAAGTTACTTTACGACCTCAGTGCTGAAGAAAGAAGTCAGTCTTTAGCATTGTGATAAATAAAGACTGGAGAGAAAGATTGGACAGAGTTCTTGAGGAGCTCGAGCTTGGACCTTCACCAACCCGGATGTACATCGGGTTCCATGGATGGGATACGGTCCGTACGACACTTATCCTTGTGTCGTTTCGTGCAACTTCCATCAGACATCGCGGTACCCATAGACCCCACTGCCAACAAAGTCTCAACTTCCGGATCTGATGTTTCTTGTGACCAAGAATCCTGTCTTGCTGATCGTAATGTCAACTCAAGGGAAGGTGGAAAGTTTGAATTGCGGTCTTTTGAATTACGGTCTTTTGAATTGCGGTCTTTTGAATTGCGGTCTTTTGAATTACGGTCTTTTGAACTGCGGTCTTTTAGAGATGGTGTTCATGTCTAAGTGTAGTATGTTTGCCTCGGAGGCGACCATGCTAATATTCTGCATGGCGATTCTCATCATTCGACTGTGATGATCGCTCGAGTCCAGCATGTGCAGGTTGCAGGCAGTCAACATCTGGATCGTACGTTGGCCGTCCAGGACGTCCTTGCGATCTCTGGGTTCAATCCTTTCACCAACTCCGATGTGCTTTTCTTGCTTTGTATTTCAACATCAATCATCTCAAAGTCCACGTCGCCTGTTCGTTGGCGTGCCGGTCGGCCGGCGTAATCGTTGTGAGGTGTCGAGTGATGAGGGCAGAAGCGGTATGGGTGCGAGCAGCTACACGGAGTGTTTGACGATGCCCATGTCTCGACTTCAGGAATGCGTTGATGACTGGCGCGTTGACAGCAAAGATGGATACGATCTGTGTAAAATTAGCAGTGATCATAACATAGCGTGGGATACCTACTGCCTCTCGCTGAGCCCAAACAGATGCCAATGCAACCTGCACAGAGGAGCCAATTGAGAGTATACATCTTGTTATGGCCATGCCCATGACAAAAAAACCTAGGGAGAGTAAGAATCCGATTTCAATTTTCCTGGACAAGATGTAAGCGGTGTTTCGTGTGAGAAACCTGAATTCACTCACCTCCACATAGCTGTCTGTATATCCTTCAGTACAGCCTTCTAAGTCCGCCAATAACAGCGAATTCACAGCTACTTGCAACCTTTCTCATTATTTCTTCATAAGGAGCGCCCTCCCTTAATACCACCAACGTATCAAGCCAAGAATCACCTATATCATATTCGCTAGAACTTTGGAGCGCCCTTCCTCTTCAACGAATAACCTATGCGTCCTCTTTATCTAGACATCACATAGATCTTCCCACTGAGCTCGTGGACAAATCGAATCCTAAAAAGTCGATAGACAAACAGCATCTCAGTCTTCACGCCATCACCCTAGAGATGAATGGACCATTGGTTTTCAGACCAAGAGATCGTAGAGCAGGTTCCAAAGCACGAACCGAACTAATAATATTACCTTGAAAAAGAATTTCTCGTGATATTGTCTATTCTAAATCCAATGGCCTCCGTCCAGCTACCGAACGACTGCTAGAAGCATCAGCATACCAAGAAACCCATATTGCCAGACATTCAGCGATAGGGTAGAAGCACGACTTGTAGCAGCTTGTGCGAGTGCCGCACTTGCACTCGCAGTCCACCACATACCCGTCTGTGTACCTGTTGACGTACCAGAAGCCGCTACCGTCGCCGTCGACGACCCGCTCTCCGTATCCTTAGAAGACGAAGACGAACTGGCACTCGAGCTTGAACTCGAATCATCCGCATCGTTGACCTTGATGCTCGTGTAGTCTCCCGTCAAATCGCCATACGAATAGCTACTCCCAGGGTTGTCGTTCACGACCTCGATCTTCTCAAGATACATGGTGAATGGCCCGTCACTGTACGTCGTTTCTCCGCCCGCCCACTCAATCGTGCCCTCATCGTTCCCGGAATCGCCGCCTGCCCAGATTCCGATGCGGATGTTCATCGGTGTCTGGGGGTAATTCGTTCCGCTGACCGCGTCCGCATAGTTCAAGGTCCTGATCGCAACTTCATCGACATACCAGGTCGTTTCGCTGCTTGTCCAGGAGATGGTGTAATTATGCGTCGTCGTCTGCGTGTCGCTCGCAGCAGCCCAAGCCGCGCGGTCATAGGACGTTGTATTGCCCTTGCCGAAGTAGTTGCTCTGTACCTTGGAGACGTAGTCGGTGCCGCCGAGCCACTCCCAGTCCAGTTCGTCGAGGTCGTCGGATTCGAGGATGGCGGATGATACGATGCCAGTGCTTGGTGCGGCTTTGAGGAAGAAGGAGACGCGGCCGAAGAAGATGTACCATTTTGATTGGATGGTAGGCGCATCGCCGGATTTGGTGATGGTGAATTCGGCGCCCGAAGAGGTATATGTTACGTTGCCAGCGGTGATGTTCCAGGCGTCATCGTCGGCTCCAGAAGTGGTAAAGTCGTGGGTGTAGGTGCTGGAGGAAAGGGCTGTGTCGTCGGGGCAGGCTGGTGGAGGTTAGAAGTAGTCGGTGTGCATACGACGGTTTTGCTCACTCTTTTCTGTAGGATTGCAAGATGTCGTTGTTTGAGCGATTGTTCTGGATGCTACCAGCAGCAGTGTCAACCATGTAGTGCATTGAGAAAGCATGATGCGTGGAGTGCGGTTTAAGTGGCAATTCGCCCTATCTGTTCGGTCTGACGATAGATGCTATAATAAGATAGGTGACTGGTCTGGAGAAGATCTGATGAAGGGATCAACTCCAGGAGCGGTGGGGAGGAAGCGTTCTTGAAATGCTCTCAACACCAGCCACATGAGTACGTAGGCTTTGTACAAAAGTTGCTAGAAGCGATAATCGACTCATAATGGCCTCGTAGATGGCGGCGGGATCTAAGCATTAGAATCAATAAGTGACGGATTCCAGGTACAAAAAGGTTGTGGCTGGATGTTGAGTTATGCTCAAGACGCGCGCAGGGTGACGACGCCCGCCCCACCCGCACATCGTTGCGGCTGAACCGGTTCGCGTCCATGGAGACGGCAATGTGGGGGCAAGCATATACGCGACTCGATGGACGCTTCAAAGCGCTCTGATAGTCATCTGATGAACATCGCTGGGGTGCTCAAGTCGAAGATTGAGAGCCTGAGCGGGGTGTGGATTCGAGGTGTTGATTCGAGGCACTCTACTTTGACAACAACACTAACAGACTTTAAGCCGTACTGCTTCCATATTTCGAACTCCTAAAAATTCTTTGCGTCGTGTCGCGAGACTCATGGGTTGACATGCGATGTGGTCCGTGGTATTGGAGCTAAGAAAGGGAGGATTGCATCAAAGCGGGACGACAGAAATAGAAGGGACTATTGACCGTTACCTGGGTATCAGCCATCTCTACACCACTGCACCTCAGGAGGTCATATGGGCTCGTAGAATATCGTGGCGAGCAACGCTGTCGGATGTCAGTATTGACAATAGTCGGAAGAAAAGTCATCCGGCGAGCAACCCAGATGCTCCAATATTTCATCAACACGCAGCTACACCTCAACCACCAAACCATCTTGATCACCCAGTATCCTCTACGTCTGATTGTTTTGCTGTGCCATGTAACATGTCGATCTGAAGGGTCAGATATAGGCAGGTATCGACTGTTAGGGAAAGCTTTCGATTAGCGCCGTTCAAAGGAGCTCTTTCGAATCTCTGTCAGATGCATGAGTAACGATAGGGAACTTCGAGGAAAGCTTGCATCTGATTAGCGAGTAGAAAGTGCACAGGGAAAGAAACGTGAAAGCGGATGACGTTAAACCATCATATTCATATCAAGGCACCCGTCAGGTCAGGCCTCGTACTGAGTTCATATACATACTGCTTATGGTATATTGCAGTCGACTCCCCATTTCTTGTGTTCATCTCAGTCCATCTTGTCCGCTCTCTTAGTTCGGCGGGTTAACCGTCTTGCTTGTAGTCTCCTCGGAGTGCTTCTCGAGGATGTGGGTAGGGTTGGAAGGAAGCCCGGACTTCTGGTCATCAGACTTCTCCTGGGTCTTGGTCTCGGCGCCCTGCTGGTTGGGCTGCGCTTGCTGGCCCTTCTGCGCGTCGGACTGGCGCTCGGGCTCGGGGGACTGGCGGCCTTGCTGGGGTGCAGACATTGTGGTTGTGATGTCTATGTATCTGTCAGCAAGGTGTGGTGCTGGAGTTTGATTTGCAGCAAGATAACAGTGAGTTTTGGAGGGGTGATACATGTTCGTGATGGTAAGAGCTGGTTTGGTGAGGTTGGAAGAGCACGTACGTTGGAGATTTGTTTGGTGGAGTGGGTAGAGTTCTACGATGACGTTAGCAACTATACTGCTTCACACGAGACTTATTTCGATAACATACCTTTAGTTCGAGGATCGATTGAAGGGTTGCAGGTGAGATGGTGTCTCCTCGACGAGCCCCGCGTCTCTTTTGACCTCTGTTCTGCCCCCACCACCATGACGTCACCGCGTCAGAAGCTCAGATCGCTCCTGCCGCATAACACCGACGTAACGTGTGAGGTGCTCCACTCAACAACGTCGCGCCATTTTTACCGTGCTTGTTTTGCCGACTTCTGGCAGATTACCATGCATGATGATCAATCAGGTCCAGCGCCCTGATTTGTGATTGATGGAGTTGCACCTCCGGTTGTTGAGCCTCGAATCGCGAATGCGGTCGGCGATTGAACCGACCAGCGGTATCAAAGGCCGAACGTGCATGAGGAGACCAGCTACAATTGAGAAAAGTCTGGGTTGTGAAAGGTATGTTCAAGTTCACGGCGTGGACGCTGTGATGTGAGCTCTGAAGTTTGATCATTCGTATCATAGTAGGGGTATACGTTCTATCATGTGTGTCGCTTTGAGACTCTTGTAGTCTTCATCGTCAACTCCTCTTTCCCATCTCGACATCGCCCTCCCCCTCCCCGTCTTCATCCCACTCGCTCCCCTTGAGTCGTTTCCCAGCCCACAGCCCGACTGCGGTCATGACGCTTGCAGCCAGAAACCACCCTTCGAACCACTTCTCTGTGAAGCTTGGTTCCAATGGAGCCCCTAACGCATCGCTGATGGCTGACTTCATCTCAACTGGAAGATTACTTCTAAGTAACAGCGCAGAGCTGATGACATATGTTGCTGCTATCTGTGAAATGAGGAGGGCGAAGTTGGCTTGTGCGTGGTGCAAGATCCCAGGAGCCGCGCGGCTGAAAAGGTAAAAAGTTTGTAGGACGGCGTTGAATGAGAGGAGGAGGATTACGCCGGATAAGAGGAACGAGATTGTGCGACTCCATGCTACGCGGTCGATGGTGGGGTCCCAGTGTTTTGCCAGCAGCGCGAGGAAGTTGTTGATTGGATCTGAGGAGGCGAAGGAGGCGGAAGAGGACGAGAAGCGGCGCAGGGTTGTGATGCTTGTTGCAATTATGCGGTAGGCGCAGTAGAGTGCGAAGACGAAGGAGAAGGCGTTTAGGACCCGTCCGTACGCGGTGTGGGAGCGGAGTTGTGTCTGACGGCGGTTTTGGAGGATGGACTGCGAGCTTTGAAGCGTATGGCGCATTGTCTCGAGACCTTGGATTTCAAGTTGCAACATGTTGCGTTCTTGGAGATCTGGGTTGCCGCGGAATGTACCAACAACACGGCCCATCAGGCCTTCTTGAGGGTGATCGGTGAGCTTGCGTTCGATGGCGCGGAGGCGCGACTCTTTGGCTAGGAGCATATCGTTCGTGGCCTGGATGCCGGCTTGCTTGCGGGAGATGTCTAAATCAGACACCTAAACGTGTCAGTATGACTGCAAAAGATGAGCAAGGCATGTGCTTACCGGCCGGTATTTGACGCCAAAAGTCTGCCATAGTGACGAGACTGCAGCGAAGCCTGTCAATGATGCCATCATGCTTATACCAATGACGCCGATTCTTTCCAAGCAGCCTTCGCTGAATGTATGATCGTGCACATACGATTCCCCGTGCAAGTATGTGCCTAGCAAACCGCTGCCGAGGTACCAGAAGCCTGCGAGCCATACTGCTAGTCCGCAAGCCTCCAATATCCATGCCACCTTTCGCTGACCTCTTTGCGCGCCTCCAGTGTTCCACCCAGCTCCAGACACGACCGAGTGTATTTCAAGCGCTGGTGTCGCAACGACGAGGAGGAACAGCAGCGAGGGTAGGGTGAGCTTGAGGGCTAAGGTGCGAGTCGCGCGGTTCCCAGTGCTTGTGATTTCGCAGAAGATGAGCTCGGCGAGGACGGTGGAGAGTGCGATGTTGATGGAGAAGATGACAGCTGCGAGGGATCGCGCATTCAGTCGTAAATTCTTGAACAGGGAGGCTCGTTCACGTGAAGCTACTCCAGGTAGACGTGCATCGCTGTGCTGTGCCTTGCGGTCCGTGTGCCCAGAGACTATAGGGAACAGCTTCTGAGAAACACCGAGCGCCACAATCAGGAAGGTGAGGAGGAACGGAAGCGCTGAGATGATCGTCTTCACCGGCCCCCTCTGGACCATATACTCTGGCACGCACTCATCGCAGTCATCGTCCAGTGGAACCATAGGTAAAGCGGTAATTGGGTGGAGTAGCGTAGGAAGTCAGGTAGTCGCGGTGCTATCTATCACCACGTCGTGTTCGAAGATGTGGCTTGTACGTCCATGGGCCTCAGGTGGGGGTCTCAGTCGTTAGGATGCATGAATATGAAAGGCGTGCCCACCAGAAATGAAGCGGGTGTTGTGTGTTAAGAATAGAGCACCTCGGAAGCAGTCGTAGTCAGGAACGCGTGTTCCTCGAAACGCCGCTAGAACCGTCAAACGTCATCTCGTCGGTCAAACAGGGATGGCACGGCATGTGTAGACGATATCGATACGTAGCTTGGCTTCCCATAATGTCCATAAGCATGACAAGGCTGTTTGTCAAGTATTAATAGTCGATTCGATATTTTGACTGGCTTCACTTCGTAACAGCCTTGTGTGCCCTGCCACTGGAATGCTCGAGTAGAATATTACTTTGACATGTCTTTTCATTTGGCCAGAAGGTTGAGTTGTGGTATCTTTGCTGTCTCGTGCAGTCTCCAATTGCCCATCCAGAGCCATATCTAAAAGAACTGCCACCTCATACGCCCTCCATGATCTTCTGCGCTGCTGACCTGTGATCCACCTTGGACGTCTGTTCTGGCGCTTTGTACGCAGCTTCACGTTCGTTGGCAGCTGCTCTGCTCGCTGCCAACTCTGCTGCCGATGCCGGCTGGAACGGCTGGAATTGTATCGGCTCGTGCGGTTGTGTACTCGTCCCTTCACTAGTAGTCCCACCTATTGCCTCATCAGACCCAAAATTTATTGTCCGTGTTGACACACCGCCCTCTCCGTCTTCATCCTCGCTGCTCGAATCGCTGCTGATATCAGGACTATCGAGGTTCTGTAGCTCAGGGCTCTTGAGTAGCGAGCCCGGACTTCGCAGGTCCTTCTCGTCTTCACTCTCCTCTGCGCGATGTACTTGTGCCAGTGGTGAAGGTTCAACAGGCTGTGTGTATTGCGCATTCTGGGCCTGGAGAGATGCCTTGACCGCAGCAGCCTGCTCGTCAGTCGCCACGAAGCTACCGCGGGGACTTGGAGCAAGACTTGTGGTGACATCGAGCAAGCTTTCGCTCTTGGCCAACATCTCCTGGTAGCCAAGTCGGTTCGGGTCGTTTGCGCGCTTGCTGCGTGCCTTGTCACGCTTAGATGATGGGCGTACAACGATGACAGGTACTGGCGAGTGCTGCAAGCAATACTTGGAGACACTTCCCGGAAGTAGGCCTTGAAACCCGCCCAAGCTTTTGCCTCTTGTTCCGACAACGAGAATCGCAGGTTCGTAGAGGTTGATCTGGTGAAGATTTAGCGGGTGATAAAGCGCTGAACGTGAGAACTGACCATGTCGTCGATGACTTTGTTCACCTTACCCACAGAGAACTCCAAGATGAGATTGATGGCCTTATTTTCGTGATTTCGGCCTTGTATGTCCTGCATCGTCACATCGGCTTCCCTCTTGTATCGTCCGGTTTCCACACTACGGTCACCTGCTATGGTGTCTTCCTTCTCCACAACTCTGAGGCATACGATCTCGTCACCGTCGTCCACAAGTTCGTTGATCAGCCATTGGAGCGCATATGTCGAGTACTCATTCTCGTCGAAACCACATAGGAATGTTCTTGATCGCTTGGTGTACTCGTAATCTTTGTGCTTAGCTATCAAAGTGAAGGAGCTCTCCTCGATGAAGTCTGCCGGCTTGTCGAAGGTATCAAACGAGACACGGGGTTGAAAGTTGCTGTATGATCAAGTTAGTATACGATCTGGTATACAATCCGTATGTGCTCATAGGGTATGGTAGGAGACGTTCGTTGCATTGTCAAGCTCTCAAGTACGGTCGAGGCAGGTGTAAGGGATATTCAGACTGAGATTGGATATTTGAAAAGCAGGTACAGCTCTGACAAAGATTTGCAGAGTATGATTGTGATACATAGTAGTGTATGATATGTACTTACGGAGGAGGTGGTGGGGAGGACAGCCGCCGTCTCTGCTTAGGTTTTGGGCTCCCTCTTGGCAACGACGAGTTCCTGTGTGCGAGGAATTGGATAGACGATCGGCGTGGTTCTTCCTGCGAGAGCGATCCTCTTGTCGGCAACAGTAGCGGGCTCACGCCCTGGCGCGGTGCTGGTGATGCATTGCGAGAAGCGCGGTCCTCCAGAAATGTGCTCATGCTGGCAGGAAGCTGGTCATATGATGCGATTTGTAGTGAGTGTGCGAGCGAGTAGAGGAGCAGTCACTCGGGATCGTCCGCGAGGAGTCTGCTAGCAATGCGGGCCTTTACGGGTACCGGAGGTTCTTGCGATGCGATCGTAAGGTTTAGCGCTTAGCGTGCCTGAGGCGGGGGAGCAAGAGGAAGCGCAGGTGGGGTACACGACGAAGCACGCGCAGTGAGATGTTCAGAAACAACGAGTGCAATTGATGTTGAGGAGACAAACGCTAGACACTCGTGAGGCAGTGCCTGATCCGGTGGATACACCGCTTGGCTCGAAGCAGTTGCGCCTTGGTGGTGACGCGCTGTCAGTTGCCCAGACCCTGACGTACCAGAGCTTCAGCCGCCCGCGGGGTTTAGTGTGGGTCAAAGTGAACTTCACGTGAATCTTGAAATAACCTGAGTTGGGGAAGTCATGAACCAATGCCATTACTGCAGTCGCAATGCAAAGTCTAGATGTCTATAAAGAGGTCGTGATCATCAAACAGCCGTAGTCACCTAAGCCAGGGACTTCGAGTTCAGACCGAGACGCTCGTCCTCGGCCTTGAAGATCTCCTTGATCTTGCCAGCATCCTTCTCGCTGTTGAGCTTGCCAGCGAGGGTAGCGAGCTCGGTGTTGTCAATCTTAGCGATGATAGCATCGACGTCGTTGAGAGCGGCATCGACCTGGGAGGCAGGGGCATCGCCAGCGCCGTGGAAGTAGTTGGCGTCCTTGACGGCACCACGAACAACACGCTTGTTCTTCTTCGCAGCGTTCTTCGCGGCCTCCTTCGCCTTCTTGCCCTCGGCCTTCTGGGCCTTCTCAGCCTCTTCAGCCTCCTTGGCGAGCCTGGCCTCCTCCTCCTTAGCCTTAGCAGCCTCCTCAGCGAGACGCTTCTGCTCGGCCTCCTTTGCGAAGCGGCGCTTGTTCTTCTCTGCGTGCTCGGCCTGGCGGAAGAGCTTGATGCGCTCGTCAAGGGCAAGGGCGTCGTCGACAAGGTGCCTGAGACGGGCAGTGTCCTCGGTCTTCTTCTTCTTGCGGGCAGCGTTGTTCTTGCGCTCGACGTGACGCTTCTGGTCACGGCTCTCGCCGTCATCAGGAACGTCCTCGTCAAGGTACTCGAAAGATCTCCAGCTGTCGAAGTTGTACCAGAAGTTGTAGAAGCTCTCGACCTCCTCCTTGGTGCTCTTGGCGTTTCCGAGCTTGGGCACGGGCTGCTTGGTGGAGAAGCGACCCTCGGCCTCGAAGACCTTGCCCCAGAGCTTGTAGAAGTTGCCCTTCTGGGTATCCTTCTTGGACGGCGGGTCGACCTCAGCGGCCTCGTCCACGGAGTCGAACTGCCTCCTGCGGACAGGATCAGACAGGACCTCGTGGGCCTTCTGGATGCACTTGAAGAACTGATCATCCTCCGTGCCACCAGCGGCAGCCCTCTTGTCGGGGTGGTGCTTGAGCACCTTCCTGCGGTGGGCGCGCTTGATCTGCTCCTCGGTGGCCCTCCAGCGGTGGCGGGTTATGCCGAGGACGGCGTAGTGGTCCTGCGACTTCCAGTCCTTGGCCTCGCGCAGAAGCATCTGGGGGTCCTCGGGCTCGTCGATGTCATCGGGGTCCTCCTCCTCGACGCTCTTGACGTTGGCCTGGGCCTGGATGCGCTCATCCTCGGAGAAAGTGCGCTTGTGGCGGACCTGGTGGCATTGTCAGTCCCGCGTCCTTTGTACAACTTCTGTCTATAAAACCTACTCGGCGGGCGTACGCCAGGAAGTGAGGGCCAACGGGCTCGATCTTGCGGTCGTTGGTCTTGCTGAGGGAGCCGACGGGCTTGAAGTCCTTCTCGCCAGCCCAGCCCTCGGGCAGGACGGGCAGCGGCAGGTTGATCTCGACGTTGGCCATTGTTGCTGTCGTTGCTGGTGGTGGGGACGGCCGAAATAGATTTTACCAGGTGGACTCTTAGCGTCGAAGCCAACCGAACGTGAACCATGCCCTGACGCGCCTCGCTTTTGCCCGTGCACTGCCGACGCTGCCGACGGTCCGTCCGGGGTTTCAATAGTGCTCGTCGCTCCGAGAGTTACAGGTGTACACAAGATAATCATGGGATCGCATTAGCAGTCATTTGTCTTCCCTATTCCTACTTCTGCGCGCATAACATATTGCAAGCATGTTTCAGGGATTCCAGGTACACACTATAACCTCTCATGCTCTTTGTTCTCGAGCTGACGGGGGATCTTGCAGCGCATCCGCGGTGCCATCGATGCACGAATAGCGGAAGAACAGGCAAAGCAAAGAACCACCCCTTCAGTGCCCCCTCGATCAGGCGCTGCGCCCAAACGATCGACTTCGCGGAACCTATCCCCGTCGAAACGGCCAGCAAAGGGCAAAGATGCGGACAACAAGGCAGCGCCGCCCACAGGGAGGGGCCCTGATCCCTCAGAGTTCGACCCTGAGTTTGTCATAGGAGAGGGGGACGAGCAGCCGAGTCGCACAGGGACACCAAAACCGAAGGAGAAGGCACCAGCTGCTGACACACCAGCTACAGCCGAAGATGGCAACAGTAAGGACGACAGTGAAAAGACCACCGAACCCGACGAGAAGCCAGGGAAGGCGCCTGAGATCCCTCCTGAAGTACAGGCCCGATTGCGAAGATTGGACAAGCTCGAACCCAAGTACGCTACGCTTCTGTCCTCGTACCGCATTGCGCACGCTCGAGTCGGCGCCATTGAGACCTTCGAAGCATCCCTGCGCGAGTACACACCGCTCACCTCGATCAACGACGCCTCAGCTTTCGTCGAATACCTCGGCCAGTTGAACGTGAAGAGCGATATGCTCATGGAGGAGTTGAAGAGGGTCTCGAAAGAGCGGGATGGTCTGAACAAGAAGCTTGAAGACGCAGAGAAGCGCGCAAAGGAAGCCATCGAGGAAGTCGAGACGCTCAAAGCCCATGCATCGAACAGCACCGAGGCTTCGAAGGACGAGTCTACGGAGCAGAGCGAGTCAAATGCACCATCTGCGTCAAGGGCGTCTGGGCAGACTTTAGCCACCGACGCGACCGAGGAGTTCTTCTCGTATGACAGCGAGCTCCCGCGACTACAAGAGCAGCTACAAGAAAGCGAAGAGAAGGTTGGCAAACTTGAAGAGGAAAGCAAGTCGCTGAAGAGTGAACTTTCGTCTGCGCAAGACTCAGCCAAGTCCTTGATGGAGAATCTTGAAACTACAACGAACGATCTGAACACTTTCAGGGAAACCTCGCAACGTCTGCAGAGAGAAGCAGATGAGCGAGAGAAGAAGCTTGATAGCGCCATCGAAGATCTCAAGTCTAAGCTGGCAACGGCCGAGCAGGACTTGTCGAAACACCAGGAGGGCCAAGGCAAGCACGAAACGACCATTGCCGAGCTGAGAGAGAATCTGGAATCGACCACGAAGGAGCTCGAAGAGCTGCACGCTTCCAGGGGAGAGGATCTTGTCAACAATGAAGAGGCGGCGACATTGCGCACTCAGGTGAAGAAACTGGAGACCGATCTGGAAGAGCTCAAGTCAGCGCATGCCAAGGGCGAGAAGCGTGGCGAGACGCTCAACGGACTCTTGACAAACATACGGGACAAGCTGAAAGAAACCGAGACCAAGCGAGATGAAGCTCTCGCAGAACTTGAGCAGGTCAAAAAGGATCTGGAATCGAAGGTGGCAGCACAGAAAGAAGAAGTCAAGCCAGAGTCTGCACCGCAACCTTCAGCGGCACCCGCCGCAACGCCTGCACCAGCTAAACCAGCAGAATCCGCGTCGTCAAAGAAGAAGAACAAGAAAAAGAAGAAGGGCGGCAAGGGCGCAGACACACTCGCCGTTGCTGCGACGGAGTCAACACCAAGCGAAGACGGCACTGCCAGCGTACTGCCGAGCCCACGCGAACCAGAGTCCTCGGCGGCTCAACTGGAGGAAGCGCAGCAGTCCGTTGCTCAGCTCAAGTCTGATCTTGAAGCCAAGATTGCTGTCATCGAAAGACTGGAAGGTGAACTCATCGAGAAAGTCAACTCGTTTGAGAGCCTCAAGAAGAAACTCAAGGACCAAGATGACATGCAAGAGGAGATTGAGACTCTGCGACAGGATCTGCTCGACTTCGGTCTAGAACACACAGAAGCCAAGGACAGAGTGAAGGAGCTGCAGGCAGAGAAGATTGCGTTGCAGGATAACCTAGCGAAGCTGGAGAAGGAGATTGCACAGCTGAAGACTGGTCAGGCCGCCCAGGCAAGCTCAGAGAAGGAACGCAAGGCGCTGGCAACCGAGTTCGAAGAGCTGAAGGCCAAGTCGGACTCTTTGCAGACCGATCTGTCTGTCGCAGAACAGCTTGCCGCAACTCGCTTCAAAGATCTCACCGACATGCGAGAGATTCTGCAGAAGGCACAGCCCGAGCTGACCTCCCTGCGCAAGGAAGTCACCGAACTTCGCTCCACCAAAGACGAGCTGGCTGCAAGTACGAAGGAAGTTCGACGTCTAGAAGGCCGCGAAAAGGACCTGAAATCTGAAATCGCCACGTACCGCGCACAGCTCTCCGACAAGGAGGGAGACGTCAGGTCTCTCCACGAGAAGATTAGGCAAGAAACGAAACAGAGACTGGCTCTCGAAGAGACGAACAGTAAGATTCAAAGGGATCTACAAAACTCTGAAAACGAACGGAAAGAGGTCATCGAGAACCAGGCAAAGCTCTCCAGTGATCTATCAAAGGCGCAAGAGGACCTCAAGAAGTCTCGTAATACCGTGCAGGAGCTCGAAGAGGAAGTTGCCAAGCTTAAGCGGGAGGCTGGCAGTCTGCGAGACGAGATCCAGCTGAAGACTGCACAGTACACCAGTGCACAAGATCTCATGAACAGCATGCAAGACCAAGCCCAAGAGATCAGCACTCAGATGAAAGAGATGAGGGCTCGAAGCGAGAGCTTGGAAGAGGAGCTCGCTGATGCGCATCGTCTCCTGAGCGAGCGTGGACGCGAAGCAGAGACCATGAGAAGACTGCTTGCAGATGCGCAGGGGAGGGCTGACGCACGAGTGCGCGAAATGCAGGAACGCCTCGATCTTGCAGTTGAAGAGAGAGAACGCGCCGAAGAGCAAGCCAGCTCATTCAGTCGACGTCGTGCACGAGAGCTCGAAGAGCTGAAGCAGAAGGTCCGGGACGCCGAGCGCGCTGTGACTCGTGCACAGGAGGACAAGGAAGACATCACTGCCGCGGAGAAGGAGCTGCGCAAGCAGAAAGAAGAGCATGAGAAGCGAGCTGCTCAGGCTACTGAGGAAGCCTCAGAGATCAGGTCTGCTATGGGCCAGCTTCGCGATACCCTCGATGAGACGGAGAAGCAAGCTCGCGACCTAGAGCGTGAGAAGACAGAACTTCGACGGGCATTTGATGAGACACAAGGCCGACTAGAGAAGCTGCAGAAGTCAAGCAAGGTAGGCACTCTCACCACCTGTGGGGATATAGTTGCTAACAGACCGCAGACAATGTCTGACGAGCTTCGAGCGCTCAGATCGAAGGGAGCTGACTCCAATCCTCACTCTTCGAGAGCCTCGATCGAATCATCGCGGTCGCGCCTGACTTCTCCCGCACCCAAGGCCAGTGGCTCACCGGCTGACATCGACTACGTGTACCTGAAGAACGTTTTGCTACAGTTCCTAGAGCAGCGCGACAAGAAGTACCAACAGCAGCTCATCCCTGTCCTTGGCATGTTGTTGCATTTTGACAAGTAAGTTACGATCACGTACTTGACCTGTATGCAAATGCTAACGATGGCGCAGGAAGGATGAACAAAAGTGGATGGCGGCTGTTTCAGCAAAGTAGTTGGGTTGAGCTTGGGCGTACCTTTGCATTCACAGGCGTTGGATCAGACAGACAGGCTGTATCAATACCATGTTGGGAGGGATATCATTAGGATGACGACTAGGCAGTAGGCGTCGAAGGAGATTTGTACATTGCTTCAGAACATTTATGGCTTGCAAGGGGTGCGTTAGTACAGCTGTACAATAGCCAATGCATCCGAGCTCATTGGGCAGTCAGGCATCATTTCGACCTTGCATATCTTGAAGCAGACGCGAATTACCGCAAGAAAGGTTTCGGACGCAAAACAGGAACCACTGCAATGCACTGGCCGCTGGGCGTTCCCGGTGCAATGCCGGCGGAGACTATTTCGAGGTCGGTGGTGATGCATTTGGGCGCGATGACATCAGTTGCAGTTTTGGCTGGTGTGCTTCTCCAAGCCTAAGCATGCACAACGGCAACCGGGCAGCGCTCCTCACGCTTTATCCATCATCATTCCCGCGTGTTTGCAGAGCGATTGCAGCATTTGCCTGCGATTACACCCCACGCCTTCACACAGCTGCAGCACCCCACCCCACCAATCAGGGGCGCAGTGCCAGGATAGGCCCGAGAGACGAGCGCTAAGGCGATCTCCCAGCAATTGAAGAAATCGCAAACGGTGCGACAGCAGGCATATCGCGCTGGATAGACGTGTCTCCCTACAAGCAACACCCCATCACCTGCACCGCACGCCGATGAGGTGCAGCCCGCGCGTCGACTCGGCCTGATCGCACACCGCATCTCCCCACCCCTCCTCCGATCCTGGGCCAGCGCGTGACGGGGAAGCCCACGATGAATGGCGCCGACATCAAGAAGGCCGCCATCAACAAGGCGAAGGCGGTCGCGCAGGCCGCCAACGGGAGCGGCGGCAAGAAGCGGCGGAAGGGCCAGGACCTGAAGCCCATCATCACCACCGAGGGGCAGAGCGCACAGCCTCAGTACAAGTGAGTGTAGTAGCATAGCAGCCCTTCATCAGCCCCCCTCTCCCCCCCCCCCCACAGCTTGGCGCCCGACACTTTTTAGACGTGCCCTGCCTGCGCCATGCCGCCCGCACCACCGCCCTGGCAGCATTTGAACACTGCTGCTGGCATGTGCTAACCGCCCCGCAGCGTGCAGAACACGGCCTCGCCGCTGCAGCAGCACAAAATGTACGGCAACAGCCTCAACCACTCACCCGACAGCAGCTCGTCGTCCGTCGACGAGGCCGACAACACGGCCGACGAGGAGGACAGCGAGGACTACTGCAAGGGCGGCTACCACCCCGTCCAGGTGGGCGAGGAGTACAAGGACGGCAAGTACACCATTGTGCGCAAGCTGGGCTGGGGCCACTTCTCCACCGTCTGGCTGTCCCGCGACAACGTCACCGGCAAGCACGTCGCCCTGAAGGTCGTGCGCTCTGCCGCCCACTACACCGAGACCGCCCTCGACGAGATCAAGCTGCTCAAGAAGGTCGTCGACGCGAAGGAAACTCACCCCGGCCGCGCCCACGTCGTCAGCCTGCTCGACTCGTTCAACCACAAGGGCCCCAACGGTGTCCACGTCTGCATGGTCTTTGAAGTTCTCGGCGAGAACCTGCTGGGCCTCATCAAGAGATGGAACCACCGGGGCATCCCCATGCCGCTTGTAAAGCAGATCACGAAGCAGGTGCTGCTGGGTCTCGACTACCTCCACCGCGAATGCGGCATCATCCACACCGATTTGAAGCCCGAGAACGTACTGATAGAAATTGGCGATGTCGAGCAGATCGTCAAAGCATACGTCAAGGAGGAGCCTAAGAAAAAGGATGACGGCGACAGCAGTGACAGGAATGGCAGGCGGAGAAGGCGGACACTGATCACTGGGAGCCAGCCGCTGCCTAGCCCATTGAACGCCAGCTTCAACCACGCAGAGCTCGGCAATTTCCCTGGGAGCACGCAGAGCCTCAACAGAGTCATGAACGAGAGCACAGGTAAAGAGTCCCCCACGACTATTCCGAGTCCATCTTCTTCTCAAGACGGTTTTGTAATGAGTGGTGCTCTAGGCACTTCGTCACAGTCTTCCGGCATGTCCATGGCAGAGCGCCTCGGCCTGAAGCCCAACGCTAGCGAGGATGACGTACAGAAGCAGCGCGAGAAGACAGCGTAAGCCACGAACCCCGCCTGCAACGATCATTTCTGACACTGCACAGTGACCTTCTCACCAAAGAGGTATCCGGCATCAGTCTTGACAAGCAGTCTACATCCTCGAAAGAAAAGTCCGCCGAAGGCACACCAGACCTTGCGTTCGAGAAGATCTCAGTCAAGATCGCCGATCTCGGAAATGCCTGCTGGGTCGGGCACCACTTCACGAATGACATCCAGACACGACAGTATAGGTCCCCAGAAGTCATCCTGGGCAGCAAATGGGGCGCCAGCACTGACGTCTGGAGTATGGCAGCCATGGTACGTTTTCTCCCACCAGGTGTCATGCCCGAATACTAACACATGTTCAGACTTTCGAGCTGATAACAGGTGACTACCTCTTCGACCCACAATCCGGCACAAAATACGGCAAAGACGACGACCACATCGCGCAAATCATCGAGCTCCTTGGCACGTTCCCCAAATCGCTCTGTCTCTCCGGAAAATGGAGCCAAGAGATCTTCAACCGCAAGGGCGAGCTGCGTAACATTCACCGCCTGCGCCACTGGGCGCTGCCAGACGTGCTGCACGAAAAGTACCATTTTGGCAAGGAGGAGAGTAAGGAGATTGCGAGCTTTTTGCTGCCGATGTTGGAGTTGTTGCCTGTGGATAGGGCGAATGCGGGGGGCATGGCGAGCCATGAGTTCCTGAAGGATACAAAGGGGATGGAGAACGTGGATTTGGGAATCCCGTGTAGGAGTAAGGGTGAAGGGATCGAGGGGTGGGCGACGGAGATCAAGAAAACGAGGTAAACGGACTTTGTGTCTGTACCGAGTTACGAAGTTATGAGCTGGGTGGGAGGGCTGCTTTTGGTCATACTGCATGCGAGGATCGGTCATTGGCAAAGAAGCAGGCGAACGTGTTTCTTGAAGTTAGAGTCATGGTGAAGAGCAGGGTCAGACAATTGATCTTGGCTTGAGCGGATATTCTTCATGACACATTGGTTTAGAGTGCAGCTAGGCGTTGATGAAATGTTGGAATATCTTTACTTCCTAGCCTGTCGTTCAGAGCAGTGCGTCTAACGATGCTAAGCAGCATTCTCCGTTCCCAGCGACCAGAGGCTCGTAGGTACGAGAAACCCCACAATGGGGAGCTAGGCACTAATATTTCATGTAAGGCTACGAATACCAGAATTGTGTTTTGGCAACGGCATGTCGCTCTGCCCTCCCACCCTCCAAAGATAGTCAAAGCTAGTAGGTGTACCTGAAGTTCTCCATCCCCTCCAGCACCACCTCGCCGCGATCTGCCTTCTTGTTCTGGCGCCAGTAGTAGAACACCATAGCCAGGGTTGACACAATCAGATACAGCTGCGCGCCAGTAACAGCCCAAAGACCCGTCCTGTAGGTCGGCGCCTCCTTTTGCATGAACACAGTCGACGCATAGATACCGCCAATGGCACCGAAACCAACTTGGAGGCCAGACGCGACCCTGTGGCTATCAGCAGATGGAGCATAAGAAGAGACAAGGAGAAGACTTACATGCGTAGAGATTGCCCGCGGATGTTGTTCGCCTGCCATGCCAGCGCAGTAGGGATATTGGCATTCGCTCCCGCAAGACCCATGAAGATACCGAAGTACCTGGCGCCGTTACCTTTAGCGTACGCAACAATCATCAAGCCAACGATTCCCAGGATACACTGCAGGATGATGAACGGAGAGCGAAGATGCCACTTATCAGCTGCCCAGGAGCAGAACATGATCCACGGTACAGCAGCCACAGCCGGTGGCGCAGAGAGAAGAAAGGTCATTCCCACGCTGTAGCCCATACCCTGTAGGATGATGGGGATGAAGAAGGCCAGGGCATACACGATGGTTGTGACAGCGAAAAACTTCATGGCGAATACCCAGAGCTCCCAGCGTGCGCAAGCTGACAAGAACTTGGACATGGTGAGCTCGTCATACTCGGCGTCGCGGCGGTCGCGCTCCAGCTTGGCCTGGATTGACTGGACTTCAGCGGGCTTGAGGAATGGATAGCGTGATCTGAGGACTTTGTCCGGAAAGTCGACAATCAGTATTCGACCAAGCACTGCGAGGCACATGGTCATTGCGCCGTTGATGATGAAGATCCTGGTCTCATGAGTTGCAGTCCACATATTTCGAGCGCGATCTACTTACCAGCGCCATCCTAGCCAGCCATTCTTCCCCGAAAGCTGCATACAGCCGTACGCAAGAATCGAACCGAACCCGTTGGCCAATACATTGATACTGTAAAAAGCTGCGAGTCGCTTCTGTACCTCAAATCTCGTATACCAACACGAGATGAGATACACAGATCCGGGGAAGAAGCCTGCTTCGAACAAACCAAGCAAGAGGCGACAAACAACGATATCAGTCCACTTCTTTGCAAAGCCAGCACCGAAGGTCACAAGTCCCCAGGACATACAAAGGAACGAAAGCCAGTTTGCTGCACCAATCTTGCGGAGCACAACGTTGCTAGGGATCTCGAAGATGAAGTAGGTAATAAAGAAGACCAGGAGGGCGATGGAGTAGCGGTCGCCGATTCGGAAGGCGAGCTCGATGTCCATGCCTGCAATTCGCGCAGCAGAAATCTGGGATGAGCGTTAGCCGTACAATAAACCTTCGAACGACGGGTTGCAAGAGTTGGATGTCGTACATTGATGCGGTCAATAGCACTGATCGAGTAGCTGACAACCTTATTAGTCCCATGTAGAATATGAACATGTGGTGTGCGAAGCTTACCATGCACCGAGAATTGGCACAAGACGCCAGTCTGTCTTGAGTCTGTATTGTTGTGAGCCAACATTGCTCAAGAAATCGAAGTTGAAGCTTACGTAGCTCGCTTCACGATCTTCTTCTCCTCCCCAGTAAGGGTTGCATTAAGATCCTTCGGTACGTTGCCCACATCGAGGGAAGCGACCTTCTCAACTTCAATTGCTCGTGCACCCTTCTGCACGCTGTCTATGTTGGTGAGCGGTGCCATGCTGCCAACTCAACCGGTAAGGGAAATAAGGTAGTGATAGGAAAAGGGGTGAAGATGTCGGAAGATGTCGGAAGATGTCGAAAGATCCAAGGTTATGGTGAGTGCAAGAGTGCCGCAAACGTGTCCGACCCGACACTCTGGTCGAAAACAGCTCATGGCACCCACGCTCCTTCCCTCCATATCTTTATACGCACCTGCTGTCTTCCATGCCCTTGCACCCATCAAGAGGACTCATTTACCAATTCGTCCTATGCACAGCAGATGCCGAGCCCTCCAAGCATTGGCAATGTGCAGACGCTCTCCGGATGATTGGCTGCCGCTAGCGGCCATTCCATTCACTCGTCGTTCCTCGCACATCCCCCGCATTTCGCCAACGAAATCCTACAGAGAGCGACAGGGGATGTCAAAGGACTAGATGTCGTGCATGTACGATTCTCTTAGGTCGACACGGATACCGAGGATGCTGCACTTGACTGTGCAACGTGATGGGTTGAGCTGCGCGAAGTGTCGTTGCCGTCTCGCCTGCTAGGACCTTTCGGGTGGAAGAAAGCGCTGTTGCGGCTTGTGTGTATACTGGGCGTCTTGATAGGTGCTGAGAACCGCGGTCTTGTGAACTGGGAAGCTGCGCGATTGGCTGAGCATCCCGAAATGAAAGGCGATGTGACAGCGAAGCAGCTGAAAGGGGTTTGCGAACAAGAAAAGAGCAAGAAGTGAGGATGTAACGGTGATTAAGGTTTGAGGGCAGGTGCTCGAGACCTGGCTTTGTCAGTGCTGACTCGAGAAGGGTAAGTGCACACTTGAGGATCTCAATCTCGACGGACCATCAAGAAGCAGATATCTGCTTTTTTGTACCTGCGTCTTTCGAGCTTTTGGTCGGTACGTTGGAGGCATTTACTTCCTTAGGTTCTTGAATGCTGTCGTTGGCCGAGCGGCTGCACAATGAACAATTAGTGCTGGACATCGTACGCTAAGCACGCTGAAATACGATGGTGTCTAGTAAGTCGACTGCTTATTAGACCTACCTTACTATGTACGCATACCATGAGAGTGTTCTTTACGCAGACGTGAACGTGCTGACCTTCACAGATCCTCCGAGCCCCTTTGTCGCATAATTGAAGATACCAAATCGATAGCCAAGGAAGAAAGCCCAGCCATTATACAGCTCATACGTCGTACCCAGCTGGACGAACTTCTTGCCATCGTAGCTGTACAAAAAGTTCGCGTCGCGGCTGCCGTTCGGTCGAGCATCCATCGTTGTACGCAACCAGATCTTGCGCACACCTTCGCGCACCTGCGCGGTGTCAACCACATGGCCAAGATCGAGGGTGACTCCCGAAAACTCGTCGATAGTCATGTTCTGCGCGGCCACGATGCTGTACTTTGTTCCTTCTCGATGGATTCCGATGTAAGCACTGCGATCACGGAACGCTGCTAGACCACTGCGATCACCATCGGCCATGGAGGTAAAGTCGAGCTCAATAGTTCCAACCGGGTATTCGCCAAACACTCGATGAGTGAGAGTGTTGCGGGCTGAGTAGAGATCGGTCGTGTTGCTTGCAGTCTGCAGCGTCAGACCGTTGTTGACTGAAAACTTCGTTGTATCTGGGTTATGGTTCCACTCAAATGTCGGTCCAAGCGATGGACCTTCGAAACGATATGTACCTGTCAATGGCTTGACAGGCTTTGCTGGCAGTGGAAGAGGGTAAGTCTTGCCCCAGCCGCCATTGTCGCCGTTGACAAAAATAGGAAAGCCATCTGAACCCCACGTCACGGGTGCCAGGACAGGCAGTCGGCCGGATGGGTATGCCCAAGTGAACGACATGAAGTACCATTTTCCATCAGCAGTCTGAATCAAGCTACCCTGGTGGGGTGAATTGCCTCCTTCCACGGGCGACCTGATGTCTTTCACCAGTTCCTTGGCTTCGTAAGGGCCCCACGGGCTCTTCGACTTCCAGATGAATGTTGTGCCGCCAGGTCTGTCGTTCAGCACATAGTAAGTGCCGTTGATCTTGTACATCCGATTCCCTTCGATAGTGTCGGCGCCTACATCTGCCGCGCTAAAGACATCCTGCGTCTTCACTACGCTTAGGCCATCCGCAGCAAGCTGCGAAACCTTGACTTGACCGTTGCCGTAAACAACGTACATAGTATCGTCATCGTCGATCAAGATTCCATTGTCATATAAGCAATTGTTACTGCCGAAGTTCGCTCGATTGGACCACGAACCCTCGGGAGTGGAAGCAGTGAAGACCCACGTCTGCCAGAAGTTGACGCAACCGATCCAGTACCAGGTCTTGTTACTCTTCCGGTATCGTAAGCTAGATGCCCAAGTGCCACCACGATACGAGCGCTCGCCAGTAGGAGGAAGATCGTAGCCATTGCCGAAGTTGAGACGCTCAATGGAGTGGCCTACAGGTTCCCAGTTGACGAGGTCCCAGGAACGGAGGATTGGTGCGCCAGGACTGTAGTGAAAGTTTGAAGCGGAGAAGTAAAACGCTCCGTCAGGACCAACAGATACATCGTTGTCGGGGTAGTCGCTGTAGACGACCGGGTTGATAAATGTCGCGTTCTGTTGAGCTACAGTATTGGTGAAGGTCAACACGAAGCTAGCAAGAGCCAATAGGCGTCGGAAAAACATGTTAGAAGTTCGATTTTGATATGAATGGTAACTCACGCGCGCATCTGTCTTTATATGCTAGGTACATTTGACATGTGTTTCAGTATCAACTATATTTCGCGACTATACGGCCCGGCGGAATAGAAGTTAGCATCCTTCCGGATCATCAAATTGGGAGATCGTACCTGTCGTGTTCTATCCCAGCAATTTCCATAACCCCGCATAATCCTAGTCTTTGTAGCCGCAACTGGAAGGAGCCTATAGGGTGAGCACACAATAACGCCTTTTCTGGAAATCTTATATGGGTATACTTCGGCCTTGAATCTGCTATTTGAATGTGCATAGTTCTCGCACTCGGATTCGCAGGCTGTAGGTATGAACTAAGTACTGCACTTCTTACCGACCCTTCTCGTCAACGAATAGTCCCAACTCGACTGCACCCGGTGTGATCAGGTCAGCTTGAATCTCTCCGAGGAGCCCTTTCTCGAGGTATGGGTTTGTATCAAGTTCCAGATACCGGTTCTTTGCCCACTTCCGCAGTGAAAGGAACAACGACCGTCCGTTGATCGAATGGTCGCTCAAGATACATAAGAGGCATTGGCTGGCGTCTTCAACAGTGGCAAACTCGATGCCCATTTTTTGAGTCTTCTGGAACGTCTCTTCAGGTAAGATGTTCTTCTTCACGTACCAGGGTGAGATGGCGTTCACACGACTACTGTAGCAGAATGCTGTTCGTCGTAAGCGTATATGATGCCTCGCATGCCCCATTTGGCAGCACAGTGCTGTGGCGTCCTTGGGACACCGAGGAAGGCCGCACCTGAGCCGATGAGCACGGGACAAGTGTCCTGCTGAGAAGGGGATGGTGTGGTGCCATTTTGTCTGATGAAGTAGTGGAATTCAAGCTTAGCCGTGTACCAATACAGTTGTGTGCGTCTTAGACTGGTCTTCAATCACTCGTGCGCGGACTGAACGCCAGCCAAAGCTTGCAAATCAAACAAGTCGTCTGGCCATGGCTGCAAACAGTCGACAACGCATCGGCGCAAGGCTATCCACATCAGAGATTTGTACTTCGGAAATGGCATTGCGTATTCTCTTGCAGAGAATTTTGTTCAGAATCTAAGTCACACAGCCAGCTTTCAGGTGTTGGCTACTATCTGCGATGCGACTATCCAGTCCCAGTAGCCTCGTAACAGTGACCGCATCACGATGGACAAACGTTGTCTCAGACAATCATCTCTTTCGACTTTTGCTTACAGCCTACATCCTCCACCAATATCGAAGCTGTCCTGTCTTTCGAAAGGAGTTTTTTTTTACGGACAAGCAGTAAGCTCGCGCCCACAAAAGAGGCAGCTATTCGCTAACTTGATCGTACCACCAGAGGTATACAGTACACTATGGAGGCAATCGACTTGGCCAACGAGATGAAACTTTGGCAGAAAGTACCTGAGATCAAAAACGACAACATGCGGAAGGCGCGCGAATTTCCTGCCTGGGGGTACGTTTTGTGTCATCCGCTTTCAAGACAACATGCTGATATTCCCCTTTGGCTCTGGCTATGGACCACGATGTACACATACTATTACATGAGACCACCTCTTCTACCACCACCAGACTACGAAGTACCTAATCCCGACCTGGATCCTGAATGGTATGGGGAAGTCTGGGTTCGATACTGTCAAAACTCTGTACGGACGCCGATCCTGCTCGATCATAACTTCAGAGAGACGACACGGTTACGTCTGATACAAGCTGACATCGGGACCGCCATGTTTGGCAAACTGAACAACGCAGACGGTTTGTCATATGAACAGGCTTTGATCTTCAAGGCGAGGCTTGGTGCATGGCTTCATGCACTTCCAGAGCCACTATCAGCCAGCAAGGTCGTGTACCCGGGTCACATCTCCCTTCAGTAAGCGGAAATGCGTATTGTTTCATGTGACTTGACTGATCGAAATGCCAGCTTGGAATATCATGGCACATGTCTGGCACTCTTCCGGACTCATCAGCAGAATTCTTGTGACGCTGTAGCACAAGCGAAGATCGGCTTGGAGACTCTGTGCGTCTTTGCTTCCTCGCCACAGTTTCGATACCTGCGACGTCTTTCTGTGCAATTTTCTCATGTATGTTGCGAGTATCGCCATCGAAGCTCTGAACAGCACAGCAGCAAATGCTGCTACAGCAGATGTGTTCCGCTCAACGCTCATTCTGTGCGCACAGGTAATACCCCATACACTCCCTCCCTTGTCTAACTCCGCTGACCCAACACAGGGCCTCAAGAGTCAAGCCTCCCACTACTACCTGGGCAGTCTAACCTACCGTGTGTTACGCAACCTCATGAACCCTGACGATGTGTCACGGCTTGGATCATCTCTGAGCTTGAAGGGCAACGAAGAAGATGAGCAGATGGCGGCAGATCATATATAGACTACCTGGCCTATCCCGCATATTCTCAAATTGGGCGAGAATCCGACGAAAGCGGCGTTGCGCTCGATGATCTCGAAGCATGAGGACTCGATTGATGAGACGAGCGCGGACGAAGATGCGAGTTCTCCAGTCGTGTTGTGGAGGGTTCCACATGATCGTTGCGTTTGCGGACAATTTGCATATCCTTGAGGCTTCGCATGGAGGTGATAGAGGAGAGAGTGGGTCAATAAGGATGCACTTGCTTACAGCGCGCATGTAGACACGTCCGAATGTATACTTAACCGCACCGATTTTGCACTGCGACATTGGCTGACGATACTGAAGCAGCGTTCCAATTTATCAAAGGAACGGGCCAGCTGTAGGCGTATGTAGCCAGGTGTAAAGCTTCTGAAAAAAGAACATGACAAAGTTTGTAGCAAGTTTCAAGCGCAGCCCCGTTTGAAAGACGTCTCATTCTTCCATGGGATTGCGACGCGTTTTCAAAAGACATCCAGTAACAGTCAGCGCATTCAGGAATCTCCAGAACGAGCCAGGACATAAATTTACCGTTGTTCTCCTTTTGGGCCTATTGAAGGATGGAGCAGTTGTCCAAGTAATAAAGTGGTGACAGACAAGCAGACGAGTACAAACTTTAGGGCAGGACTGCAGCGCCGAACCATGAATTATTAGCGATCTGGTTTTGACGCTCGTGAACTTGGGCACGAGCACTTTGCAAGAACAATCAGGAATCAGACATAGAGTCAGCTTGGTAGAATTTTTTGCTTTCGTATAAAACGCTGAGGAGGTAGGATGATGGAAAGCAAAAGGCCTTTTGTATCTAGATCGCACAGTATCGACACTGACTGCTTCCAAACCATCAGCGCTGAGATATCTCAAAATGGAATTAGAAGTCTGCTAGAAGAACACATCGAGACTGGCGACACTGGTTTGCGGCTCCACTCGTATGCAAATAACTGATTCAACTTCTGGCGGTCATGCCTCTTGACAGATGATGTTTCGATACAGGAAAAGCGAACACATGTAAAAAGCAATCTTTTTTTAGAAGAGAGAGAAGATGAGAAGTCTGCTGTTTGGGTGAGAGACGGGCGAGAAGATGGTCGTGACGACTTTATGAGCTATAATCATGCACGCGTGGTAAGGAGCGACCTTGTACCTCGAAATGCAGCTTCTTGGAACGCGCAAGTTGCGAGAGCAAAACAACCGCATGGTCGACTTTTCGTGTCATCTCGACTGGACTGGTACCAAATCTCTAGCTAGTGCTTTCAACGTTGATACCATCATGCTGTTCAGGTTTCTGGAAAAAGGAAGATGACAGACATATTGGCTTTGCGGTTGAACTTTAGGAGCTGCAAAATGTCGACATCTGGTGGAGGGAAAATAGGAGAAAAAATAGGAGACAATGAATCTTTTGTACCCTAGCCAGGCACCGGTAGTGTAGACAGACGTGACCAGGAGGCAAATGTACACATAACCTCAAGGAGGTTGTATCCAAGACCTTTTGCGGTCTGAATGATATTACAAAGTGGACGTTACCGTAATTTGAGTACTCGAAGGTTTCTTTTCTCACATCAGATTTGGGGGAGCTCTGGTTTTGGCAGACATCGGACTACCCATCCAACTCTTTCAATCCCAGAGACGCTCGACATCTACCTCTTCAACCATGATGTTTGACTTTTCGACAAGCAGACAGCAAGCAGAACACATACGTCTAAGAACATATCCTTCTGAGACAAGCCGAAAGTCCACATGCGGTCCTCGAGCTGATCATCCGGAAGCACTGACTTCGCAACGGAGCGATTGAGAGGAGGCACACACGAAATGCATGCTTGATTTTCTGAGGAATATCGCACTCTGCCGACCCATGCACCAGCCTTGGCCAAACTTTGCGATCATTCGTTGCATGCATTGGGGTTTTTGGAAGCCAGAAATGATTCGTGGCTCTGAACCCTTTGGTGTTTGGAGGCTCGAGACTGACCGTGAGAGTGAGAAATGACAGATGGCGGCAGTAATTACATCCATTAAATGAACCAAATATATCTTGGAGTAGTTTCAATGAACATAGTCTGTACATCCTCGGCCAGGGGACACTCAAACGGAGTATTTTCGGTGTTTTGAAGGCTTCTAGCCTCATATACGCAGTGAGAAGAGACACATGCAACAACGTCTCCGTTTTCGTGCTGTACAGAATTCCCAAGAAAGTCTGTAAACCTTGAAAGAAGAGGCCACGGAAAGAGCAAAGAGACTTAGAACATCCTCTCGCACAACGAGTCCGTAGACATACTCTTCCTCACCATTTTTTCCGAATCCGGACACTTTGTAAGGCCGGCATTTTGTGATGTGAAGAATCGAATACACGAAGAGAGACATACGTATCGCATGTCTCTAGCGAGTGAGGTTTATATACACGAGCCGGCGCAGCTTCAGTCGCCATTGTTGAACTCGGCAACAGCAGAGGAAAGAGACACGCATATCCACTCGCGCAACGGCTGTCAGAATCGTCAACCAACATATGCTCATTCCCTCTAGAATTTTGATCTTCGTTTTCGCAGACGGCAGGAGTATAGGTATCCACTGATAGGCAAAGCGCAGAAGTCCACACAATGGCGGCCAGCTCCCTTCTCAGTTAACAAACGGCGTGGCTGACTTTTAAGAAAGAAGAGGATACAAACATGTCCGGATCGCACGAAGTTTCTCAATTTCGACAACGACCGAAAAGTAGGTCAAGGAAGCGCATACAAGATTCTGGATATGATATACATCATGCGCCGGAAGCCGAAGCAGCAGCCATGACGCATCTTGTCCGGAACTTTCGCGGTGGTTCATACCATGCTCTTGAGTATCTTGAGTATCTTTTCAGCGGCCATACATCACGAGCAGCCAGATGTTCGAAGGAGGAAAGATCAGACATGGAGATTCGCTTACTCGTTTTTGGTGTGAATGGAAGAGAGGAGGTTGTAGAAATCGGCTGGAGAAAAGTTGAAGGATCTACACACACGAACCAGCGCGGCTCCGCTCATACTATACGAATGTATCCGCTTCTGGTGCTGATTCACCAAGTACAGACAGAAGAGATGGAAAAGAGGCATGCGGGACTTCTCCCATGCTTTCGATCACAAACTTGAACTGCAAGACGGAGAACACACATAAAAGTGGATTGCTAGTGCTTCGAAAGCGCCTCCCTCCCATGAATCCGTCGCAAAGCTTTTGACATTTCTGAAAAGTTTCTAAGCTTGGCGTGGCACAAGACAGCGACATATGACTTGTGTGGAATCTGTTGAAGTACTCGCGCGAGCGCACATTCCGCGAACTTGGCCTTCTTTGGAGATCAGGTAGCTGGCAGCTTGGGTTTGGTAACAGGAAGAAACCCGGGCATTGCATCGATGGTACCTACTTTGAATCTGGTCCAAAAAGAAAAGGATGTGTTGTATGTCAGAAGCAAGGGCCGAGGCAGATGGGTTTATATGGGCATGCCGGCGATCACCAGACGCCAGTGCGCCGAGTTGTGCATTCAAAGGTTGGCTGGAATAAGTCGATGCTTCGTAGATGTGGGTATCATATGCTTGGAAGTATACATTCACGCACCTCACGCCTTGTCCGCATCCTCAAGCTTTCCTTCTGCCGTTGTCTGTTCGTCATTACCTTCCCCAGCACTTTCCCCACCCATCTCCAACTCCACCCCAAGCTCATCCAAAAACCTCTCCGCCTTCCCCTTGCTCCTCTTCTCCGCCATAGCCCTCTTCTTCTCCCGAATCATCTCCTTCCGCTTATCAATAGCCTCCTTTCTGTCCTTCCGTACTCTCTCAGTTTCAGCGCGGTCCTTTTCAAGATTCGCCATCTGCTCCCTCCTCCCCTCCTCATCCTTATCAAAATACATAAATCCAGTCCCTCTCGTTCTTGCCTCCGCTCGCCCATCGAAATGCAGCTCCGGCGGCGGCGTGAGCTCCTTGTCGCGCTTGGCGGCTAGCTCAGCCATCTGCTGTGCGATTGTTTCGTCGGGGTTGAAGGCGTTGGTCTGCACCGTGTCGCCGTAGATGATCTGCTCGGGCATGCTGGGGCGCGCGGTGAAGCGGTCTGGTGCATCGTCTGCAAGGGTTCTCTTTCGGCGCTCTTCGCGGACGGCGTCGGCGCGAGTGCCTTTTCGTGTGCGCCCGAACTCATCGATGTATTCAACTTCCTCCTCGTCTGCACTGTCGTCTTCTGAGGAGGAGGATGCGTTGCCTGTGGCCCCGGGGGCTTGGGCGTCGGCCCACTTGCGGTCGAAGTCGACGCCATATTTGTCGTCGATGTCTTCTACATCGCCTCTCTTCAGTGCTGCATACAGGCGCGCCTTCTCTTCCATGCGGCGCTGCGTGCGCTTCCAGGACGCTGCATCTTCGTCCTTCTCGGCACCTGTGCGTCCTCTGTGTTCCTGGGTGGCGAGGTTTGTGTCGTCGAGGTCGGCGAGGGCGCGCTTCTTCACGTTTTTGTTGTGCGTCTTGAAGATGTCGTCTTTCTGCGGGCGCGCGCGGCCTGCGGTTGTGGGTTTGCTGGCATCCGCGGACGAGGACGAGGCTTTGATGAGATTGGAGAGGGTCGAGGAGAAGGCGACAGCACTGCTAGACGAGATATCTCTCCGCTTGCTCCTCGCCGTGTTCTTGGCGCCGTACAGATGCGCGTCTTTGCCGGAGAGGTGGGTGTTGTTGCCAGACATCCTTGGTGTGTTTGCGGAGAACGCGTCGCGCAAGGCAGGGCGATGTCGGAGCATGTGCGTTGCATCATCGCGCTGCTGCCCCGCCAAATCCCACGTCGAAAGACGTGAATCGGCCACCGAGCGGCTCCGCAGCGGCAGTGAGTGTTGAATTGATGACTGAAGCTTCTTAAGAGCTCGATCTTCCTTCACATAAGCTTCACATAGCCAATTGACACCACAGCCACCATGTCTCCTCCCCGCCAAGTCTTCATTGCTGTCATCGGTACGTACACGGTTCTGGAGGCACTCAATTGAGCGCCCATGAAATGTCCCCATGGAACCACTTTACTCGCTGGAGCACCACACTGACGCCTCCCAGGCGCCGGCGGCGTAGGCAAAGCCTTCCTGAACCAACTCACCGGCCTAGCCCAGCGCCTCTCCCAATCGCCCTCCTCGCCCTACTACCTCTCCCTAATCTGGCTCTCCACATCAAAGAAAGCCCTCTACCACTCCGACTACAAGTCCCTCTCGAACTGGGAGTCCGAGCTGCAGGACAACTCCAAGCCCACCCTCCCGCTCCCTGAACTACAAGACTACCTCGTCAAAGCACCTGGCAAGGTCGTCCTGGTCGATAACACGAGCAACCAGGACGTCGCCAACGTCTACCCTGGCTTCCTGAAGAAGGGCATCAGCATCGTGACACCTAACAAGAAAGCCTTCAGCGGCAACTTGCAGCTCTTCAAGGACATCTTCGCCGCGGCGTCAAACGGGTCTGGCGCGGGCGGCTACGTCTTCCACGAGTCCTCCGTTGGCGCAGGTCTGCCCGTGATCTCCACGCTCAAAGACCTCGTCGAGACTGGCGACGAAGTGACCAAGATCGAAGGCGTATTCAGCGGCACCATGAGTTTCCTGTTCAACAGCTTCCAACCCACATCCGGCGGCGGAGGGAAATTCAGCGCCGAGGTGACCAGCGCGAAAGAGAAGGGGTACACAGAGCCCGACGCTCGCGATGACCTCAACGGGTTGGATGTAGCGCGCAAGCTCACCATTTTGGCGCGTCTGGCGGGCCTGAACGTCGAGTCACCGACCTCCTTCCCCGTGCAGTCTCTGATTCCTAAGGAGTTGGAGAGCTGCCAGTCCGGCGACGAGTTCCTCGAGAAGCTGCCACAGTACGATTCGCAGATGGACGACCTGAAGCAGGAAGCCGAGAAAGAGGGCAAGGTCGTGCGCTTTGTGGGAAGTGTTGATGTGCCGAAGAATGCTGTTAAGGTTGGGCTGGAGAAGTTTGACAAGAGCCACCCTATTGCTGCGTTGAAAGGGAGCGATAACATTATTGCATTCTACACCAAGCGTTACGGCGATAACCCATTGATTATTCAGGGTGCTGGTGCTGGAGGCGAGGTCACGGCCATGGGTGTCACAGCGGATCTCGTCAAGGTTTTGCGGTTGCTGCATTAGGACGATGCGGGTGTTGCTGCCAGGGCGGCAGGCTTGTAAGGCATGAAGCAAAAAGTTCTGTGTCAAGCGGAGACGTGCATCTGATCTGTGTGTGAGGATTGGATTCATGAGTGATGCTGAGAAGGGTCGCGGTATTCAAGCCGTCTGAAATGCTGATTGGCAAGAAGAGGAGGAACACTGAGTACGCTTGTCCAGAGGGCCGGAGAAGACATGTTGGTGGTTAGTTATATGTGAGGCTAAGTTCAAGCTCGGTATACCATCTACACCAGCTGTGTATGTCGGGTAACTCTGTAATGCGAGTGCAGACACTGTTGACATTGTGATATACAGATCAGGACAGACAGCCTTCATCGATTGTTGAGGCACGAAACGATACGATCTGGGTAACAACCGTCGTTCCTGTTGTTGTCACTTGTTGGCGAGTTTGTGCGTAAGTTATAGCTTACTGTGCTAGTGTGATAGAATTGTACCTCCTCACAGATTTCGCGATACCTTTAAAGTGCCGCGTTTACCGTCCAATATGCATGCCATATCCAGCTGCATATCCACACTCCAATATGATGTAATGTGCAAGGTCTGGCCAGCATTTGAGCGTTGACCCACACGCGGTCCGGTGTAGATCCACAGCGTGAGGTCTGGGGATTGTGGCTAGTGAGGAGGTTGCTGACGTGGCTGGGCTATTGATATGCACAGGTGTGGCTCTCACTGCAGGGCCAAGATACGAAGTAAGATGTCGTGAGGAGGGGCATGTGTGCCGAGTTCCGTAGGGTCCGTAGTGGATGAGTGGTCGTTGAAGCTGGCGAGCAGTCTTATCGCGAGAGTAAGGTCTCGAACTATGTTCCAAAAGACTGTTATTTCTACTGTCGTTGCGGATCAGAATTGAGAGATGCCTAAGTCAGGAGAATTGCGAAGCTTGAGATAATCCTCCCGCATCTGACACATGCTTGACACATGCGAAGGATGCGATGACTTGCCTTCCTGCATTCCATTCTGATATTTCGGCACTCTACACTCAAACCCACCTCTGATAGTCTCGATTCTCTCGCTATCTCTTGTACTCAGCACATGACTAGCCTCGCCTGCTTTGCTGGCTCCAGTACACAGTACGACAACGTGTCCAGCACATGGTTCCCCAGTTTCAGGACCCTCGGCCCCTAAACACTGTTTTGAGGGTGTGAGGACCATGGCTCCGGAACCGCGTTGGTCTTGGAAGAGTTACACAGATCTGGGCAATCTCCATCGTGACGGGAGCGCCCTAGGTCAAGAGACGCGCTTCCGAGGCCAGGCTACTTGGCTTCGCTTGATCTCGTCCACATGCTGTCGACTTGGGTAGCTGTCCGCGTGACGATAGCGACAAGTGGTGGTGAAGTGGGTTAATAGAGCGGGGTGAAGCTCATTCACTGCTTGGCGACTCTTGGCGAATATGCTTGGCGATAGCGGAGTAATTGTATGAATGGGTTAGCGTGGGTGACCAAGCGAGACATTGCATGATGGCGTCGAGGCTGTGCAGGTTTGTCGACTTGGGCTGCATGAGAGGGCAAGCCATCGTAACGTCGTGCGCGTACTTGCGCATGAAGTTATCGTTATAATGGTGATTGAGATGACATGGTAGGGTGATTGTGAGGTTACTGCCAGCTGATGTTCGTGTGATGTGTAACAACGTTGTCTTACAAAAGTGAGTAATGATAGCATGTTTGATCGAGCCAGCTCGTGTCTGGGAGTTATTCAGAGGTGTGCTTCCTGTTTTAGTCCGCTGTTGTGCGCTGAGAGTCACGATAGGGCATGGCTGAGGTGCATGCGTGGTCGCAGAAGTAGTCTTACCAAGCGCCGAAATGATACACTGAGTTCTGTGGCGATTGCGATTCATGGCGTCTGTGTCGCAAAAGGCCCATGCTGCAAGGGATGTTAAGGGTGTATCCTTCAGGTATGTTGCTTTTTCAAACGGCTGAGTTTGGGCTGCAATGCTGGTGCGTGCACATCCAGGATGCTCAGGAGAACGACAGAGCTCAGGTTGCAGGACTGTTCGCAGATGAATGATCGCCCGTGAGAGATTGTTGCAGCGGCAGGTGAACGAATCCTGTGATAGACACGGGTTCATGTCGAGAAGGAAGGTGCAGTCGGCCCACGAGATAATGACTTCATCCGAAAATGTGACCGCTGAGTGGCTGTCTCGGACCCGTCTTCGCATGTCAAGCGATCAGCATGGTTCTCCCGTGCAGAATTTTTCGGTATGCCGACAGCTCTCTCGCTACCGAGATTGGTATATGCAGCCTTGATATTGACCACGTTGTTCAGGCAGAGGATCCCTGAAATGCCGTCAAGTGCTGCAGCGCAGTCCGCAATGTGCGCCCGCGGCCTGCGGACGTGCGAGGATGGCATAGAGAAACATGTTTGATGGAAGGTTCGGCATTATTTTCTAGCTGCATTCCACCCTCTCAGAGGCGCAGCTGCGACGGTGTGTGCTCGAGTCAATTTGGCACTTCGGGGGCGTGGGGAAAGATCCCCGGCAGCAGTCGCCCTGTTCGAATCGCCTGGCAAAGTAGCAACCCTGGCCGCACGCAGATTGCAGCTCTCTTCAGTCGTCAGAGCGCCGCCGCTGTGTCAGGAAGATAGGTTTGTTTGTTGCACAGGGGCACCGATGAAAGGACACGGGCGCCGTTGTCGCCTGATACAAACGATCGTCTGCCAATGAGCTGCACCACGTTCGCTCAGCGGAAGGGCGCCCAGGTCGCGATCACGAACAGAACAAACAGCGATCCGGGAGCGGTGAGACGTGTACGTTTCGTTTCTCTGCGTGAAGACGGATGCGTGTCCCAGAAGACTGGCACGGATCTGCTCAGGGGAGTGAAGGGGCTTGTCACTAAATGTCGCCAACTTTTTGGTGCGCCGTTAGTCTGAGTTCCGTGTGCGTCCCGGCGCCGCGCGATGGGGATGCTGATGAATGAATGCATGTCTAAACCGCGTTAGGGAACTGTGTGGTCAAAGTCATGGCACGCGTGGCTGTTAGAGACTATCAATCTCCTCTCCGCTCGCGCTAGACCTGCTTCCCATGTCAGGACTGCTGTGACGCTTTGCAGCCCAGCGCGGTGGTGCATATTAAATAAAGACTGCCTGCTGTGCAACCACTGTCTGTCCAGCTCACGACTCCTCGTCACACGATTTCAGCGCCCTTGCACTAGATAAGGCTGACCTCACCATCACCTGTAGCGCCTACCTGTTTATCTGCAATTCTATTTGACTGCCTCCGCTGCTCATCATCGTGTAAGCCTGCCATCACCAAGACGCCAATAGCTATCACCAATCGTCATCCTTCCACCAACTTCCGCCCTCCGCCGTTTTATAAGGAAACCTTATTCCGCCGAATCACACTGGTCCGTGATTCCCACCGTCGCGCTACAGAAGCTCTCCCCGCTCCCCGTCAACTTGGAAAGGCAAGGGACCTCCTTCTTCCAGTCTATCAGCTTCCATCCCTTGGCATACCGCAAACAATCACTGGGCAAGGTCCTGCATTCATAAGTGCAAGCCTGCCGTCTGTTGTCAAATCGCTCAACTCTGGTCGACTGTACTCGACCATCACCCCGCTCACTTACATATTAGTGTGGCTGTGAAGACTAGCAACTAGTCTATCCCAGAGATCGTCGTCACTACTTGGCCTTTGTCTTGTGACAGCTGCCATCAAATTGGTCAATCAGAAAATCCCTCAAACATAAACCAGCCATACATAGACACCACGTCTTCCATCACGACGCCGCCTCTACTCCAAGGAACAACACCTCGCAAACGCATCTACATCGACATCACCTGAACCATCACCATGTGCGTCACAGAACTTTGCGTCACCAACCAGGCTTGCCAGCACCGCTGGTACCATCTCGTTCGACCGTGTGCTCAATCCACAGATCTGGCTACTTGCAGCAAGAAGCTGGGTATCTCTGGTTGGGAAGTCAAGGTCGACCACTGCCCCTACTGTCAAGGCCATGCAACCAGCTCCGAATACCGTCTGATCGGTAATGGCCCAGCTCCTCCTGTGGGCTCTCTCTCTGGTCTCGCACGCGCACACTCAACAAGTCTGCACGCAGCTCGCCGCGACGAGCGCCTACAACTCATCACATCCAGGAGCGACAGTGTCACCAGTATCGGCAGCAAGAGCAGCATAGTCACAGCAGCCTCCGAGAAGAACCGCGCCATGAACGCAAGACTCGACTCGTATTTCTTCCCATCCGAGAGCTCTCTAGTCCCGTCATTTCCCAGGTCAGTCCGCGAAACTGGTGATGAGAGCTTTACCGAAAGCTCCAGCGACACATCAAGCAACGATCAGGCCAGCCTACGACACCAGTCCATGTCCAACGAGCCCTACAGAGTCAGCATGCTATCGCGCATCGGTCGCAAGACCAAGCGCTTCTCAATGTTCAAGTGAGCATCCACCAAGAGTTAAACACCTCCAGCCACGTCATGCTCTTTGCACAGCCTGCGCCCAGCAACCGTCGTTTGGTTAACATTGAGGCTTACCATCATTGCGGGCCTAGACCGCCTCCACTCGACTGCGAAACCCAGCGGGACCGGCAGCCGGGCTCCGCGGCTCTGTAAACGAAAACGAATATCCAGATTTCGGTCCGATCTCGTGAGACATCATCACGAAAGCATCATCGATACCGAACACCTTCTCAGCTCACATCACACCATTCTTCAGCATAACGGCATTCTCCACTTCTACCATGTTCTTACTACGTTCATTGTCGCCTAGCACGCTGTGGATGCGTTTGCTTTTCTTCAGATACCCACCTTGTTTGGCTTCGCGCAGTCACATGCAATGTTAGCTTCATCTCTATTTCGGCGTTTTCACAAAAGAACAAGGGCAACAGTCACAGTCACATCCAATATTGGGCCGCGACAACAAGGGCGACCTGCTTGTCTCGCATGTTTTCCGGAACAACGTTTCCGCTCTTGATTTAGAATTACGTTCGAGCGGTTCTTAGGGTGTTCTTTGCGGATGCGCACGGCCGCGTTGGGCTGCAACAGGTTTGTTGTTACAAACTTTCTGTACGTGCAGCCATGTGCGCACAACCTTCAGCACAGGCGTTTACGAACAGCGTTATGGCCATGAGTCGATCATCTGCAAAAGTCGGTGCACGGCGCATACCTTGATATCCATAGCAATACATTTTCCCACACGAACACTCCACTACTCCCTTGCAAATGCACATTTTCCCACCGCTTACTCCACTTTCGATCCTCCACAGTACTAGACACCATCGCACACCGCCATCTGCGTGTACTTGTCGCCTCGAGGCGGACGTTAGTCGTGATCCACTCATACTCGCTAGTTCCACCTCGTGATGCAGCAGCGTGCACGGTTTATCTTCGCCAAGATATGCCGGCATGCGTTCCGCTCCGCTCTGGTAAGGGTGCTCATTAGTAGCTGCCAGAGTCGGTGTGAAAGATGATCACGTGGGCTCGCGTGCGAGCGTGCCAACCGAGGTGCGAGGTTATCTGGCTTGCTCGTTGCTCTTGCTTGCACATGCTGCGCAGCATTTCCCACAGATGCTGATAGGAGAATGTAGGCTAGATTGTGAGTACGAGCGACGCGAGTAGCCTTTGCACCGCAAGCAACATAGCTCCCCTACACTACCAACCTCGGCTCCCAACTTCCTTCCGCCCATCCACGATCCCTCCAGCACAAACACCACCGAAGTCCAAACAAGCACACCAAGTAGAGCTTATGCCCTCATGTACGCCCTCGGCGACTTGTCCATCCGTCGCGACGGCGCGCAAAGGGGCGACGTAAGTACCACAACGACATTTGCGCAAGCACAGGGCGGAGATTCCCGCAAGCCAAAACGTCTGAGTAGGCAGCACAGCCACGTCACGCATACCAGCAGCGTGGGTGGAATGCACACAAGCGTCGGATCGTCATGGGAATGCGCGTGCAAAGGGGCGATCAAGCTTCACTTTGCAACCTTGGTGAAGCTTGATGATGTGCACAGATATACATAAGGCACGTTCCGTCGTGGTGTGCATATCTGATCGTCGGTTCACGGCGAGGGGGTGAAGTTGGTACTGATGCTCGTGATCGAGACCAACATCTGAGCAACGACACTCAAGCTTCGCCTTGCAATCTTTGGTGAAGCTCGTTGGCAGCTGCCGTACCACTAGTCGTCGCACTGACGGTGCACGAGCGCGAATATAATGTAGACTGATCAACAAGGTTTGAGGAGCCATGATACATGCGCGCGAGCGGGCTGATCAAGCATCACCAAGCTCCCAAAGCTCAGCATGTCATGTCTTGTGTGATCTGATGAGCGCAGCGTTGGGACGCTGATCGATATATCGACGGCTTTCTCCAGCTCGTCGATCGACATGGTCTAGGCACCGGCGATCAGTATCAGCGTGTAATTTAGATTGAAGGGAGAGACACAAGCTTTGCATTGGTGCGTCAAGCTCGGAGAGATTCGAGCTTGTTTGTTAAAGTGTGAAATGTGCCACATCACTGGGGCTGCTGTGTGAGTGATCGACAAGGGGGGAGAGTAAGGTTTGATGATGTCTATGTTTTGGTGCTTAGGCACAGCTTATCCTCGACGCCCCTCTCAATCATCTTTCTTTTGCGTTTCTGAGAACACCCGCAAGCCTGGAGGCCCTCTACCAGATTTCAGGCTGGGTCAAGTAGCGATAACTTTCTTGCTAGATCAGACCTCACCCAATGTCCCTTCTCGTCAAGATCCTGGCTCTCATGATCTCTCTTCCTGTAACATCATTGGCCTAATGCGCAGGTGTTCCTCTGGGTGCATACCTCGTAGGCGGGCATTGTTATACTCCGTCCTTTGTATGAGGCAGGCTCCTCTTTGGAGGTAGTACCAGTAACGAAGGTGAGAAAGAGTTGACACAGCTGAACCATTAAAGAGGTAAGAGCAGCACATCTCCTTCCTTACTGATTTACGCATATGTGATTTCTCAGCAAGGAAGGGAGTGCCACCCCCTTGCTCAGCAACATGGACCATCGGCGGCGAAAAAGAATCTTAGATACAACAGCTCAACTAATTTACATCGACATCGATGTACGTGTATGTGCCTTGCTAGGCTCTGCTACAACATCGCGACCATAATGTGGTCTAGGTCTACTTCTTCTTCCCACCTTGATAAGTGATATCATACTGAAAGAAGCTATCCCATATACTCCCCCTCCTCGCGCCAGCTGGCTGTTTCACCGGGCTCGTCGCCGCACTTCCAGTTCTTGTATCCGACTGACTTCCAACTCGTTGTTTGGCAGGTGATGCGTTTGGTGATCGCATTGCGGCACTGCTGCTCAATGGATTCGACGACCCAGGCATAGGGATGTGATCGGGGCGCTGCTGTCGAGCTTGAGGTATGTCCTGCACAGAGTCAGCGTGATGTCAGTACACAAGGGGAGCTTAGATTTACCACATCAGCAAGTCTAAGGTCCCCAGAGCTGGTCTTGCCGCACATTTATACCGTTCTTCTCTCTCTCCGCACCAGCAGTGTTCGTCGATGTTTCGCGCAGGTGGCTCGGTCCATGTGTTGCGGCTGGGCTAGCGCCTCGTGTTGCTGCGTTTGAGTTGGCTCCGGATTCGATGGCTTCAGAGGATGTGAGTCGTTCGGCGGAAGGCCGCGCGCCGACAATAGGTATGCTCTTCTTGCTGGTGCCGCTGCTGCGGCGGCTGTCAAGGGATTTGCCGAGCTGGATGGCTGGGTCGGTGGACGACTTCTTCTTCGTGCGTTGCATCTCTGCCTGACCGGTCACCAGGCTGCTGGTCACGGTCGTTACGCTCTTGATGCCGGGGGTGCCTGGTGCCATGGGCTTCTCTTCGGTTGCGTCGAGGAGGTACCAGCGTAGACCGTCAGAAAGCTCGAAAGGATTGTCGTCTTCGATTGAGACTGCGTTGCTGGATGCAATGGAACGCCCGTCGAGGGAAGCTCGTGGCCTGTCTAAAGTTTTTGAGAGATCCACAACGCGCTCCTCGACCTTGGAGATTCGAGCAACCAGCCACTCCTTGCCATGTAGGCGGTGGGAGTCCTGTTCGCGAAGGAAGAAATGCGGTGCACCAACGTTGAAAGCTGCCCAAGGACGGTGCGCATTGTTGCGAGTTGGTAAGAACAGTGCGAGGTCACCCTCTTTGAAAGAACGATATGCTATCTTCTCGTGGCTATCGGCCTGGAAGCGATGCGACTTGTCTCGGTAGGCGCGTGCTTCCTTCTGCCACTTCCTAGCTGTGTGCTCCATGTCCCGCATGCGTTTGGCGACAGCCTCGCCGAACGTCTCCATATTGAAGAGATCCAGCTTACTGATGAGCTCCTTGTAGCGTTGATCTTCTTCATCAGCACTAGCCGAGTCGGTCCACTGTAGGAATGAAAGGTCGCCGTTGTCTTCGAGGAAGCGCTTCAGTGGTGTGGGTGATGCAGCTGTGGTACTGCGGCCGAGGTCGCCGGTGGTGCCTGTCATGACAGCACTATTGCTCATCTTGGAAGCACGTTGGAGGACCATCTCGCCATTCTCGTGAGTGATGATGAAGCCCAGTGCCTCCAGCAAGCGAACAAGACGCTCATGCTGAGTGTAGAGGCGCTGACTGAGCTCCCTTGCACGACCCAAGCGTTGCTGAGAACGAGACGTATCGAACTCTTCATACTTGAGCACCTTCTTGCTGAGTCGCATAATTTCCACATCGAGACTGTTCGAGTGCGAGTTCTGCTCGGCCAACTCGACCTGTAGGCGTCCAACTTTTGCTTCCTCTTCCTCCACCCGCTTTCGCAAAGCCTCGGAGCCGGTCTCGCCTTCTGCAAATTTCGCACGTAGATCGTGAAGGTGCCCACGTTCTTCATCAAGCTCGGCATTTATCGAAGCTGCCTTCGCTTTCTCAATATCGAGCTGCTCGCGAGCGGATGCCAGGTCTTGTTCGTGCTTGCTGATTTGAGCGTTGAGGGTCTGCTCTTGCTCCTGAGCTCGGTTGCGCGTGTTCTCGTTCTCTGATTTTGCCATCGCGACTGCCTCCTCCAGCCCCTTCTGGTGATTGAATGAGCGACTAGCCAGTTCTTCGAGTTGCGCTAGCAGCGCAGAGTGGTCATCCGGCACGTCAGTGCTCGGTGCGAGGTGTCCGAATACTGTCTTGAGAGACTCGAATTGATCGGTACGAGCCGCCTCGTGATCGTCCAGTTTAGCTTGGAGATCCGTGAGCTTTTCGCTCACCTGCATAAGCTGTTCATTCGCCTGCGCAACTTGCTCAGAAGCTTTGTTCTGGATCCTCTCGAGCTCAGCTGCCAGTTCGTGCACTCTGGTATCAATCTCGCTCCTCGCATTGTCGCGGCTTCCAAGAATGCGATCTAGCTCATCTTCGGCTTCCTCAATCTTGGTCTTATGGGCTTGAATTTCCTCCTCGAGTGAGCGCCGCTCATCACCAAACTCCTTCTGCTGAGCTTTCATGTTCTCCATGATGTTCTCTTTCGTGGATACGGCTTCCTCCACCTGCCGTCGTAATTCGACCTCGGTATCCTTCTGGGCCTGCGCTTCTTTCTCAAGCTTAGTGCGAGCTTCCTTCTCGGTCGCGAGCTGCTGTTCAAGTCGGACAATGCGACGCTTGTCTACATCGCCCTGAGCAGACAGCCGTCGTGAGGATATGGAAGATCGTCGAGAGAGCTCTTCGTAAGGCTTGGGAGAAGCGGTTTCGATTGTAGGCGTTGACGGATCTCCTGGACTTTGAAACCCCGGCGGTGGCGCTCCAGCTCCACCTATCGAAAGCCTGCTGTTCTGGTTCGAGCGATGCAGTAAGTCTTCGAGCCTTCGTACGCGGCTCTTGTTTGCTTTCAGCTCGTCGTCGAGCTTTGCATTAGCCTCCCTCAGCACGCGTAGCTCATCGTCGCCTCGTACCATGAGCTGTGATCCTTTGCCGAATGCAGGCTCGTGAACGCTGCCCATCTTGAAGTTCTTCGCTCGCTTGATCTGCTGCTTTGTCGGCCGGTCAAGGTCTTTCATAGCTTGGGCAAGTGCTTCAGCTTCAGAGCTTTGTCCTTCCAGCCCCTGCAATATCTGAAGATACTGCTTCAGGTCGTCCCTAGCAACCTCTGGCCAGATGTTCTTCTCAGGCTGCACGTTCATCTCAAAACCCAGCGCGCCACCTTGTACGGCTTCGACATTGACAACGTCTGCGATGGGTTTGAGCCATCTCTTGCGGCGCCGCTCTTCTTCCTCTTGAAATGTCGCCATCTCTTCAGCTAGCGAAGATGTGTCCTTCTGTACCCTCTCGGCCCACTCGCGTCTTCGGACAGCCTCGACCAGCAGGGTGCCGTAAATATAAGGAAGACGGCCAACAAGAGAGATTAGCTCGAACGCTGCGACTCCCTCCTGCGGTATGCTAATCGATTCGAGCTCTGCGTTCAGGCCCGAAATGACTGATTCGATGTTCGCAATGCCCTGCATGCTCTCCACCGAGTTTCTGACCGCGGTGTTCTTCTGCTCTACAGCTCTTCGTACGAGATCGCTCATCTCAACCCTGTATTCGCTTATCGCCGGTAAGAAGTTTCGTGTATGTAACAAAGCCATCTTCGACACCTGAGCTACCGACTTAGAGTCGTTGGTGAGGCCCATGACATGCTCGTAGTCCGACTCGACTTTCTTTGCGACTGCATCGATCTCGTTGTACAAGCGCACAGGCTCCTCCGAGTCGTCCACGAGTGACCGACTTTGACTTTGTCCCACAGCGCTCAGCAGCTCATTGTACTCAGCCCCGATCTGCTCCAGCTGCGTATTCATGCCGGCCATGCGCTTGCCAAACGAGTCTCGTACTCGCTTGCTTGTGCCTGTAGCCTTCTTGACAGCCTCGACGTCTAGGAATTCCTGCAGTGATGCGTTCCGATTTGGGGAAGCCTTGCGCGACGCCTGCGCAGCCTGAGGTGATCGCAGCTCTCTTGCCAGAAATCGCACGAACTCGACCTTCGCAGGTATCGAGCCTAGTTGTCCATAGTCGGCATCGAGGCGCTTCAGGTTGTCGCTCGCCTCCTTCTCCACGCCGTCAAACCACTCCTTTGCTGCCTGGTACTTCTGCTCTAGCCCACGAATGTGTGAATCATGGTTTCCTACAGCGACCAGTGTTCCTTTCTCTATTGTGGCTTGTTCGGAGAAGTGCTTCGAGGCTGTGAGGGACATAGCGTGGGACTGCTCGAGGACAGCGAAGGCCCAGTCGCGGCGGGCTTGAAATAGCGACCGCCATGATTGCATATCGGTATTATCCGCAAGGAACTTCGGCGGTTCTTCAGGCGTGAAGACATCTGGGAGCGGTGTGGATGGAATGGTGCGTTGGGATCCGTTCGATAGCTCGCGGCTGTATACGAAGATGTCTTTCTCAGTGAGCAGTGCCTGAAGCTTGACATGCTTGCCGGCGGGCGTCAGTAGTATTTGGAGCTCCGGCGGTATTTCCGTAGCTCTTGCGATCCAGTGCTTGAGCGCATCGACAGACCCAAATGCTACGGGATCAGCGTCGAAGCGCTGGCCCGTATGTGCTACAGCGATCTGCAGCGACATTCAGCGAACCCGCCTGCTGCTTCAGGCAAATCATGCAGCAGGTGTGCGAGAAGAGGTGAGAGCTTACGCTCGTACTGCGACGAAGTGATGCCAAGCAGGTTGCCGCAGGGATTCGGCGCACGGCCGGCGACAATGCATCATTCACGCGCCCGATAACTGATAGTCACATGTGCCATCGAGGTCACTCACTTGAGTATACCACCTTTCGAAATCGCGATAAGGATGGCGAACAAAGGCGATAGTGTTATGGCGGATGTCGCTGTGAAGTCACAAGATGCTGGCGATATCAGCGATCTCGTGCAAACAAACCACAGCGACGCGTTCGCGTTCACCGAGTCCGAGAAGCTAGCCCTCGAGCTCTACGACCAACTGCGAGAGCTGGAGCTGCAACAGAGCTTGCTGCGGGCACAAGAAGCAGGTACGCCCTGTTGTTGCACAGTCTTTCTTGTCCCGTAGCTAACACAATTGCAGCTCATGTGGCTGACGTCTCAATGCTCTCAGATGACGATTTGCAAGAGCAGCTGATCGTAGCCGAGCGCGAGGCTATGGAAGCAAAAGCAGAGTACGAGTTGCGCAACAAGATCACCCACAATGTTCTTGTCACAGATCCTGTACTCAAGGCTGTTCACGGGGGTGAAGAGACTGACTTTACCGAGAAGTGAGTGATGGTTACAAAAGGTGCACACCTGTCCTGACAGTATACAGACGCCTCCTGCCTTTGATCACCGAAAATGATATCATTGCTATGGTGCAAGGCCGTCTCGCCTCTAAGCTTGCCTCGTCCACACACGCCTTGGTGACAGCAGAGCAGGCAAACATTGTTGCAAATCAAAAGAACCGAGGATTGGCCAAGACGATGCTGGCTTTGGCAGATGCCATGAAATCGCAGTCAGCTGAGGACATCGAGGACCCAAAGTTACGTGATCAGATCAAGGCGGTCGAGAAGGACCTGAAGGATTCAAGGAGAAGAATGAAGACGCTCAAAGGCATTCTCTCAGCAATGATCGTTGGCAGTGGCATCAACTGGGCGGCGGATGAAAGCTTAATCGAGCTGGTCTTGGATGATGAGGATGATTGAACACCTCTGCGCCTAGAGAGAGGTTGTAGGACTTGTATGAGCAGGGGCTTTTGCAGAAGCCTTCCACATCACCTCGCACAGCTTGCTGTTGCGGCTACGGCACGTATAGCGCGTTCTTTGGCTGCGAGGTGAGGATATGCGACGCCGTTAGCTACATCCTTCCAGCGATGCAACAGCATACGCAGCAGCGACTCCTGCCGAGTTGTATACACCAAAAGAGGCACAAGAGGTTGATGGAAAGCTACACGAAAGAGGTACGGAGAGGGTGTGGGAGAAGAGCAAGCCTCGGTATGACGTAGTTTGTTGATAGTGACTGGCCTGATGGAGCGAGGAGGCGGTAGAAAGCTTGAAGTCGACATGTTTGATCCTTAGTCACAGTGCAAGAAAGGGTGTTTCTCCGTTACAATGTTTTGATATCGAATCGATGGACTTGGCAGCTTCTTGTGTTTATTATCGAATCCCGAGGTCACCATGAGGCAGGGTGGAGCGTGACGCAAGACGCAACGCACCTGCTTCAACGGCTGCGGCGCAGATCATGAGCTCACCACAACAGCTTGCATCGCGATTTTATATCAGATTCAGGACAGCAAAAACAACGCCCGCCAAACAGATTGAAGAGTGTAAAGTGTTATCAACCGTCTGGAGACCTCACAAGTAGCTCAGGAACGTGATGGTTCCAGATCTCGCCCAAGCTTCCAAGTCACGGGCGCCTCGCAGCGAGACAGCCAGCCGTTTGTTGCTGGAAGCGGACCAGGCGCATGAAATTCGGGTCATGAAGCAACGGCAATGCCGCAAAAGACCACTTGCTGCGGGGTTAGGGAGTCAAGCTGACGGCCGGGCCAGCCTCCAAGCGGCTTCTGAAGAACATCGAAGATTACAGGCAACCCTTTCGGTCGGCGCGCGCAGGTGGGCTAGGTGTGTGAGCGAGTAACATCAACCAGGCAACAACCAAAGTGATATCAAGGGCGGCTTTGCGCAGCATTGTCCAGTCGCAGCACGTATTGACTGTAGCGCGCAATTTCACTGCTCGAAACCGGCAGGCAAGGTTGGGAGGGCGACCGGCCGCGCCCAAGTTGTACGTCGCCTTTGCACAGATGCTGAATGCTTGCAGAGCTAGTTGAAGTGACAAACGATAATACATTTGCGCAGAAAATACTTGCTGGAATGCTGGAGATGGTCAGAAACAGGTGATTGCCTCTGGAAGATTCGCCGATATTGTTTGCAGCCCGTGTGGTGCTGCGAAGCACCCGGTGTTGTTAGGAGGGGCTTGCGGTGCGGGCGCGCCTGCCATAACATCAGTTCGCTTACATAACGCCTCTTGGCGGCAGCTACGGTTTTGGGGGAGCGCTGGGTGCCCGCCCTCATACTGTGTGAGCGCTCCCTCCCATACAAATCCTCTCCATACAAACTGCTTCCACTGCAGAACACGACTTTGGTGAGTCTCGCTTGCAGTATATCATACCAACTTGATACCCAACACAACCACACACCTCTATACTATTTTATGCGCGTTTACTGGCCTCGATTCGCGTCTCCAGAGGTCTTCCTGCCTTCATTTCTGCGCATTTCGAGCGTCATCGCGTTCCAATTCCTGTTCATCACGTCGCGCTGCACAGCAACAACACGCATACTGACCACGGTGCAGACTTTAGTCACCCCATTGAATTCTACCGATCCCAAACCCTTCAGTAAGTTCCTGCAGCTTTCATCATCGCAAAATCGCGCATTCTCGCGATGCTTCGCGGTGTTTTGCGACCGCGTCACTGCACGCGCCGCAAGATGCTGCTGGACACATGTCCCTCATGTACTCCCACCACCACCAACGTCGGTACTGGTGATTCCCCTATCATTCACCTCGTCTTTGCGCTATTCAAATGACGCGGTTATCTGTTCACCTGCGCGTTTCATCAACTTCGTCAACAACCACCCGCTGACAGCTCGTATAGACAGTTCAAACAACCAACATGCCTAAGGGGAAGGTAACCCGCGGCAAGGGCAAGGCCTCCAAGGCCGACTCTGGCAAGAAGAAGAGGGGTATGCACATCACGTGCACTCACGATTCTGCGCCTTTGTTGACAAGTGATAGACCCCAACGCACCCAAGCGCGGTCTCTCCGCCTACATGTTCTTCGCCAACGAGCAGCGCGACAAGGTCCGTGAGGACAACCCCGGCATCAAGTTCGGTAAGTGGTTGTCTTTCAACGCAAGTCATGCACCCTTTAACAAACCACAGGTGAGGTCGGCAAGATGCTTGGTGAGAAGTGGAAGGCTCTCTCCGAGAAGCAGCGTGCGCCTTACGAGGCTAAGGCTGCTACCGACAAGAAGCGTTACGAAGAAGAGAAGGCTGCTTACCAGGTAAGTCACGCGTGTCTGTACCACATGAACTTGTTAACAATATATCACAGGCCCAGGACGAGGAGGAGGAAGAGGAGTCCGAGTAGAAGTTTACTTCACTCGCCCTCATTCCCAGTCTAATATGCACTCACAAGTGCTTCGTCTTTCTGCACTCTTGGTTGGCGGTATGGTGTCACGGGCGGCTTCAGGATCAGTTCATTCACATGGTTCATCTTAATGGTTCTATGCGGAAGCAAAGCTAGCGATCTGGTTCATTTCGACGGACTGCCGCAGTACAGCTTCTCCAAGGTAGACATGGCTTCGGCATTCGTCTATGATGTATGGCGTTCTCTCACCGTCGAGGGCACGGAAGGCGTCACGAAGCTCATGATCTTTGTACAATAGTCAACTGCAGTTTCATCACCTTTGCTACAATCTTTTGCTGCTATGTCAATGATGTGTGCTCATAATCACAAAGTAGTTTTGAAGAAATAGACCTTTCGATGTTTGATGGTACGGAAGACGCGATTTGAATGCGTCTGCGTAGCGCTACTCATGCCGGTCCCAGCCCTTCCATCTTGATGTGCGGCGATCCTCTCTCACTGCTTTTGATTGAAGATTCGATATATGCAAATCAGGAGAGCATGGACATAAAAGCCTTTCGATCGCCCACAGGGTTTACAGAAGTATATCTACGGAAGGTAATCTTCAACTCTGCGTAGCAGGTAGCAAGTCGAAGATGCACCTCCGAGCATCGATGCCTGTCTCCAGTTCAATCAAGAGAGATTACACGGTATCAGCTTCTACATATCTTGAAACTGCGAGACTTCATACTACCAAAGAGGTGTTGGAGCTGAATCATATTATTCGGAGTATGCATTACGGAAGACAACCGCCTATGTCCAATGTTCTGCCTGACACACGCCCTGTTCGAGATTTCGTCCTCGAAGTTATCGCGCAACCTCACACTTCTCATCTCGTTTATAATTCATTGGATCATGAGCCTGTTTGGTGAGTGGGATCGCGTCCAAATGCAGCTCTTGTAATCTCGTTATTTTCACTCCTTAAGTACTTCGTCAGTGGCGTTGGATGAAGGAAGGGGCTCCAATGGAGGCGGTGAGTACGCCCGAATCTTGCATCATCGCCACGTTCTCGACCGAACTTCGGATCGATAGCGGGACTCACGAGCTACGATGAGGCCTTTGTATCACTTAGAAGCGCGGAGTCTGCTTGGATATCTTTTTGTCACACTATATTATTGATATAATTTGAGATATCTTAATAATCAAAAACCTAAAGCATCCGTTGTGCAGTGGTTAGCATATCTGCTTCCCATGAATGGTGAAAGCAGGGGGTCGCGGGTTCGAACCCCGCCGGATGCAGGCTTGTTTTTGCTGTATCCATAGCTGAATGTGCTTTTTTTGTTGCAGGTTAGGATGTAATGTTGGCGTCGTGATGCATGTGAGCTAGCTCCGATTGCGGCAATGCCGAGGATGCTCGGAACTATTATTCTCACAGTACCTACAAACAGACATATAGCAATGTCGATAAACACTGTTGGTGAATTGCTTTTTGAGCTTCGGTGCTGAGGATTTTGTGATAGGCCAATTGTAGCGTGTATGCGAGACGACGACGAGATATGTCTGAGGCAGCGGAGTCCAACTCTCAATCTGATCGTGACTCCTTCTAGCTCGAGAGGACGAACAACAGAGAGCACGCGTATAACCCGTGGATGAAGTGAAACACGTGGAATGATCCGGATCTTCAGAGCAAGAGAGTATTTGGGGTAGCAACATGGAACTTGTCCTTCAGGCTCTACGGCACAAGACATGTTGGGGAATATCAGTGCTATGCTACGACGGCTGCCATGGGTACTCCCAGACCTCAGGCCGAGCTGCAGCCCTTTACGTACTCGTCTTGCATCATGTGCTGACTGACATATGTCCACAATGCTCACACTATCCTCTTCCAACAGCTCTGCCAGTATCATTCCCTCTGTAACACCACCATCAACCCCATCATCCCCAGCATGACCTGCTTCAACCACGGGTGCTCGCTCAGCAGGATCGTGACGTATCCGACGAAGGGAATGAAGCCGACGACGCTGCCGATCACGTCTTCTTTGCGGTTCAGGAAGGACTGCCCCTGTGCGTAGAGCTCGGTGTCGTCCGCAAGGTTATTGTCGCCCTTTGTAAGCAGACGGAGGGGCGTTTTGCTGGGATCATGTCAGCTTCAGCTCATAGTTTTCTCCACATTAATGCGAGGCGCTTTTGGTCTCTCGTAAATTGTTCCCATGCAATTGCACATCTCTCACAGTCTCACTACCTCTTCATCTTGCAAACAGCGCAATAGAAAGCTGTACTTACTTTCCACCATATCTCCTCACCACTCTGTGCACAATCGGGATGTCCTTGCCCTTGACATTGTACACCACAATCTCCCCAACCTGTGTATCCAACCCCCTGTTCCACAAGAACAGCAGATCTCCTCTCTGGAACGCGGGTTCCATGGACCCTGACAAGACGACAACGATGGGTGAAGGTGAGTCGCTGACAACGGAGAGCCCTTTCCAGAGCATAAAAGCTGTCGAGAGTACGAGCGCGAAGTTCAGGACTTGGGCGGCGAGTTGCCGGGGCTGCATGCCGGCGACACCTAGCATGGCTGCGGTTTCGATTGGTTGTGAAGGTAGAAGGTTTGTGGTGTGCTGTGCGTGTACGGGCGGTGAAGGAGCGGATTTGAGGCGCAGATCGATGCGCGACCGCTCGGCTGGACTACTGTGCGCGGGGAAAGTTTGGTGGTGTTGTGTTAAGCTCTTATTGCTTGTCGTGGAGAGCTTATTGCCAGATGTCCTAAGGTTATTTGATTGGCTGCTTATCGATAGTCAATCCCCGACGTACTCCGCTCCTCCTGCTCGAGCGCAATCCGTCTCCTTACAACACACCTCGACAAGACGCCCAGATCATAGTAAAAGGTGCCGTAGACGTCGAGATGGAAATATCGTGTCATTGTTTGGCTCAAAGTATGGGATTAGCGCCGGCTTCTCTCACCTAGCACGCGACCATGCTTCAACGACCTTTACCTTGACTTGAACCTCAGATACCGTCAAGTATATAAACTCAAGGGTTGCTTCATTGCCTCTGAACTCTCTTTCCCTTCTCCCTCGTTCTCGTTGCCTCGTCTTGGAGTTTGAGCATCCATTCACACTATTGATACAAGCCTTGGGAACTCGAACCTTCACTATCTCAATCGAAAAGAGCCAGCATCCTGTGCTACATCTATCGCCTTGTCCACCATACACCCATCCGAACAGCAACTACGCAAGTGAAGTCTTCTTGATGCTGGCGCAATCAACATCGATTCGCAGGGTGTTAAGCTGCATACCTGGTACCGTGATCCTCTATCGGGAATCTGGATCTAGTCTCCCCTTGTGGCCCTCAATCTACCTCACAGATGACGTCCCGCCGAAGGCGTTCCTACAAACCCGACCCTCCGGCTTTTACAGTGTTGTGCTGAAGCTAGCCAGAGTTCTAGATGCAGGGCAATTGTAAGTCTAACAACATCACACGGGGCACAGCGCTAATTGAGGTAGGCGATGGGCGCAAACATCGGAAATGAATCACTTCAATCCCTTCGCTGCCGACGACAACACCAAACGGTCCACACCTGGCCTTGAGGATGCCTACACTGTCGCACTCGAGGCGCTCGAGGCTGGACTTGATCTGAACCATTGGAAGGGAATCCTGACCACGAGCCAAGATCAGGACGTGATCAGCATCAATAGTGATGATGACAATTTGGACGATGATCCACAGATGCGTCTCGCAATCAAGATGGGTATTGTGGTAGATGTTCGTTCAGCAGAGGCTCCGTATCGAACAAAGCCCCCAGCGGTCCGAATAAGGCGCTGCAATGCTGGGCCTGACTTGTCGTCACCACGTGCAGCAAATGTTGCGCCACACTCTTACGACAGCGAACTGTCGTCGCCTGTTCGAAGACACTTTCAACGACCCTCGAGATTGCCCACCCCTACGCCTTCGCCTCCAAGCAAGACCGAGATCTTCAACATCTCCTCGCAGTGGTCAAAGCGCTCGAGCCCGCCTTCACCGGCATATTCGGATGATGACTTACCCTCGCCTTCGCGAAGGAGAAAGCTGACCGGCAGTTCCGAAATATCAAGGCGAGTCGATCCTTTCCAGTTATCTTCACAATCATCGCAGAGCACACCTTCGCCAACTTTCGTTCTCTCAGACGAGGATGATCTGCCATCGCCTCCTCGCCTAAGGAAATCAAGTACTGCAACCGGACTCAAACCATCAAGATATATTCCGCAACAGTCAGCCTCCAGGTCCAAGAAAGTAGCCCAATCAGTTCTATCTGCCAAACGAGTATTCTTGCGCAATGGGTTGAGCGCTTCTGTTTCTGCAATGCCTGATGCCGATGTTATCGAAGAAGATCTGTAAGCTCGTTTTTTCGATTCAAGTTTTTTAAAGACTGATGTGTTTCAGCGACGAGAGTAGTCAGTTTGTACAGGTGTTTGTCGGGCCCGAGGTTGATCCAGCCACTGATACCAACATCGATCCCCAGCGCCGAAGGCACAAACTGCAGCTTCTCAAGCATTACATCTGGGAACGTCCCTACTTTCGAGATGCCCTATCAGGAAGGAATTACTTCGAACCCACTGGAGACAACACCTGGGAGCTTGTGCACCCTCGTCTTGTGGACATCTCATCTGAGGACTTTAGAATGGTCGCAGAATTTCTATTGGACGGCGACTTCGGCATCAGGGATCCAGAAGATGAGGAGCAGGTTGCAGAGACTTTCGCCGAATGCATGTCAGCATGGAAGACTGCGGAGCTCCTGAGCATGGATGATCTGCTTGAGCACATTGTCGACAAGATTCGGGCAGCCCGACCTTGGTGGGACATGTGGAACGTTATGGCCTTCGCGTGCTCGATTTACGAAAGCGATATTACGCTGCAGGCTCACAAAGATATGAAGGCCATGCTCTCAGAATCCATTGCAGAGCTGTATGATATTTACATCGAAGACGATCATCTTAGGAGCCAGTTCTTGGCTCGCCTCAAACAGCTTCCACAGTTGAGAAGGGACGTCCACGCAGAGATTGTAGCGCAGGTCGATCGACGCTTGCAACCGCAAGATGAGGAGGTGGAGAACGACATGGATTTGTACAACTGATAAGTTGACACCATTGACCGGTCCGGATGCCAGAATGCACGCTCACCAGCCTGCGGAAGGCGAAGCTACGTTTGCTCGCAAGAAGAAGGGGTAGAGCAAGGCGCCTGGCGATTTCTACATTGGGAACATGAGGCTACTTCATATTGGTAACGACAGTTATGGCGGCATTTTGAATGAAGCGGTAACAGCTCAAATCCGAGCCAGCTTCTTCACATATGCTCTTGCATGGTATCATTGATATAACTTTGCTTCTCTGCACCTCATTCTAAGAGCATCATATCTACCACAACCCTGTGATCTCCGACAATCTCTGCGTGGGCTCAATCACCATGTTGCTATCCGTCGTAGTCGTTCTCGACATACTACCGCTGTCGCGGAACGTGGGAAAGACTGCAGCATCATGATCTGCACTTGCATCCCAGCCCAACGTCTCCTCTTTATCGTAGTCCATCGGCGCCCACGCCGCATCTTCTTCCTCTTGCATCCTCGTATCGTTGTGTGGTACGAACAAGCTCTCTTCGTCCTCCGGTTCTGCCTGTGGCGGCACTGTCTGGGACTGCGAAGGTGCAGACGAGGGCTGTCGTGAGCCTGGGTTCCGTAATCGGCCGTTCTGGTCACGTCGTGAGGCTGGCTGGACTGGTGGCGGCATCTCTGAGCGCATGCTGCGCATATCTGTGCGTTCTGATGCGGCTGATGGCGAGTGGGAGGCTTGTCTGCTTTGTTGCGGCGTAGCTGTATGCTGTTGGGGTGCTGGCGTGGGGGTAGGCGGAGCTCCAGTATAGTCGCCAGATGTCATGAGAGTGAACTCGGCCACGAGACCGTCACATCCATAGCTGAATTGCAGTGGCCGCGTCGGTTGTGAGTAGTACGCTTTGAGACTGGTTTTGAGGGTATCTGCGTGCAGGACGATGGCCTTGAAGTCCTTTACGCTGATAACGATGTGTAAACCTGCTTGGACGTTGAAGTATTCAAAATCAGAAGTGTTGACTGCGACTGCGGTGACGAGTGGATGTTTCAAAATTTCTTTGCCATCGGAGATCTTCTCGGTGTAACTCTTGAACACGCATCGCCCATCCTCTCCAGTGAAGATGTCCAGCAACTCGGTCTTTGTGCCGAAGTACTCGATGTACTCTCTGGTGGCACCGGAGTGCATGCTCCACCGGTTTTGCGCCACACTGCGGTCGAAGAGCGCATGCATGACATCGACAGCCTCATACGTCAATTTGTATGTCTTGGTGACACCCTGGTTGCAGACCATCTTGATGATGAACCTGCAGTAGGCTTCATTGTCTTGATCTTGCAGACTGACTTCGCAGCGCTCAACTGCTCCATCTCGACCTAGCGGATCATACAACCGTCCCTTGAAGACGGATAGCAAGGCCCTCGTATACATACTGCACGAGAAGCGTCCATCTGTGCCGCCAGCATCCGGAATGCATTCATATTGCCTGAAGAACTGCTTGCCGTCCAGAGTCACGGCGCAGTATGCTGATTTGGACGAGTTGAGTGCGGTGAACGTGAACTGATATGGAAAGCATAAGAAAGTGACTGAAGTGAATGAGATTCAAGATGACCCACTCTTTCTCGACGCGCCTCGATGGCGACCGTTTCGCTAAACTTCCCCAGGCACACAAGGAGGTCATGAACCTTTGACGCCGCCTCGGGCGTCAGCGTGAAGTTGAGGACGACCATCTTGAATGTTTATGTCTCGTTAGGCATCGCCGCTGAAACGGGGTGGTGGCCAGGCGTCTGGAAACGCGTAAGCCGAAAACGCGCTAATCGGTGACATCACGGGAAGCGCGGGCGCAACCCTGCAGCATTGCGGAGGTCAAGCTGTGCAACGGCATCAACATCAACATCGACTTTTGCAAAGTCGCGCAAAAATGGCTCCAGCGCTGCCAGATGACATCTTGCACGTGCTTTGTGAGGAGTTGGCAAATCTTCGACAATTTGACACACTCTTCAACTGCGCTTGCGCCAGCCGTGTGTTAGCAGCACCTGCACTTACTAACCTGTATCGGTAGGTTACGTGTGACGCATTTGTCTGCAGTATGCTGAATTTCTCTACAGGTCACACCACGAGGCGCCGATCAGAGGTGGGGGTGACGATGCCCTAGGTATTCCACTTGGTCAAAAGCTTTTGATCATCCAGCGATGGTCCATCCTATGGAGATCCATCGTCGCCTCCAGTCTTGATGCCACTTTGTTCCCATACTGCCGTTACATCAAGACTCTAGACTTTCGCGATCTAGGAAATCTCTTTGGTGACGATCAGTTCCGCAACAAAATCGCGAAGTGAGTTTCCACTGTGTGACCGTTCACCTCAAATATTGATCTTCTTTAGGCAGTTTTTCTCAGGTTCTCTGAAGCAGTTTGAAAGAACATATTCATGGAAGAATGCTTCGGGGAAGAAGATAACCGGTCTGATGGACGCTGATACTATCGAAGCTATCGGAGAAGGTGGGTTTTTGAGGTTTTGTGTTAACCTGCTTCGATACTTACTCATACAGCTGTCACTCAACATACGCCCATGCTCGAAACGATAAGTGGTGAACGTGAGAGTCCCAGATCTTTCGTATCATCATCCACTAACCGCCTCTAGTAAAATCAGATGCGCTCGTCCGGTGGACCTCTCGACTACCTCGTCTACAGAGCCTGGAACTTTTCGACGGCAAACCCCTTGAGAACCCATTGGTACATGCATCGCTCCATGAGTATTGTTCGAAATTCAATACGCTCATGATCTATACATGGTCGCTAGCAGATCTGTTGTCCGATGACCGCGACCACAGATTCGCCGAGTTCCTGAGCTCGATGCGGGCCAACTCATTGAAGTCACTCCAAACAATGCATGACATAGGTGCTGATGCAGAGACGTTCTTGGCACTGAGCCACCACGGCGACTCATTGGAAGATCTTGGAATGTACACTTCGAATGAATCTTTGTCGCACTTGTCCATGCTTCAAGGCTGTACGGCTCTGAGGCAGTTGCGCATCGAAGACACTCATGGCGTAGTAGACCTTGAGGCAACTCAGAACGATGTATTCTTGGATACTATAGCCTGGCTCGGGAAGTGCAAAGATCTGCGGAGCATTCGCTTTTCGAATTTCGCATCTGGAGCAGCTGTTATCACCCCTGTGCTCTTGGAGCACGATGTGCGGCTGGAGCATTTGGAAATCGACTCGTACATCCTCAAAGACCACCAAACTTTCCATCAAGCGCTGGTCCACCAGCAGGCGAATCTGGTCGAGCTCTCCTTGAACGGCGACACAGATGGGATGTTCCGAGATGATATCGATATACTTGTCGATTCGTTGAAACAGCTGAAAGCGATGCAACGACTTTCCCTTTCAATTTTCGAAATATTCCGTGACGAGCACGTCATTGCTATCTTCCAAGATCTGAAGCAGCTTGAGACAGTATATGTCAGTGGCTTGGAGCTTAATGATGTTGTCCTGCCGACAATCGGAGGTCTGCCCAACCTGCGAGACGTCACCTTATCGGGCATCTCCAAATTCTCCGTTGATGGGCTCTTTGATTTCATCTCAATGCTTGGTCCCGGAAACCAAGGCATTCGTATCACGATCGACCAGGCGGACCCCAACACTGCGCTGACTGAAGATAATCAGACGGTGCTGGGTGACTACCTCGCGCAGCAAGTAGGAGGTGCATTCGATTACACGCTATACAAAGGTTGGTTGCAACTCGTCATCTGTGCTCTTCGCTGAACTACATGCTGATCCTCATGCACAGATCCATACATCTCGGAGTTCGAGGGGGACTCGGACTGAATACACGTCTTGGCCACACTTCAACACTTACAACTCGGCATATTGGTCAACACAGATTGACCGAAGCCGAGTGCAAGCCCTACCTCTACTGGACATATTTTGCATAAGAGGCAGCAAAGCCTTCGGAGGCAGATCGACTCAAACCAGCCAAGATGAAGCTCTTAGCGACATTCAGAAGTTGACATAGGGAATAGCGCAAGAGTCTCGTCGGTGAGAAGAGAACGTGCGGTTTGGAGAGAGTTGACTTGTTTTCGTAGTTGCGTTTGCAGATGTGCAAAGTTACGATCCATGACGTGGATCTCGCCTAGTCTCGGATAGCGGGGCTCGGAAAAGGTACCGTTCTGTGCCTGAGATCCTCACACAATCCAGACCTTTAGATCAAGGTCCTTCGATCCATTCTTGATTCTCAATGGCTGCTTCAAAGCGAATCCTAGTGATCGCCGGCTCAGACAGCTCAGGTGGAGCGTACGCCTTCTCTCATCTCCATTGACATCGCTGATCGCGACTAACAAGATGTTTGCAGTGGTCTTGAAGCTGACCAAAAGGTCATCGCTGCACATGGGTGCTATGCAATGACTGCTACTACAGCTCTTACAGCGCAAAATACGCAGGGTGTACAAGACATTCACCACACGCCGCCTGCATTTCTGAAGAAGCAACTTGATGCTGTTTGCGATGATGTCGGGGTCGACGTCGTCAAGACAGGTATTATCTACAGAAACATGAAGAAGTAGGGGTTGACGATGTAAACAGGCATGCTTGCGTCGGCAGAAACTATCGAGATTGTTGCAGATGCGTTCCGCCGCTACAATGTTACCACGAGTGTCGTTGATCCCGTACGCCACACCATCACATCTGCATGCATGAAGCATTGGAATCTTGGATACTGATCCTATGGCAGGTTATGGTATCAACATCGGGCGCTCATCTGCTTCCCGAATCAGCCATCTCAACATTGATCGACAAGTTATTACCTTTGACCACTATTCTCACCCCCAACCTGCCCGAAGCCGAGTTACTCCTAAGAATCGCAGGTGCGGACATCAAGACACCAGAAAATTTCGACGGTATCGTGAGCATGGCCAAGCGTATCCAGCAGCTAGGCCCAGAATATGTTCTGCTCAAGGGTGGACACTTGCCGTTCACAAAGGGACGTTTAGTGAGCAAAAGTGAGGAAGAGAGGGAGATCGTACTGAATGTGTTGGTCGGCAAAGATGAAGTAATAACGATGGAGAGTGAATATCTGCGCAGCAAAAATACACACGGTACAGGGTGTTCACTAGCATGTAGGTTCTCCTATGACCACATTTGGGACTCGTAGTATTGACACTCAAACAGCCGCTATTGCGTGTAACCTCACATCCGGTATGAGCATGGCAAAAGCTGTCAGCAAAGCCAATCACTACATCGAGGCTGGAATCAAGACAAGTATAAATTTGGGTAAGGGGAGTGGACCGATCAATCACTTCCATTCCACATACACACTCCCATTCGCACAGTAAGACCCCCTAACCTACACGAGACATCCATGTCAATGCAGGTACTGACCTTCTTCACAGGGGCGGGTTCATACAATACCTGCTCGATCGCGACGATATCCAAAAGCCGTGGAAAGAGTACACCGAACATGAGTTTGTGCAGAGAATGGGCGATGGGTCGCTTCCAGTCGAGAATTACAAATACTATCTGATTCAGGATTACCTGTTCCTGGTAAGTCTCTTCCACCGAAAGTAGGTCGGAGTGGTATTGACGGGTGATCAGATCCAATTTGCACGAGCTACGGCTCTTGGTGCTTACAAGTCTAGCTCTTTGACTGACATCGGTCGCTCAGTGCAGCAAGTCATCACCCTGCAAGAAGAGATCAAACTGCATATCGATTTCTGCAAGGAGCAGGGTCTATCGGTCAAAGACATCGAGAGTCAAGAGGAAGATCAGGCAACGACAGCATATACCAGGTATGTTCTGGACATTGGTCAGTCTCAGGACTGGTTTGCACTTCAAGTGGCACTGTTGCCCTGTCTAATTGGTTATGGCATCATCGCAAAACGCCTCTTCGACGACACCGATACATTGAAGGAGGGAAGATACTGGATGTGGATCCAGCAGTACGTTGACAAGGAATACATGGAGGCCGTGGCGAGGGGCTCTGCACTGATCGAGGAGTACGCGGGTAAGCAGTCGGTCTCTCGACTCGACGAGCTCGCTCAGATCTTCATTCATGCAACAAACGTAAGTGCTGCAGCCCGCTACCTGCTGCTTGAGCTAATTCGCCTCAGATGGAAAGAGGGTTTTGGGACATAGGTATGAGAGGCGGAGGTGCGGTCAAATAAGTTCTCAGTATAGCACTTGAGCCACAACAGCATCTCAGGTCATCGCTGTGGTGCCGCACGCCATTTCGCAGTACGTTTGCAGACATGATAAAGTTGATTAACTTGTGTGGGTCTTTGTTGTCGATAATGTTCTTCGCCCCTTCCAATCTTCTCGGCGGACCCTGCCCCGTCTGAGCGCTAGTGCGGCTTGGCACAGTTGCCGCCTGCGATTTTTTTGTCGCTCCCTCACCACATCTACAACTCACTTCCCACCTGAGTTTTCACGCTGCAGATTTCGCGATCTTCTATTGTCGCATTCCTGCACTTAACACATCACAACAGTTTCTGACGAAACACGACGCTCACTCGCTCTGAAACTTTCATCCCTTTCACTGGTCCCTACTGAACACTCGACAATCATGTCTTACGGAGGCGGATACGGAGGCGGCGGCCGCGGCGGTGACCGTGGTTACTCTAACGGGTACGAAAACAGCAACTCTGGATACAGCGGCAGCGCCTACAACAGTCACGACTACACATCCAGCCATAATGCATCGTATGGGTAGGACGATTCATCCCCTAGCACGGGAAGGGCATCAGTGTGGTGGTTCCTGGGCAGCCCTTGTTCATTTGCTATCTCCTTCTTTCATGGCTCTGCGCGCAGACTGAGTCCGCGGCTGTGCTTGCTTCACTTGCCTTTGCAGGTCAAGCGGGCGGTCACGTACTTGCTGTAACAGCGTAGAGTTCCCCTTTACTGTCTCACACCCTATCTCGAGATCATCACTAACTCATCTTCAGTGGCGGCTATGGCGGCGGCTCTAACGGATACTCTGGCGGCGGCGGCGGCGGCTATGGCGGTGGCGGCGGCGGCTACGGTGGTGGTGGCTACGGCGGCGGTGGTGACCGTATGGGCCAGCTCGGCTCTGGCCTCAAGACCCAGCAGTGGGGTACGTATGCTCGAAGCAATCATGCAGAGCTCAACTAACAGCAGACAGACATCGACTCATTGCCCAAATTCGAGAAGTCGTTCTACAAGGAGGATCCCGCCGTTACGGACCGCTCACCCGAAGAAGTCGAGGCTTTCCGCAAGGAGCACCAGATTGCAGTTAAGGGCACTAACGTTCCCAAGCCTGTTACAACATTCGATGAGGCCGGTTTCCCTGGCTACGTGATCAACGAGGTCAAGGCACAAGGCTTCGCCAAGCCCACACCTATCCAGTGTCAGGGATGGCCGATGGCTCTCTCTGGACGCGACGTTGTCGGTGTTGCCGAGACTGGTTCAGGAAAGACCCTCACATACTGCTTGCCCGCCATCGTCCACATCAACGCCCAGCCTCTACTCGCTCCCGGCGACGGCCCCATCGTCCTGATTCTCGCGCCCACTCGTGAGTTGGCTGTCCAGATTCAGCAGGAAATCAGCAAGTTCGGAAAGTCTTCTCGCATTCGCAACACTTGCGTCTACGGAGGTGTTCCCAAGGGTCCTCAGATTCGTGATCTTGCACGTGGTGTCGAGGTCTGCATTGCTACGCCCGGTCGTCTCATCGACATGCTTGAGGCTGGCAAGACCAACCTGCGCCGTGTTACCTACCTGGTTCTCGACGAGGCTGATCGTATGCTTGACATGGGTTTCGAGCCCCAGATCCGCAAGATCATCGGACAGATTCGTCCTGACCGTCAGACTTGCATGTGGTCTGCAACATGGCCTAAAGAAGTTCGTCAGTTGGCTGCTGACTACCAGAACGACTGGATTCAGGTGAACATCGGTTCCATGGATCTCTCTGCCAACCACCGCATTCAGCAGATTGTTGAAGTCGTTTCAGAGTTCGAGAAGCGTGACCGCATGGCCAAGCATCTCGAGACCATCATGGACGACAAGAGCAACAAGATCTTGATTTTCACAGGTACCAAGCGTGTTGCCGATGAGATTACACGGTTCTTGCGTCAAGACGGATGGCCTGCGTTGTGTAAGTTTCCAATCATGACACTTTTTGAGACATCAGCTAACGTCGCAAACAGCCATCCACGGTGACAAGCAGCAAAACGAGCGCGATTGGGTTCTGAACGAGTTCAAGACCGGCAAGAGCCCCATCATGGTTGCTACCGACGTGGCTTCCCGTGGTATCGGTATGATTGCAAACCCCCCTACACCCCCTCCCCTCCCCGAACTATTATTACGCGTGAACTGCCAATGTGCTCTGCTTAGGTTGTCTCGTGCGCTTGCTGCATTCGCTCCCATGACATCGTCCATGGCTTGAAGTCCTTCTCGAATCTGAACACCAGGGATCCTGGGGCACACTAGCGAAGCCTTCGCTCTTCGCTGCTCTTTGTTTCATGTGCCATTGAGGTACTACTGAGGCAAGCTGAGATGATTAGACTCCCATCGAGTCACAGTCTCTTCCAAGGATTTCTGGACCAGGAGATATTCTACAGCCTCTTCCACTGGACTCTGATGCCGTGACCACCGTCGTAGCGCACTTGAGACACTTGCATGCAACATACTGCAGCAGCTTCACGCGATCAAGATATGATCGTTCGTTTGCTCGTCACACTTACCCAGTTGCTAACCGTTGCTTTTCAAGATGTTCGCAATATCACTCACGTTTTCAACTATGACTACCCCAACAACTCGGAGGACTACGTCCACCGTATTGGTCGAACTGGTCGTGCTGGTCAGACCGGTACTGCCATCACCCTGTTCACCACTGAGAGTACGTACCTTCGTCCGCTTCCCGATGGATCCTCAACTAACAATCTTCGCAGACTCCAAGCAGGCCCGTGATCTCGTCCAAATTCTCCAGGAGTCCAAGCAGCAGATCGACCCTCGCCTGCACGAGATGTGCCGCTACGGCGGCGGTGGTGGCGGCGGTGGCCGCTGGGGAGGTGGCCGTGGCCGTGGTGGTCATCGCGGCGGTCGTGGTGGCTGGACTGGTGGTAACAACGACCCCGTTCGCAACAGCCGCTGGTAAACGCAACGACATGTTCAACGATACGGCACCCGGCAACAGCTTTCCTAAAGGCCCGGCGTTTGATGTAGACCATTTCCTTTTCCCAAGTCACCTTCCTTCTACCGACCACGGCGGAGCAGGTGTTACGCCTCGTCGAAGCACACTGATACCCTGGAAGGACGCAGTCTACTGACCACCATGCACGGGCATTGAGTCGGTAAGAACTTGCGTGTAGACTGGCTTTCCCTGCTTCTTTCTGTACTTGTCTTACTTGGTTGCTCTTCCGCACGCGTAAGAGCTCACTCGTACTTTGCATCATGGAGCTGGCGGCGTCCTTTCAAAAGTTCTCGTAATATGCATATAGAAGAAATTGTCAATATCCAATGTCCTGCATTCTCGCACTGCCAAACGTGATGTCGAACATGCGCTACATTCACGTCTGCATGTTGCGTCATCCACCTCTCATCATGTGTCGAATGACGCCTACCGTGATCATGTATCGTTGTGCGGCTGCCGTGAAACACTTCCAACTGGGATCGATCTCTTGCAGAAAGTCAACCCGATGCCGCACTTCGCCGCTCTTTCCTCAATGTACCCCGTGTTTGTCTAGATCCTTGATCCTCCCCAACATGGCGGACCCCGGCTCGTGGGGCTCAGATAGAGTTCATCGGTGGATCGCGATGTTCATGGCTTGGATCGACCGCAGTTTTCTTTTCCACGGCGTCCCCGGCTCGGTGCGGAAGATATGGATCCGTGGTCGAGGCTGCTCAGTCTAGATGATCTTTCTGTGGAGGCATGATGGCGTGAAGACGTAAATGCGTGGAAAAGTGCGGATTGGCCACTGAGAATTGTTGCATTGTAAATGTGTGTGTTGTTGTGGGGAGTTCGAGTATGGAAGAGACGAAGTCGAGGAAAGGTGCCTTTTCAGGTGCTCAGGGGTTCAGGTACGCCAAGGCAATGGTCGATAGAGACTGAACCGGCCCTAAGAATAATTAGTTATTTGTATGGCTGACGAAGATTTTAAACATTGAAAGATGTGCGAACGCTGAAGTTGACCATTCATAAAGATTGGATTGTAATCAGGAAGGATGTCCTGCGGTGTTCAAGTATGGTGCTTGGAGGTTTGGGTATCGGTACATTACAAGTACTTGACGCGGCTTTTGTCGACATGCAGGATATCGCAGTGATTGAGTGGGTCAGTATTTTAAGTGCCACTCTTCGGAACGTAGGGCTGTCGCCGTGTAGTGGACATGTGTACAGTGGTTTGTTCGAAACCGTTGGGCTGTGAGAGATATTGTTGCCAGGTATGCCAAGGCAAGGAAGGGTCGTGGAGACTGGACCCTTCATGATGCACCGCTGTACGTAAGGTTGAGAGGCTGACGCATTCTGATACTTTCCTCTGCCATAGCAAATGCTTCATTGGACGCCGTAGACTCGGTAGAAGTCACTGTCGACAGTTCAAGAAAAAGATTCAGTGAGTTGATTAGACAGACCAATCTTCATATTGTTTCATCAGGCTGTGACACTCAGGGTGTTGCGCAGGGTACAGTGCATGATCATTGCTCGTCCAATCTTGCTATGAGGGGACCTCAGGGGCAGAGCGTATTCGCTGTGTGTGAAAGTCGCCCACTGCAACAGGACCGGAACCTCCTCTTTGAGACGACAATCCATGGTTAAGAGGAGGTCTCCCCTGAGTTCTCTTCTGTCCCGGACATGGCCAGCACGACTGACCAGGCAGCAGTGCATTTCTCCTTGACGAGACTGTCGACTTCGACCAGACTCCACCAGGATTCGAACTCCTGAGCTCGGTTGAAGGAACGCGGACCCTATCGTGACATAGTCTGGCTTAGTTCTAAAGACTTTCCGCCCTGCTGGAGGTCAACGTGGAGAAGATGTATTGTGCTCGTCGTGGTTGAAAGGGCGACCAGACACCAACGCATACATGTCTGCCTGTTCTGACAAACATTTCGCTGGTCCAATATAAGCAATCGTGGGATACTGTCGATATGCGCGACCGGAGAATCTGAGGCTCCTTTGCGACGTGGTACTCATCCAGCTTCGCCAACATGGCTGGTCAGGACGAGTGGTCGCACCTCCGTCTTTTTTGATCATGAGAGGTCGCTGTAGTGGCGTCGGCCATGTCTATAGCCAGCTTGGAGTCTTCGCGGGTGGCCGATATGAAATGGTTGCGCGGGCAGTGTATTCGGTCGAGAAGTGAAGACTTTCCATTCGGACGGAGAGCAAGGTGAATGCAGTGAGCCATGGGGCAACGAAACCTGACGAAATAAGCCTAAGGTATCGGATTACATCGAGTGATCGCAGATGATTTGCCAAGAATGTGTCGGAGGGACGAAGTGTGATGTAGGAGTGATGGAGGAGAAGTCGTGGAAGGGAAAGTACTCAAGAACGCCCCCTAGTCCTGATACAGCAGTCGCCATCCACACAAGGTAAGACATACGACGGGCATGACAAGTGCCAAGAACGATGCGAAAGTAATTTGTTGATATCGGTGAGCTGTTAGTTGTTGTGTATAGCTCGAAATTTTATCAGTCACGATCATGATCAGCTTTCAGTGGTCATGGCAGACACAATGCAGTCTTTGTGCTTTGCAATTCCTCTCAGTATCACACCTCATATCAATACTTCGATACCGCTTCTGGCTTTTTTGTCAATTTGGCAGACACAGATTGAGTGGCGTGACGTTGCAGCATTTTGTCAGTTGATACTTGGATCCAACAGGCCAAAAAAACATCACGTAGGTTCACAAAGATCTTGTCTACAGAAGACATGGGAAAACGTCTATATGGGTCCAATTGATATGTGGCAATGTTACTTATAGTAACTCGAGTCGAAAGTACAAAAGCAGCTGCAGTGGAGACGTTGTCCATGCCAAAGAAGACTCGAGAAGAAGCCGAATGCTCACATAATATCGTTACAGAAACAAGATATGTCTATATATATATATCTGATGATTGTTAAGACATCTTACTGCCACCTCTATTCTGCATGGCTCTGCGCATTATGCTCATATGAATTGCGAAGTTGCGGTGCGTTTTGTTCGTACTTCCACCTACTTGGAAGGATAAAAGATTCGACGAAATCGTGCGACGTCTGTCATAAGAAACAGCCTTCGAACGTTCACTTTCATACTTTCATGTATGGTCATATAGTTGAACAGCACATCATTAAGGAACCTTTTTCACGCGCATCCAAGATCGAGAAGAAACTCAAGAGACCTCGCAAGCAGACGACAAGCTGGAAACTGCACCAAAGCATACACTTTCGCACACAACGACCTGTGCTGACTGTCAGTGCTCGAACATCGTTCAAACAAGCATCTCATAAACCATCAGGAAGTCTTGCAAAAGTCCGCCAACGCTGAAATTCAGTGACGTTGCGATAGAGTGGAAGCTAGCAGTGCCGGCGTGAGCGGTACGTGTGATCGACCACCAGCCGGTTCTTGTGTAGCCTCACACTGTCGCACGCGAAGACGTTTACGCTTGTCAAGCGCGCTGTACACTCGCTTGAGCCTGCTCATCGCTTGTCAAAAGACCGCGACGCAGCCTCACTTCAACTCGAAACTGAAGCTGAGGGCAACCTGGCTGCTGGGAGTGACACGCTCGCAACGCCTTGAGCGTCCACGATCGCAATGGACTGTGCAGTAGCGCTTTCAGATTGACCTGTTTGAATGCATCCGTTTTCCTGTTTCGACAGCAAGTCTTCGTTCGTTCTAGGCTCGCGGTAAGTTCGAGCTATAGATCGCACACACATTAGGCTACGACTGTAAATGCAAGTCCACACGGATACACCTCCGTCAATCAATTCTCACCTTGATTTCTTCCGTACGCAGCGGTCACGCTGAAGTGACAATATGCTCGTCTGTAGCATCCGTTGCTGCCGTGTTACCCGGGTGAAGACATCATCATTTTGCATTGTTGGAGTTGCTTCCTCGTCGTTGAATGGTGTTTTGTGGGGAAGTGCTTCCGTCTGACCCCGAGGCATCGTATTGGCGGTCACTGCGGTGCCGCTGTAGGCAAATTGCATGGGAGGGTTGCATGATCTGCCATTACCGACATTTGCGCATGTTTGAAACTAATGATCCACTGCCTAAGAAGTACCAGCAAAGATGACACCGAGCCTCGTCGGTGAACCTGAGGAAGAGCCATGCTCTTGATTTTCTTGTGTTGCTTCAAATCATTTTGTCTCTTGAAAGATGCAACTGCTATTGGGTTGTGACATGTCCTTGTCGCTCTGTAATTGGAGTGAAGATCGCATTCGTACCCTTTCTGAACCTTCAATGTACCACAGTACAGCGGAGCACGCGTGTTGAAACAATCGATAGCGCGAGCAGCCTCGCATTCGTGTTGTTTTGCGGTTAGCATCTATGATGATTGACAGGCGTCCAGCTGCTGCTATTCACTGGACCTCCCGACGTGTTTAGGCTAGAAAGGGGAATCTAAGCGGTTCGCGCTACGTGCAGGTTGCAAGCAACGTGGTCCCTGTGTCCGAGCTCCGTTTCATCCTCCGAGCATGTAGGCTAAAATAAACAAGCTTTATTGATTCTCGACGGAGGACGCAAAATGTTTCCAAAGCTGAGGTGCTGGGAAAGTCCGTCGGGTGCCTCAACTCAAGCCACCTGAAGGTGTCAAGGATCGTATCCGATCGTGAAGTCACAACAATGCAGCACAGGTTCAGGATGACATGCTCAGAGACAGTAGAGGATCAGCAATGTTGTTCCCATTATCTAAGCCGTCAATCACTGACTCGAAAGCGAGCGCGCCCGCGTCTTTCCGACCTGAGTGCCAGTCATGACGAAAAAGTGAAGATGTCCGACAGAAAACGAGCTCAGATCCGCTATTCCAGCAGTGTCATGGGCAGACGTGGAGAGGAAAGATCAGGCGAGGGTCATCTCAACCGAGGCAAGTCATTACTGGCTTACAAGCCAGGAAGCACAATCGGCGAACCAGAGAAGAGGGATTCCGTTCACGCGATTTCAAATCAAGTCAAGCTGCCAGGAGCGATCACCGGCAGCCAAAATCGGGCATTCTTCGGTCGCTCTGGATGCCGCATCTTGCAGGTGGGGTAGGCCTGTCGTGCAGTGCTCTTGGCGCATTTTGGCAGAATCATCATCATCTGAGAGGTCGGAGTTGCGAATTGTATGCTGAATACGGCTCCGCGGGGTCGGTGTCTGGTGAAGATGGAGAAAGTGTACCGGTGATCAATCTGAGAATCTCTCCCGAAACTTTTCGGATATCTCACTCTTGTGGAGATTGGACCCTCGAGATCAGTGCGTACCCTCATGCAAGGCGACATCATTACAGATGTTGCATGCCGTGCAGCGTGCGCAAGAGTCAGCATTTTCAAAATTGAGTTTGTGTGCTGTCGAAAAGTGGAAAGCAAGGAGGCGTTGAAGCTGCGAGGGTGGGATGCAAAGCTTGTGCAGGAAGTTGTTCTTCCGATGCAAGATGGCTGAAGATCAAACGGTCACCAAAAAGGAAGGTGTGTTGGGTTGAGAGCAAGCCACGCGGCGTAATCCAAGATTCGAGGTGCATCGTACCCAACATCATGCCCTTCGTGACTGCACGGCTACACTCTAAGTTGCATTCGTTGCTTTTTGCTCACCACAGACCTTCTCAGCTGAGCATTCGTGTTTGGAGAGTCGGTGGAGGCATGTCCCTACCAATAGCACTGCACATGATCTCCAATTAAATCGCTCAGGATTCTAGTGGGCTTCGAAAAATTGTGCGCGGAGACTGCAGGATGCGGGCGCTGTCGACAGGGTTCCTACATCGATTTGCGGGACTTCTAATTCAACACCTTGTCATCATGGCCGAGAGCGGGACAAATTCTCCAGCAGCTGAATGTCAGCAGCCGTTGGAAACGGAAGGTCATCCGCATGCTTGCGTGGAGATGCCACGTCCTCGAACGCAGGGAGTACGTAACCTAAACTCTGACATCTGGACCTCTGAGCGAACAATTGCATTCTGCATCCAGAGATGCTACAGCTGTGACGACAAGTCGATAAAAACCCCAAGATGTTGAAGTCGGCTGCGAAATCGGCCACCGGAGAGAGCGTATCGGCGTCGTGCTGCGGAAAGGCCAATTCCGGTTCTCCGGAAGGGGCAGGGACCAGGGTAGATCGAATGGTGGTCAGCCGTCTCTCCGCCACGTGAGGGCTTTCGGCGGCATTTGGTTGAAGGAAAACGGCCGAGGTTTGGACAGCCACAAAGCCCAATTCACACATTGGAACAGGGGGCCCTTGCCAGTGTCACTCGCTCGCCCAGATCCATTGACACCAGAAGCGTTCCTGGATCCCGCTGGACATTAGCTGCAAGATCCGTGCGAAGAGTGTGTGGGTCGGCGAAGCAGATTCTCTTTGAAGTGCTTCCTTAGAACAGCGAGCAATTCAATGCATGTGCACTCTTTGTGGTCTCCTGCACAATATTCCGACTGAGTCGTTGTAGTGTAAGCATCCGTCTGCCGCAATCGGCCTCTTGGACGGGTTAAATCTCGTGATCTGGTACTGTGATGACTTTGCCAGCATGCAGGACGGCTGAAGGTGCGTTAGACATGAAGCGCTGTGTAGACATGTGATAAAATATGGTGTGCGAGAAGGTTTGAGCCTTACTCGTCTCTATCGAACCCTTTGAACACGGACAGTGTAAAGAGTTGCTCATGCCGTGATTGAGGTTGCTCCCGCTCCCGCTCGACGGCGCAGTCTGCAGCGAAAGCTAGCGGCACCGTCTCGTATTCATCCTGGGTCTGATCAGTCTTGGTGGTCTGACGACCAGCCAGAAAATTGCGGTGACTTTTGACTCGCATGCGTGCGTGTCTTTGGTCAACATTCTTGGTATCTTGATGTCAAGTGTAGAGTGCCACAACCATGTGAACGATGACGAAAGTCAAGCTCAATGGCTCGGTAAAGGACCAGAAGCCAGTACGGAGCGAGGCGTGTAACCATTCACGGGAGGCGAGGCCCAACACCTTCCTGAGCGTCAATACACATCACTTACACACGTCACCCCACATTTCCGCAGTGAAGCGACATGCAGGAAGATGGGAATGTCAATCCGGCCCTGCTTATCGCAGTGAGACACACAGTGCCAACGCCCTCCACGTTTTTCGTCAAATGCAAAAGCAATGAAAATGCCTGTGACAGCTCGGCTGTCGCCCCTGCAGGAGGTGGTGGCTGGTCGAGCAAAAATGGCGGCGAGGAAGTATTACACCCAAGAAGAATGCATCCGCAAGATTGCGTTTGAACTCGGAGGCTGAGACTGATCGCTCTCCATCCAATGTTGAAAAGGATGACGGATCAAAGATGGCTGGTAGTGGGTCGCGAGAGCAGTCTCTCCATCCTTGCGAGTCTAACAAACGCGGCAGAGCTGCAGGCATCAGGTGCCCTTGTGAATGCGGTAACTTCGACGACTCATTATGATGTATAGCCGTCAGACTTCCGTCAACACCCGGCATACAGAATAGCTGAGCTGAGCTGCATGTCGATATTTGGCATGTCCATCCGCATGTTCGCAGCCACAAGGAGTGGTTTTCGCCTTTGTGACATCTGTTGTAGGCTATCAACGAGCCGTAAAGACGTTCTACACAGTAGAGCACGGCGAGCACAAGCTACCGACGTTGCCGCCCGTATCTTCGCTCCACATGCTGATTTTCGCACACCGCAACAGCTTCGGTTCGCAGTTGCAGCGCATTGGGCATGATTGCCGCTTTTGAGGTGCCTGTGTGCCGTGTCCAATATTGGCGTGCAGTTGTTTCGGTGGCCGCCCCTTCCGACAATCACAGGCAAGAACCTGTGACATGAATCGTGCTGTCAGTCCTGATGGTTGTTGATGAAGTTCGTGATGTAGAGAGAAGGCTGCGATGTTGATGTTGGTGGTGTTATACAACTATGGTCTCACCTAGCAGCTTTTGGTACTAGCTGTCGACCATCAGGCGCCAAAACTGTGCCTACCCGGTACGCTAAGTGCAGGCTAACTATCAGCCTCATCAAATCGCTACACTCTTCTTTCGACGTCGTCTGAACGCAAGGCATGGAGCCGCACGCCCACAATGCACCCCCGTCAGCACCGCCAGCGCGCTCGGCCGTGTCTCGCGACTCAGCACCCTCGCCAGCAAGGTCTCTGCGCCTTAGTCAGCACATGATCGGCGCCTGCCACACATTTAATCCGTCGGACTGTTTTCTCGTCGAGATTAGCTTCCTCGCCACCTTCGCGCCTTCCCAACTTCGACCTTAGTTTACACCGCGAATCTCAGCGCGCTCACCACCATCACCCGGCCAGTCCCAGTGCGCCCGGTGCCTTGCTCTAACGGCCGTCACCAACGAGTAGCTCGCTGCACCAGGTACCAGATCTCACTCGCGCCCGCTGTGCTACGCGTGCAACCCGCCGCCAGTGCTGCGACCGTCGCCCTTCTGGCGCGTCTGAGGTTCTCCCCACAACAAGTTCACGCGCAAGGCCTGTCCTGCGCCAACGCGCGAGTCACCTGAGCGCATACAGACGCACCAGATCACCCACCACCTTTCAGGCTCCATAGGCTGCCAACGCTTTCAGGAGCGCTCAGCACCCGTGTGGGTTCCTCTTGCGGAGATTCGGCCGGACAACAGGCTGATCGCCTTCACTCGGCACGCTCGGCGCATTGAGCATTTGCCAGCAGCAGTGCAGGGACAACCATTCTGCCATTGGAACTTTCAACGTCATCAACACCGCCGACGGCCCGACTGCTTTCTTTTTGCCTCTTTGCTGCTTTCAGCGCGTCTGTCCAGCAATTCTCTGCGCACTGTGAAGGCCCTCTGCTGCCCGTTTGCTAGCGTTCATCCTGTCTTCGGCGAACAAGCTCTCTCCAGCCAGGTACCTATCAGCTAGCAGACCTACCAGCGACCGCGCACACTCCCCCGCGCCATCTCAGAAAAGCCGCTCATCCTCGAGCCAGCCCACCATTCCACTCTTTGGGTGCAGTGCCAACCCACGTTGACCTAGCACGCCCAGAGCAGCAGCAGAACCCACAATCACGGCACGGCCATACCGGTTCAGTCTCGTCACGAACCACACCTGTGAGCATTACGTCTTGATTTGACCGACCGAGCTAGCTCATCCCTGGTTAAGCGGCGCTCCGGCGTCTCGATCGCGATTGGCTCTGTCCGTACCAAATTTTGCGCCACCCAAAAGCTGCTAGCGTGTGCCTCTTCCAAATCCACGCTCGCCCCAGTACCCACCGGCCCACAGAGCAAGCTCATTCACCGCTAGCGCCGTGCAACCAGAGGTTGCACCTCACTGCGCCTTCGCTCCACGATTCGAGGGCTGTCACCCTTGTCATCACCCCTGTCCCCGGTGGCCTCGAGCGTGCGTTATCTTTTCGACGGTCTAAATCTGCCGAACTGCTTGTCCTTCCATCTGGGCGCACTGGAAAACACACCGTCTGCAAATCACCCGCGTTTAACTTCCACGCTATCGTGTCCTGACAACATTTCCATTCTCCGGTTTTCTGGCTGTGCGCAATTCTTGGCTCCCTCCGTCTGCTTTTGTACGGTTAGTCGCCTGTCTTTCATTGACCGCGGCAAATCATCCGAAGACGGTCTCTGCAACCGTCATATCTTCCCAGTCACTCCTCTTCCCACACCACGCGCGACCATTCTCAGCTTAGAGCTTCGGTGCAATTCGACTTCTTGAAAACGTACACAGTCTATGGACGCAAGGCAACAAGATTACCCGCAGTCAGGTTTGAGCTCACCATACCCAACGTTTCCTGAACCACCTTCTGAGGATACCTTTGCAGATCAAGCATCTGCTGCGCAATATCCTCCGCAAGGACAAGACCCTCGAGCTTCGAACCTCACTCCTACCTCCGACTACAGCAGCCTTCCACCGTCTGCTCGGTCAGGTTCATTCCCGGAATACATTCAACGTTCGTACCAACCAGGCGCTCAAGGACAAGCACCCGGAGGTATGGCGCAACAACAAAGTCCGTCAATGCCTCTCTCTGATGGTCAAACCAATGACCATCAACAACCTCAACAACTCAAGTCTGACACCGATGTACCTATAGATCCATCGATCGCCGCCCAGACGAGCCCAACCTACCCTCATCAGCAGCAGTACTCGCCCTATACCCCTCACCACGATATGCAGCATTACCCAGGACACCCGCAAACGCCCATGTATGGGTCGCGTCCTGAATGGGCTGGACAATACCCCCAGCCTGGCATGCACTATGGTCATCCAGCTTCATCGGGTCCTCCAGCACCAGCAATGGTGTCGCCTGTCCAAAGACCACCGACAGTAAGTTATTCTTTGTTAAAGCAGACTTCTGCGACGCGTCATTTACCGTTCCCAATGGCATACACTTCAGCGCCGGACGTGTGCGACGCGTTTATGCCAGTTCAATTCGCGTGTCAAATTTTTGCGCAATTGCGAAGATCTATACTAATGACGCGTTTAGGGAGGTCATCCTTTGTCCACTGTATACTCATTCGTGCCAATCCCAGGCGCGCAGCAACACAAGCGACCGCGCCGACGCTACGAAGAGATCGAGCGCATGTACAAGTGCGGCTGGAACGGCTGTGAGAAGGCTTATGGCACCCTGAACCACTTGAATGCGCACGTCACGATGCAATCGCACGGCGCGAAGCGAACACCAGAAGGTATGTATTGCGCTTTTTATGAGTTTGAGACATTTCGCGTTGTTGTGGTTGCCCTTGTCAGCCCGGCGCGCTAAGCTAGCACTGGGGGTTGTGTTGGTGCTGCGCCTATCTGATGGTGTTCCCACTACACTGGATAGCTTCTGGCGACGGAAGCTAACGACTGTCGACCCTTGCTCACTTACCTTGGCGTCTACTAACACCTCAACCTCATTGATGTGCATGACTGACATTTAATTACAGAGTTCAAGGAAATCCGCAAGGAATGGAAGGCCAAGAAGAAGGAAGAGGAAGCTGCGCGCAAGGCTGACGACGAACGTCATCGCGCTGAGATGCAGCAGCATGCGCAACAGCAACGCGTAGCGCATGACGGTGGCCCTCCTGAGGCGCCTGTCTACGGACAGATGCGTCAGACTGTAGGTGTACCAGGTCAACAACCCTCGCACCCTCAGCTTCCTCCCATTGGGTACCAGCCGGCTGCCTCTGGCACATCGGCTGCTCCTCAGTACGGCACACACAGTCCCGGTCTCCCTGAGGGCATGGCACAGTATGCGACCTCCAACAATGCGTACGATAGTCCCAGTAGTAACCCCAACAACAGTTATCCGCAGTCGCCATACGGCCAGAACCCTCAGATGTACCAGCAAGGTCATTAATTTTGACCAACGATACAGCAAAGACGACACGAATGCCATGCAAAGCTGAGCGACCTGTCACCAAAGCGGGAGCGACGATCCGAATCCTTCAACGACAGTTTTAAGGCCTTCGTCGCAGGCGCTCGCTACCTACTCGACAGATCGATCACAATACGGGATGGGCATGGGCTGGTTCAGCATTTTATACAACGGTTGGGACATGCATTTACATCCGGCGGCGGCTGTATCCTTTTATTTTCACGGTGTTCACGGCAGGAATAAGATGATTTCCCTTCTATATCCCGGGTCGAGGGTCAAGGGCTGCAGTGTCAGAGTGGGCAGAGCGACGGTTCAAAATATTCGGCGGTAATCTCTTCGACTGCGAGTCTGTCAACCTAACTGTTTTTCTACTTTTGGGCGTCGTCATCTCAAAATGCTGGTTTCATTCTCTTCCACTGAACCTAGATTTCATGCATCCATTTGGCGCTCAGACAGAAACAATTAGTCGTTCATGCTTCACGAATCATCCTCTGCCTGTGTCTATCGCCTGTGTTTCAAAATTACGTACACTGATCTGCTCGTGTACGTGGGACGCCGCAAGTGTCGAGTAGCTACGAGTATCGTCGCAATGAGACTCGAAAGCCTGAGATGCGCCCTTGCACATCGTTCGTGTACTGAAACCCGTCACCCATGTGCACACGCATGTCACCGTCTATATTTGAACGTCCTTTGCCGCGACGCAAAACAACGCGTTTGCAATTTAGTGCCGGGTGCCAGTAAGCTTGTCTCAGACCATGAGCATGACATGGACACATGCAGAGACCTGAGTCGCATCGTATGGGAGGAAGCATTCAATCTGACACTTCACAATCTCCTCACTTCACATGCGTACATGCGTACACGTATCAGCAGCCACGTACTGGACCACCACTCACCACACACTGCTGGCTGGTGGCACTTCTGCAGTCGCAGGGCGCACGACAGAACGCAATGCATACACGGGGGACTTCGACGGCTTATTGGGTAGCGCATGCAGCTGCCATCCTTGACAGCGATCGCAGCAGCCAGTCGAACACGCAGTACATTATGCAGAATGTGAGGGGAGTTGCAATCGTACCAAACGAGCATTTGACATTGCACAGGGGGATGACGTGCAGTGGTGAAGTCAAGTCTAGAGGTGAGGTTACCTTGAGATTGTATGATACTACAAGTTTGGGAGACATCTGATTTCTCGGTCCCCCAAATTCACGTTTGGTTGTAAGGGACCATGACGAAACTGGTGATAATAGTGGTGTCCCAATACCAAACAAGAATACATCCCTACTTTTCGCATCTTTTCCGCTACCAAATACTCTCGAAGACTAGCCCAGACTTCAGACCCTTGTGTTCTCGAAGAGCCGTTATTCAGGCCGTGCGGTTCCGCATGCAACAATTCCCCATGTGTGTGACCGAAAACATGGAGTAACCATCGTGATAGGCCATCTTCTGTCGTCAACATATGGGCTAGATTCAAGACCCGCAATTGGCCAGAGCCGTTACGCAGCGATGAAGTGCGAGAGCAGACCTTGCTTGGTCATGCGTGCGGCAGGACTCGGGAGGATGGGAACGGCAGGATGTGAGCGATGGGTGAGTTGTCCGATGATTGCGGCGTGCAGTGGTGACGAAGGCAGTGGCAAGCTGGCTGTCTTTCAGTGTCAACGGGGACCCCCATAACTTCTCCAATCTCAGACATGCAAACTACCCCAGATTTAAACATTTTCACCACCAAACGCTAAGATCTTCAGTAAGCCCTGCAGGCTCGCTTTTGATGCAAGATATCCGTTAGCAAGGCTAGCGCCAACGGCTTCTTAGATCCTTCAATAAGCACAGCTAAACTGGCGTTGGGCTGCGCACTTGCTTTTTCTCCGTGCCTCGCACCGCTTCGTAGGCGCAAGCTAACACCTGCCAGGACAGCACCATGCCAGAAGGCACCCAACAGTCTCCCGCGCTGACGGCGGAGACTAGCACGACGGTGCATGCGCGCTGCGTGTGAGATGAACCTGCCCGAAAGCGTGTGGTGCATTGCACAGCAGCAGTTGGTGAGGCCACACAAGAATGTGGAGGGCTTGCTTGCTCACGGGTGCTTGCTCGCTTCTCTCTGCCTGTCTGGGGAAGTTCTAAATGGGTCATTTTACTGGATGAAGAGCAGAGGAAGCGTAGCCCAGGGAGATGCGCATTGTGCAGAGCTGATGGACTCAGTCAATGGCACAGTAGCATACTTGTAGCAACATCACCATTGTTGTCCGACATGCGACACAAGCACAGCGCGCACAGCAAGGCCTCGCACTCATTGCGCACTCCTTGCGTACGCCGCCCACGATACACGTGTGCGACGGAATCGCTGATGCTCGCACCAAGCTAGCCATCACGAGTCTTCCTGTACGAAGGCATTTCGTGCATACACAGTGCCGTGCGAGTGGGAAAGCCGTGTGCGATGGTAGAAAGTAGTCTGTTCCGCCACGTTGGCCGGAGAATTCAAGCTTGGAGGGAAGGGCTGGCTTGCTGGTCACCGATCAGACTGTGTTGCTAGACTTAACGCAGGTTAAGGACATGTGTCTTGCCTTGGCTCTTATGCGCCGGCTCCTGCGAGGCTCCTTGATAAGAACTAATCTCCTGGCTTCCTGCTTGCTTGCTCGGCTCCAAGGGCATGGAAAGGTTGGTTCAGGGACCGTCAGCCTTGCAATGGAATGTTTTGAGCGGTGGTTAGCTTGGTGATGTCGGAATAAGGTACATTGTACTTCTGGTACTTCTGCAAGCCCCTTGTTTAGAGCTGTGGTACGGTACGGGGTAGGTACTTGCTTGATAGAACCACCTCCCTAAGTTGCACGAACATAGGGGATTAGATAGTTTCAGTTTTTGTGGTTACTAGACATCGGCAAGTATCTATAAGAGGTTTGGCGGCTTGCTTGCCCATAACTAGCGTTAGATAGATTTGTTGAAGTTGCACTTTAAGCAAAGCTTGTAAGCACGGTTTGATTGGTTCTTAGGGATGAGTAAGGTATCAGAAGATTGGGGTGGGGTAGTTGCCTAGTGAAACACCGTGACAGCTGGGTAGCAGTGAGTAGTACAGAATAGACTCTCGGTTCAAAAGCTAGGTTGGGATTTCAATAACAAAGTTGGTTGACAAGGTTGAACACTATGCCATAAGGGCAGTGTTCCTACTTTCCATGTTGCGTATTATTGGTGCTTATATTTTCAACAGGTGCTAGACATATTGTCTTCAATTATCTTAATATTCTAATCCTTTAATCTATAGTCTATAAACTTTGTTAAAGCGTCTACTAAGACCTTGTAGTATATCTTAATAAACCTTTACCTTATAAACGTGTAGAAAACTCTCTTCTTTTGAGGATGTAAATAGCGTTCCTAGGAGTGCGTTTGTAAAGTGTTAAGCCGGATAGGGGTGGCACGGGCAGATAGACAGCATAGTAGCAAGAAGTGTATATTGAGGGTAAGGATAGACTGATCACTGCCGATTGGCAGTAGGAAAGAACTTCTATTTATTCCCCGCTTCTTACCAAGCGGAGGCTATTAGCCTCCGGTGGGTCACCAACCTGACATAAAGCCTGTAAGTTCTCTATTTTTAACGCTAGTAGCTAAATACTTAGCAGCAGATTTCTATTAGTTTACTCTAACTTTAAGACAAGTTTGTTATATACTTGCATTCGTGCACCAAGAGAAACTTCTAGTTTTTGTCTAAACTGACTGTGAATAGGTTGTCTAGCAGCCCCTCCTAGCTAGTACTATGCCCTCTAACGCCTTTGGTTACAGAAAAGTACATTTGTTGCGGAAAATGTAACCATCTATACTCCTCTGATGTCGATGTTCGCTTTACCGGCCCGGGATCCTTCTCACGACTCGGCTAGTCACGTGAGCTCATTCGACCCACTAGTGTGCTCGAGTCGTGCAACTGAATGTTTTCACCAACACTATCACTTATGCACATTGACCTGACATAAGTCGAGACTACGTCCTTCTAATGCTCAACTGTCACGCCTGCCTCTGGCGATGCGTTCAGCCCTTCGATCGCCCAGCTAACCTCCAACGTCTTCACCGCAATGTAATTCCACTTCTTCGCCATAGCCAGCAACGGCTCGAGAGCACCAACGTTCGCAAAACCGACACACGCCCTCACTACCTCGCCAGGGTCGAGAAGCTATCGAAAAGCAGGGACGAGCCATGGAAGAACTCGGCAGTTGCAGAAAATCAGAGGAACCGTGAACGAGCGGCGTTACGGCAATCATCCTCGAGAGATGCTGAGAGGCAAGAGACTCCAAACTTGATGACGTTGGGCAAAAGAGACACGAGCATGTCAGAAACCGACTGGAATAGGAGGAAACGAGAACTGCGGTATCTGCAAGACCCACTAGACCTCGCCCAGTTTGTACAGGCGGAATTGAAGAAGGACAAAGTGGTTGAGATGAAGCAGCTAGTGCAGATGGCGAGCCACTCCATGGCATGTGTGGTCAGTTGGAATCACATCATCGACTACTACCTGGCCAAGTCGCAGGTTGGCTCTGCGCTGAAGGTTTACAACGACGTACGTACGGTTAGATCTGAGATGCGACAGGGTGCTAACTCGATGTAGATGAAGAAGCGCGCACAGTTTCCCGACTCCTATACGTACACGATCCTTCTACGAGGGCTTTCGATAAATGCGCATACCTCAGGTGTCCTCGAGAAGGCCCTCTCGGTATACCACTCCCTCTACGCACCGAACTCTCGAGTCGAACCGTCGATTATACACACGAACGCCACACTGCGAGTATGCGCAAGAGCGCTGGACATGGATGCGCTATGGGGCATAGCTGCGAAGATCCCAGAAACGGGCCCTGCAGCAGCGAATGCCACCACCTACAACACCATAATCAACGCGATTCGACAGAGCATGCTCCTCGGTGCGCCGAGGGACGAGTCTGAAGAGGAGGCAGCGGCCAGGAAAGAGCGCAGTGTCATGGAAGCCAGACGGCTATGGGAAGACATTATAGGCAAATGGAGGAACGCTGATCTTGTCATTGACGAGGAATTGGTGTGCTCAATGGGGAGACTTCTTCTGCTAGGAGCGCGACCACGGGACTGGGACGATGTGCTTTCTCTGGTTGAGCAGACCATGGACATACCGCGACTTGTGCCTCGACTGGGTACGGCAGCACGAAAGGAAGCTGGCTTCCACCAACTGCGCGCACCAAATGTGCCGGAGGACTACAAATTCGACGATGATCACCTGGCACCTGGAGAGTCTGCGACGCGCGGAGAGGAGTTCCTGCCTTTTACAGGCAGCCTAGCGAAGCATCTTGCTTTTGTCAAACCTGGCAACAACACACTTTCTATGGTGCAAGAAGCGTGTCTGAAGATCGCCGCACCCAAAGCTGCGCAAAAGTACTGGGATATGCTGGGCGATCCCGCGACATACGATGTCAGACCAGATCTCAACAACTTGAATCAACAACTACGCAATCTGCGTCAGAACCGATCGTCAGCTGCCGTCGTTGAGCTTCTACAAAAAGACATGCTCGACAAGGGTGTTCAGCCACAACTGGGAACATTCAGGATCGCCATGAGCACTTGCGTACGAGACAAGAACAACCACAACTCGCTCAGACACGCCAGCCAGATCCTCCACTTCATGAACAAAACTTTCGAGGACGCTGATGCTAAGACTGTGGGCATGTACGCTGATCTTGCGAACACTTTCCCGTTGGCGAAGGGCCAGAACCTCATCGATGCACTCACCTCTCTTCATCCTATTGTGAAGAATCTGCGTCTTCAGCTTGGTATCGGCGGAGCAGGTAAGAATAAGCAAGGTTCCACCTACCTGACGGGCTCAGCGCGACAGGATGCCCTCGCTGCGATCAGGAAAGTGTACAGTGTCTACGATCGACTGCTGCTCTCGAATTTGATCGCAGAAGAGCAGAAGCAGGACTTCAAGAAAGAAAGGGCCAGGCTGTCGGCGTTCATTCAAATGCAAGTCGAGAGGATCAATGAGCAAAAGGTTCGTGAACCGGATCGGAAGGACCAGCCATCGAAAGAAGAGTTCGAGGAACATAGCTTCTTGAACGAAGATGAAGAAGGTGAAGGAGCCGAGTCTACACAGGAAAGGACTCATGAGCGACGCACATGGCGCTCTCATGGCTCAAAGGACGAGAGAGGCAACTGGAGAACGAGGCAAGCGAAGCCTGAAGACCAGAGAAACCCGTGGGGCAACCGTCGTTCGTCCTCTCGGTATTATTGAAGCGGACAGCATAAGAGACGGGTCGTGGATGAAAAGCAACGGCCATGAACTGTTGTAACATAAGCATGTACCATACCCTGCGTCTGCAGACGAATGATCAATAGACACTATAATTACTTCTCACTACGTAAGTACTGTATCACATGGTAACCCTAAATGCATCCCTCCTGAAGGTGAGGAAGGTCGTGCCAAGACTCTGCTTCCATTTTCGTCCACCTCCGGCGCCTCCACTCCGCAACTCGCCAGTCCTCACCACCCACCCACCGCCTTTGCGCCTCCGAAGCCTCAATCTCACCCGCACCCTCATACCATTCAAACACGCATTCGCCATGGGTAATGACGGCGGCTCTATCCCCAAGCGCCGCGAACTCGTCAAAGAAGCCGCCAAAGCCCTCACCACAACCCAAGCCAAAGAGCAACTCACCGAACAACAAGAATACCACTGGTCGACCTGCCCTCTCTCTCGAAAGCCGCTCGCTGCACCTGTAGTCAGCGACGCCGCCGGTACCCTGTACAACAAAGACTCTGTTATCGAGTTCCTGCTCAAGGAGGATGGGCGCGAGAAGGAAGAAGCTGGGAAAGTCGCGGATGTGAGGAGTGAGGGGCATTTTGTCGAGTTGGGGTGTGCGGGGGATAGATTGAAGGGGCTTAAGGATGTTGTGGAGGTTAGGTTTGAGGTTGGTAAAGAGGAGACGAAGGAGGGATCTGGGAGTAGTGAGAACTGGGTATGTTCTATTACAGGGCGCGAGTTAGGGCCAGGTGCGAAGGCGGTGTATATTGTGCCATGCGGGCATGCGTTTGCAGGGAGTGTGGTTAAGGAGGTTGCGGGGAGTGTGTGTCTGCAGGTACGCTTTTGAGCTGGGTCTAGGAGCAGAGTGCATGAGAACGTGGGCTAACGAGGAGCAGTGCAATGAGCCGTATGCCGAGAATGACGTTATACCCATCCTACCAATTCTACCGACCGATCTCGCACGGCTAAACTTGCGGATAAAGACCCTACGAGAGAAGGGCCTTACACACGCGCTCAAAAAAGCCCCCGGGAGCAAAAAGCGCAAGAAGAACGCTGAAAAAGATTCAAACGGCGGCGAAGCGAACGGCACAACCACAAAATCTAAATCCTCGTCCGACGAAGACAGGAAGGCGAAGCCCAAGGCGAACGGCGAGAACGAGACGACAGTCAACAGCATCAAGAACTCAGCTACTGCGTCGCTGACGCGGAAGGTCATGGAGGAGCAGGAGGAACGGAATAAGAGGAGGAAGTTGGGGCAGAATGAGAATGTTAAAAGTTTGTTTAATACGACGAGTAGTAAGCCGAGTACGGGGAATAGTGCGGATTATATGACAAGGGGGTTTAGTATTGGGAAGAAGTGAACGAAGTCTGGGGAGCCTGGTGTCGAGAAATTGGGAGGTTAGGGTTAAAGACGGGCATATGCATACAGGGCGTTTTGGGCATGGAGCAGACTGGAGCATGAGGCTTACAAGCTTGTAAATTGAGGAGATGTGAATAAGTGACCTCTGTCCTTGACAATAATGTTTAAGTCAGTATTTGAAATCGGGCACACCCTAGTAATATGTCTCTCGCTGTAGATTTAGATGCTACATAAGTATGTTGCCTGGCTTCCCTTCCTTCCTTCCTTCCAGGCGCTCCAGAAAAGCAGATGTCTCGCTACAACTTCTTCAAAACGAAACTGTTCGTGCAGTGTCTTTGGTGTGGAGTGAGTGTATCAAGCTCACATCGGCATTTTAGTGTTTCCGGTGCACACAGACAGGCGTGCGTATGACCGATGATGAACCCGCCGATACTTCGAGCACCGCCCGCGGACCATTGCTCTGGAATGTGGGGATCCCCAACCTTGTTCACATCGGTAGAAATTAGTGTCTATCCTAATCACATCGTGTTGAACAGTGATGTGAATGATGTATAGATGATGGCGAAGATAGCACGGTATGTATAATCTGCTAGCAACGATTCATGTTTGACGATCCCTCGCTATTCCATGCTTGAAAGAGGACCCTCGGATGAGGCATGTATCTGTCGCCAGCCAGAGGCAGAGTTGGCCCGGACGTGCTCTTGACGAAGTCATAGGCAAAGGGTCTGGAGCCCGGACCCACGATCAAAGTATGTCAGTAGAATCTCAGCCATGGCATAGCCTGAGGACACTGTAGATAGAGTCCTCACAGAGCCATTCTGCACGAAGTGCGACTCGGTCGCATTATCCATCATATATGCCTTGACAAGCGATGTTGCGTAACATATCTAGAGACAAACTCGCGACATAGCTGTCTCTGTCGCTCGCAAGCTCAATGTGGCAGTCGCTTCCTTCGTAGTATGTTGCAATGTCCTCTTCGGATTTCGTCAATAAGCAAACGGAATAGCCGGCAGCAACAGAGAAAAGCTCAAGCCGAGGTTCTTCAGGATCGAGGCCATAGAATCCACAGATCTTTTGAAGTGGTATGCTCCCTACTGGACCATTAAAGGACGGGCCAATCAATACTGGAATGTAGACCTGAGTGAAGAATCTCTGAGTCGGGACATTACTGGCAATGCCATACTGTGGGTAAGCAAGCCTCAGAAGCGGCAGCGCCGAGGTAGTTACACAGACTGCCGGATTCTCCACTTGGTGTTCGTAGGTAAGGCATGTGCGACTATGCGGATGACACAGAGACAGAACGATTTCGGGCACTCCTTTAAAATTCGACTGGCCAGCTCCTGACAGGACAGCTTAAAATTGACTTCCAGATTACTGCCCTCTCCGCACAGAGACAATAGAGAGAAGAAGCGGTCATGAATGTCGTGGCATTCCTTAAGCTTATAGTGGTGTAAATGGTGGATGCGACTTCTGCCACGCAGCCTCTGAATGGTGGCAGGATGAAACGTTGAATTCTTTGCGTGTTCAGGCAAGCTACGACCTTTTCGATTCGGTTTCGGCAGAGCCAGTGAGTTCAAGGGCAGTTCTTGCGCGCCCGCTGCAAGTACCACTTGCTGGGCAAGAGCAATTTCTTGCGTTATCTACGCCCGACTCCAGTACAAGGCTCCGTAGAATGCGAAGTATCCAGCGTCCAGTCCTCGAGTATGGCCGAATTTGGCAAGGAACCCGGCAATATTCTGGTTGTTCCCAAGCCACGCGAAGACTTGTTGAGCACAAGAGAAGATCTCACCCATCTGTTGCACCTGATGGTTGCGCTCGTCCACATTATCTTGGTCAATGCACAGCGCATCAATCCAGAACCATGTCGAGCAATAACATTCCCTGGCTGAGACTAGAAATCCCACAAGTTTTGGCGAGTCCATAACGGTTTGCCATTAATCCATATCCGTCGCGTTGGTTTGTCGAGCCCCCAAACGTAAGACAAGCAGGAGTATTCAATAGACCTCATATCTGAACGGAGCTCGCAGTGACGAATCTCGCAATGTATGTCGCTTTGAGGTGATTGGATGGCGTGGACAGCCCCGTAGGCATTGTACGCTCTGGTGTTCTTAGCCGGTGTCGGACATGTGTGTACCAGTCGTATCGACTTCTTCTTGTGGGCCAGAGAAGCGTGCCTGAAGGGCACCTCGTGCCATTCTGGATCCTCCTTTTCTCCTTTCAGATAACCGCCCCTCATGCTCCGCATGCCCTGCGCCCTGTCTTTGTCATCGGTAGGAAATAACGAACTCTCAAGCGTATCTGGGGAGACTATCCGAAATATTCTTCATTATCATCGTAAGTCAACCTATGCACTGAGGAAGTATTCAGATATGAAGTCGAGATTGTACGAAGGAGAGCAGATCGGAGGGGCAGTGCAAGGCTGCCCCGTGCAGATGCACATTGAGTAAGCTTGTGGTGATTCACACCACACAAAGTGGGTCGTAGGATCCGCATTCTTCTCCTATTGGATAATGACTGCATGCTCTTAGGAAGCGCCGGAGATGCAAGCACTAAAGATGGATGAGAAGTTGGACTGGTGTGGGAAGTCAGAATGTTGAACATGAGTTGTGAAGAGGACCATTTCTCGAGCCTCGGCTATACTTGCCTCAGGTGCAGATACCCGTGCACACCAGCATGGTCTTTCGCATCATAGATCTCCTGCCCTTCCACGCGCATCGTATGTTCGAAACAAAGGTTTGATGGCCGCGGACGGTGCTATGACTACAGTAAGCATTCCAATTTCTCCTTTCAGGTCGCAGACAACGCTGCCACTCCTATGTCACGAAGTTGTTGCATGTTCTTTGGTTTGTTTTCATTACTTATATTATTTATGTATACATCCCCTTACAGCTTTCATACAGCATGGGTCGTTACGTTCCATTCTGTCGTAACTATCACATTATCTTTCGCATCTTCCGGTCTGGTCGAACTTGTTGCTCGAGATGGGTTCCGAGATCCCTGAAAGACAAGCTCCAATTCGTCATCGCTGATTCTGACACCTTGAACATGCGATATGGATACTCCGTGGTTGCTGAAAGGCTTAGAGCCGGCGTGTTGCATGTAACCATTGGTGCTGCGGGGGTATGTGGTGTTATTTGATGAGGAGCGAACGATGAGGGCTTTGAGGGAGGGCAAGGAGACGACGATGGTTGCTGTGCACATTTCGGCTGTACACCAAAGGTCTGTTGAATGTCAGTGAAAGATTCGCAGATTTGCTAGAGATTGAGGCCTACTGACTGCCAGATGCGTCGTCGACATTATAATCCGTCACCGTATACACGATGAAACGTGCCAGACTGATCGCAATGGTGATTAGACCGATCGAGAACACTCCGCAGAGGGCAATCTTCTGGCGCTTGCGCAGCTTGAGGCAGTTGACTATGAAGAAGGGAAGAATGAACACTGCGACCTAGTGAGTGACGGGCTTGACCATAGATGCGGTCCGAACGTACAAAGGAGGTCAGTGGACCAGTTCATGGACCAATTGATAGCAAAGGTGATGTACGAGTTCCAGGTGGAATTCAGCTGATTTTCTATCGACCTGGACGACAATCGTTAGTTTTGCAATCTCAGTCGCACTGTAGTCAACTTACCAGTTGTCTGAAATCCGCGGAGCATGTAACGTGTCTGACAACAAAGTCGCGATAAAGCAGCATCCTACATACGCTGCGCCTACGTAGACAGCAATTCGAAGACGTCGGAAACCAAGCGGGATCAACCACCAGTAGAACGCGACTAAGGACACCTTCGGGAAGTACAGTCCGAAGTTGAAGAAATAGCACATTATGAACACCGTCTAGACGCGAGGACCGTTAGTGGTATCCTCAGCAGTCTGGCACTACTGTACGCACCTTCAGATAAGCGACCGAATCTGTCAAGAGGTCAGGTTCGACCAGTGGATGCTTTATCTGTATGTTGAGAGCTATGATCGACCCTATGCAGAAACCGAGGGTGCTGAACCATCCTCCCCAGACAAAATAGTCCGGGAGGGTCAGCGTGCGGCGTTCGAGGAATATGCGGATGTAGCATCGTAAGACAGTGATCGCTAGTGCGAGTACGACCAGCACAAATTGTATAACCTGACTTCACGTCAGTATGCCGAGAATCGTTCGTAAGGTCGTGTATACTTGCGATTGACGCTACGATCTGCATCTTGCCAGCAGTTGCGTAATTATGCGCTTGTGCACATAAGAGGTGACTATTCTACACGAACACTTGGTGGATCTGATGGTAAGCCCACACGCAGGCGCAACGTGTGAATGCTATGGTGCGGGAGTCGAACTGGAAGAAGAGTTCCTTCTAGGAATGAGAGTGCTTCGGTTTTAGGCGTGCCCCTTCTTTGTTACCACCGAAGGTATGCGACATTGCGCTACGTGCCGCCTTACGACCATGACTTGCGTAGCTTCATGTAGGTCCGGGGGTAGGCGTTCAACCATAATACCAGCAGCAGATGTGCTCCGTTATCTTTGGTGTTGTCCTGTTACTGCATTCGTCGCTCTCGAAACACCTGCAAATTTCGACTTTGTCCGTGATGTATAAGAGCATCGAGCTTTTCAAATCTGAGTTTCATATCCGTATCATGAAGTAACGCGACCAACAGTAACGGTCTGCGGGTTCTGCAAGCTTGCGCATTACAAGCACTCCATCTCGTCATGTCGTTTTTGTCGTACAATTGTCGTTGGGATCCATCTGAGTCGCTTCTTGCAACAACTCGAGTCGTGAACGTGAGGTCAGAGCATCCACAGAGCAATCACATCGAAACGCAGGGACAATGCGCATGGCATTATTATGGTACATCCTTGGTGTGGCAGTCGCTTCACTTCTTCCAATTGGACCTTTGCTCTGCCGCGCCGGAGCCTTGTCGCTGGACGACCAGAATATCTGCAGCCGGCTAGTCAATAAGGAGGCAATTGAAGCGTATTGGAGCTTCTAGTGCATAGGTTTTCGGTTGTTGTTCTCGCTGTGGCGTGTTTTCGAGGTCCGTGATGCGTGGTTGAGGATCCAGATCCCCCAGAATCATACGAAGATTTGGGCCCGTCCGGTGGCGCCTCGGCGCGGCAGATCCTCCGCGGCATGACGCGTGGTTCCTTTCACGGTCCAGTCTTGTTGGCAGATTGAAGACTTGAACAATGCTATTGCAGAACTGTTTAGGAAACGCTCTGTTCGAAGCGCTGACCTCTTCTCTTCGCTTCGACCTAACAAAGAGCAAAGCTGGCATCCTTGCAAATGGCGATCATTCTTTCTTCGTTGTAAGCTATGCAATGCTCCGCTACGTAGTAACAGCCAATGTGTCTTGTTACTCAACTTGCCTCAGGCAAGTAGCACTTATATGCTTCCGTATACGTGATCTCGACGAACATTGCACCCAAAATCCCTTCGCGACCGTTGTCTGTTTGATCTATCGGAGAAGTCCGCACAGCTCAACTCTCAGTTCTCAGAAAGCTATTATCAAGCCTCCCCAAAGTTGTCTGCCTAGACTTTGAACGATTCTCTTCGATGCGTATTCGCCACGATCTTCCGCAAACTGTACGGTGCGTTCGTATTGAGTGCGAGTAGCACACACGGTCCGCCATCGAGATGTAATACCTAGGTCCGCATCATTTGGATTATTGGTCTCGTACAGTTCTTCAACTTCTTGCACCACGCCCAGATCAAGTTGAGCGCCGTATTGAATCGGAAGATGCGTCATGTCTGGACGACACCGTTCTGCTGCTGCTTTAAATGCTGTTCTTCCGGGTCCCCTTGCTGGAGGATACTTTACATCAGCGCCATGCTCAATTAAGAGCGTCGCAATGCCAACACGGCCGCTCATAGCAGCCAACTGCAGTGCTGTATCGGCCCCATACATTGAAGCAGTGTCGACAATGGCTCCATTTGCGATGAGACATTGTACCATATTAAAGTCAACCATTTCGGCTGCCCTTTGCAAGGGCGTCCTCAGTAGTCCCATGCTCGTTTTGATTGATACTCGCTCCCTTCTCCACAAGGAGTTGTACCATGGAAAGATTTCCGATATCGACAGCGAACAAAAGAGCGGTCATTCATGACAGGTAGCTATAGTTGACCAACCGGGGTGTGTGTTGTTCTAGCCCTTCGAAAGCAACTATTGCATTAGGATTGCCTCCATTGCCCAACAAGGTCCTGACTGCAGCGCAGTCATCTCGAAAGATAGCTTCGCCAAAAGGATCTACGCAGTTCAAGTCGCGCTCATTCTGGCCAACCTTTTCTACACCGTGTATATCTGTAAATTTGGCTAGGATCTTGATGAGCGTATAGTCGCGACTATGAATGGCGATTCTTAACACCACAGAACTTGTCGACGGATCGAGGTCTTGTGCGTCGACATGGACACGAGCTGGAGGCGTACCCAACACCCCTGTCGGTTGTTCTACCCTGTTTGCAGCATACACGGTATCACATGGCTGGTATTCGAAAGGTTCACGTAGTGAGCTCAATCCTAACACAATCAGTCATGAGCTTCGACGTCGTAATAATCACTCACCTCTAGGCCGGCTTTCTGAGGCAAAGCCGTAACGTTCCCATTCTCTAATTTTCGTCTCATTGGAGATCAGTCGGCCATTGAACTTGTGGAAGGTTTGAGATAATTGAGTTGGTTGATCTGTTGAGCTATTTGCAGGAATCGATCGAGACTGTATTGTAGAGGGATAGCAGTGAAGTGAAGGGGTGGGGAAGCAAACCGAACTAACCGAATGAGCTAGACAATCAGTGCAGCGGGCTGCTGGCAAACACTGCAATGGACCGCTGGCGAACAGGAATTTAGTCCCTTCTGGTACTTTCTTACGGTCCAGCTTGTCCCAGTAAAGTTTGCGCCACTCGTTTTTGGTGACATTATTTCAGATTGACCACTTCTTGACTAGTTGATGGTGAAACTGTAAAGCTCTAGATATACATTAGTGGTCACTCATCCGTTGTCAAGCAAGTACTGACGTGCCTATGAAGTTGTGTTCCCTTCTCATGATCTCGATTATGTCATCCATTGTTTTGCTCTCATTACCATCTTCTAGCCAGAGACGAAGGATGTCTTAACGGTAGCTGTCCCATTTTCCGTCTGGGATCTTATGTCCTCGCGGCTTGACTGAAGGCTCGGTGGCCATGTTCGATATTTCGGTTTTCGTGATGAACAATGAAGATCAGGCGGGGGCAGCGTTTATTTATCCTCCCGCTGAGCACACGCAAGGCTGAAAGCTGCTTTACCGGTGCAGCACAGCGCACATATCGGAACGCCGGGACCGAGATGACTCGTCATAAATCTGTTGAAAGAAGATGCCAATTGGGATGCTGTGGGTGCAAGGTTGATCGTGAGCTGCAGTAGCGAATGACCCCAGAATCGTAAACTTTGTTTCCCAGCGGCCGACCTCAGCCTCATTCGTACACAGTCGCAAATGCAAAAGGCATACCGGCATGCTGCTAAGCGACCCATGCAGGCTCCAGGAGATAGCCAATGATACAAAATCCATATTTCGGTCCTGCGCCCAAGAGATCCGCGTCGTCCCTTCACAGAATCGTAAGAATTACACAACCAATCAGAAGCCGAGACCAAGGCCACCATCAGCATCCAGAATTGTAATTCAAAACTATAAACAAATCGTAAAATGCTCCTGCGCCTCCTCGACTCGCACCGTGCTCTTCCCAAAATCGTAACCTGACATACATATTCCGACCAAGATGTCACGCCCTCTTTCTTTGGTTCACGAACAAACCTCCAACCTCCCAGATTACCGTGGCTTGGCCCATCGAAGCCATCATTGCCTTCGTCACGCTGTTAGCCACACATGTTCCACTCGGTATCTTACTATGGCGTCTTCATAAACGCAGGACTTGTCGACTCAAGAACCATGGTACGCACCATGCCCCTTTCCTTCAACACCATCGCTCTTTCAACATCATCGCTCCTTCTACACCATGGCTTCCGATCTTACAAAACAACTAGACATCGAGGACGGCATCGAACTTCCTAAGCACCAATACAATCTGCCTCGATCCGACTCTTTCATCATCGTGCAAGCTATGGTTCGCAGTACGTATTCGACACCAACTTGAAGAACCAAGCCAATCAGCTGCCAGTCCGATGATGATTACAAACCGGTTCCTAAATCCCCTCAATATCCACTGCAGTATACCCTTATTATACAGCTCTCCAGTGTTCATCGCTCTCGGCTCTACAACAATACACCTTTTACCAATGATCTGCCTTCAAGCTATCCCACTCAAAACTTCCTTCTCACCAACCCCTTGAAGAAATCAAAGCTATTACTATCACTCTGCAAACTGACCACCTTCCCCGTCGGGCGATCCTGCCACCCCAACTCCTCCGCCAGTAGCAATCCCCAATCCCTTGTGATCCCCTTGATCCGCGCCTTGACCCCACCTTCACTTTCCAGCTCCACAATCTGATCTGTATGTAGCCACGCACGGTAATACTGCTCTTCCATATCGCGATTGAATCCTGTTGTGCAGAAAGTGGTGTACAAGGATTCAAAGGATGCGAGGATGGAAGCTAAGAGTTTTTCTTGCGTGAACGGTTTGAGCGGCGGGTTTTGACCGGCGGCGAGCTGATTGAGGGACGTTGTGGGGAGGGCGTTGGAGAGGTTGAGCCCAATGCCGCAGACAACATCGTAGCTGCTTCCCGAGTAACTGCTGTTTACCAATATGCCGCCAATCTTCACAACGGGGTTGTTGCTGCTTCCTGGAAGCTGCACGTAGATGTCATTTGGCCATTTTAGCTTGACGGGGATCTTCTCGTAACCGGGCGCATAGCTTTGGATGCCGTTCACAATGGCGAGGGCGGCGAGATATTGAGTGAAGACTACTGGGGCGGATTGCGAGAGTGCGAAGCTGTGGTGTAGGACCGTGCTGAACATCATTGCGCCTGGTGGTGCTACCCAGACGTTTGAGCCGCGACCGCGGCCGGCGATTTGGGTCGTTGCTGTTACGGTAAAACCGGTCGCTAGATTGCGAAGGAGGGAGGGGTTCTTTTCGAGGAGTGTGTTCGTGCTAGTTACAACCTCGCCGTAGAGGAGAGTTGCGCCGAAGGAAGCGGAGGGGTTGCGGAGCTTGGTGTGGTAGTGGTGTAGGTTGGCGTAGAAGGCCTCGTGGTGGAATGGCGTTTCGCGACTTGTTGGAACACCGTTTCTGTGTGGAACGATAGTCTTGATGACTTTGTCGTATGTGAGGAGCTGGTCGAAAGCCGAATTGGCGGTGTATTCGATACACTCTTGGATCTCTTCTTCTTTTGTCTTTGGCTTGTTTTCGTCGTCATTCGCCCTTTCTGTAGCTTCTCCATCTTGCTCGTGCACCTTATCCTGTGTCGATGCAAGCGTTGGCAGCTTCTCCGAGACCGCACTCACAGCCCGCTTTAGTTCCTTAACGGCCCAGACACTACCCTCTTTCTCAATATGAAACACATCGTTGCCCCCTTGAATATACTCTTCGCCGTCGACTACAGTGATGATTTCGGCCCAAGACGCGACGAGATCCGCAACGGCTGTCGAGTTGTGAGATGTGAGATGCAGGCGGGACAGGGATGGTACCGCTTGTTCCTGTTCATTGACATTCAAGCCTAGCTTCTGCAGCATCAGACCTAAGAAGGCAATTCTGTCTGCGTCTGTAGTAGTGATGGCATCGATCAACGATGCGTACGATGGGAGACTGGGGATCTTGCTCAAGTTCTGCGGTGCAAATCTATGAGATGCTGTCAGTACAGGTCTTCAAAGATGATTTGAATGCTTACTCTGGGTGCGGTCCCGTGAGTATGGCATGGCCTTCACCAACTTTGCGATATAAAACCGCAGCTTGGCCCTCACCAGAGTCGACATGTAGATCTTCAGTGTAACTAGCCAGGATTTGTACACCTCTCGACTCAAGCTTCTTCGCGTCAACGAACACGCCACCTCCATTGTAATAACACTTGAAGGACTCAGCAATCCACTCTTTCACATCCCTGAAAGCTCCCTTCTCGATCTTGATGTCTGCCGCTCTGGCACCAACCTCACTGGCATACCTGAACCCCTCGAATGCCAGACCCCTGCAGATCCCTGGAAAGAAGGCCAGCTCTCGATCTCCAACGACCGCCATTTTCGGGTCATTGACTTCGAACTCACATCTTGCGCTACCGTAGTAGCCGCCGGCGCAGAATCCCAAATACGAGCCACCAGCATTGACGTAGCGGCTGATGCGGCGGTTACCCTCGCCGTTCAGCGTGCGGCAGTATCCTAGGTCGGCGCCACCAGGGAAGACGAGAAGTGCGCAAGTGCTAAACCAAGGCTCTTTGACGAGAACATCGCCTGTGACAGGGATCACAGCGTAAGCTGGGGAAAGCAAGCGGCGGAGGGTGTACAGGCAGTGGCGGACAGATTCGGTGGTGCTACCATTCCCTATAGGTCGTGAGCGGAACGCTCAAATGTACAAACGATTGTGAGCATACCAGAATATACCAAAACATTCAGTTTCCTGGTCGCCATGGTGGTGACGTTGTGGCTCGGGGCCGAGATAATCCGACTCTACGTCGTGAAGGTCTGCGCGTAACTTGCTCAAGCTGTAAGAACTACAACACCTGTTCGCGTCTAAGCTCTTTCAAAATGTCGAAGGACACCAAGGCACAAGCCGCTGCGGCACAAATGATGGTCGATGATGAGCCAGATGAGTGGTGCGTCCAATTGATGTCTTGGGTAGCTGTACCGTGGTGGCTGATGAGTGCACAGGGATAAGAGAATCTTCAGCACAGGCTGTGCAGGTGCGTTGAGCGGTGCCAATTGCAGGACACGCTGATCTCGTCCAGACGAGAATGCGAAGTTGACAGACTGCTACTACGAGAAGAAAGACTGGCGAGCGTGTAAAGCGGAGGTGAGTTGATGTTGTTGCAGAGCTTCTCGACCGTTGAACCGCGGGCGCCGAGATGCTGCCGAGCCATCGCAGACGACAATTGTTCCGCCATTTCTAGAGCGCACAGCTAACAATCAGTCGTAGATGGAAATCTTCCGACAGTGCTGGCAAAAACATGGGAATGACAAGCGCACTGATTCGAAGGACGTCTGAACGCCATGCGAATGTTCAACAGGGAGTCTCCAATCAGAGATCAAAAGCATACAGATGTGTGTATTTGTATAATTCATGTTTCATTAGGGCTTGTATAATAGTATGTATTGCTAGGGTCTATGAATGTTCAAGAGAAACGGTGTGTTGTCTCGATAGTGCTGGATGAGGGTGACTGCGCGTTCTCGAGACGTATCGCACAGGTCGCAGGTGCGATTTCATTTGATCAAGATCTTACCGATCGTAAGGCGTTTCCTCGGATAACCCAATACCCTGATCGTCCCAATTAGTACACTCGTTCATGAAATTATTCTGTCTTGCAACACGCAAGATGATCCCTGTACTGCCTCTCTGCTTCATTTCTGCACGTAAATTGGCGGGTTGACGTCCGGGTGGAATGGCGATTTTGCAGCACTCGCCTTGTCCTGATCGAATATCCAGATGCCGTTTGTCAAAGATTCGTTGGTCTTCTCGCCAACCTTGGCAGCAAGTCGCTCGAAAACTGGTGACTTGTCTGTGCGAGTGAAGAACTTGCGCTCCCACTCGCGTCCATCTGCTTGCTCTTGCTTGCGCATCTCGCGTTGACGGTTCTCAATAATGGATTTCTCGGCGCTGGTTGTATCCATGTCACCCTTGACAATGGCATCGGCAACCTTCTTCCACGCGCGGCGGGACTCGAAGTCGTCCTGCTCTGCGACAGGCGCAACAGTGAGAGGCGTGGTCTTGGTGGTGCTGGGATCGTGTGACGCGAAGGTGGACTTGTTCTTAGCATCCTTGATAGCCCACTTGTCGATCCATTGGCCTTCGCCGGAGTAGATTACATCCTTCTCGTTTCCTGTGGGGTAAAGCGAGGCCGAAAATCGGTTCTTCTTTCCAGACACCCATCCCTTTCCACTGTAGTCGATCTTGGCGGTGTAGCCGGAAGAGGAGGTGATGTAGGAACTGCCGTTCAGCTCAACATAGGGAGAACCTGAGATGAGGCCTTCGATGTGCAGCGAGGGGAGGGTGATGAGGTAGTCCTCATCATAAGCGTCGATGTGGAGAGTGGCGTGGCCAATTTGCTATTTTGGAAGTCAGCTTCGTCTTTCTGTTCAAAACCGCGGAAACACTGACCTTGACGTTTATGGTGCTTGAAAATGAGGCCTTCTGCGCGTTGTATCCCTGCAGGCGAACACCATGTTGGCTGTTCCAGATCGAGTACGCTGTGACTGGAGGGTGATGGCTAGGCGATGCTAGTTAGTAGAGACCAAGAGATGTGTCAAAGAGCGCGTACCTGACTTGCTCGCTGACGAGCTGTGTGGTACCTGCCTGGTCCTCCCACTTGCCCAAGAACAGCTCGCCCAAGAAGGGGTTCAGCGGCTTCTTCTCGCTACCCAGCTTCTCGCTTCGGCTGGCATACTGCTGCTTCAATGTACTCAAGAACCACTTGAGCACGAGTGCGGCGCGTCTGGCAGGGTCCTTCTCGGCGGCAGGCGCGACGAATATGGACGGGTGTTCAGTCCAGTATGAGGAGAATTCGGTGAGAGATGTTGTGGAGAGAATGAACGCAGGTGCGGTCATGGACGAGAGATCGCCATTGAAGGATGCGATCGACTGCCCCAGGTCAGCATGAGCCTTCTCGGCGAATAGAATGTGCATCTCCACCGTACCTTGAGGAAGCTACCCCACGAACCCTTTGCCTGTGGGGGCACAGCAGATCCTTCTTTCTCAGCCATGTTATATGATTATGTGTACGAAAATAGAGGTCGGGGAAGGTAGAGGTGCGGTAATGTGAGCAGAAAGGTGTTCTTGCTGTGTTCCGCGCAGCAGGCGGAGTTGTTGTGACGACCAGTCCGAGCGGCGGGGAGGAATTGTGGTGGGTCGAACTTGAACTCATTTGGATGACGTCGCGCCTCAGCCACAATACGTAGATCCATGACGAACAACCTGTCATTAATTGTGCGCACATCACGAGCACATGAATAATTGGAAAGCAGGCAGCCACAAATAGGCTGCCGGAACTGAATGGTATTGTCTTTCGCTATGCTAATTTTAAGGAGTATCATGGCTCATACACGCGTAAAGCATCGTGGGCGACTGCGATCAGAGGCAATTTGCTTAGGTCTTGACATCAGGCTCAGTGCGGCCAATGTACTCCTGCAGCTTGAGAAGGTCTGTCGCCAGCTTGACGTTGTCCTTGAGAAAGTCCTGAGCATCCTGGTCGTATGTGGACTCGTCGCTGGTGTGCTTCTCAATGTAAAGACGGATGGTGGCACCGCTGCTGCCAGTACCGGACAGACGGACGACAATGCGGCTACCATCGTCGAACTTGACGAAGATACCTTGGTTCTTGCTGACGCTGCCGTCGAGATCGGTGTACGAGAAGTCATCAGCCTCGACGACCTTGCGGCCAGCAATAGAAGAGCCAACGAACTCGTCTTTTTTGGTGGTGATCAGCTCCTTCATGTGAGCAGTGACTTTGTTGGCGCCTTCGGTCTCGCAACCTTCGTAGTCGTAGCGAGTGAAGAAAGTGCGTCCGTATGTCTTCCAGAAGTCCTTCTGAATCGACGCAATGCTGGGTGTGGAGCCAGTCTGCTGTCCGACACCAGCGATGATGTTGAGCCATGCAACGACAGCCCACAAACCATCCTTCTCACGGATGTGGTTGGATCCAGTTCCGAAACTCTCCTCGCCGCAGATGTTCATCTTGTCAGAGTCGAAAAGACCGCAGAAGAACTTCCATCCTGTGGGCACCTCATAGCACTCGACACCCTTTTTCTTTGCAACAAGGTCGATAGCACCTGATGTAGGCATGCTCCGTGCCAAACCATAGATACCCTGCTTCTTGAAGTATGGGATGAGCTCAGCGTGGTGCGCAATGATGGCCAAACTGTCACCAGGCGAGACGAACGACTTCGCGCCGTAGATCATGTTGCGGTCACCATCACCGTCACTGGCAGCACCGAAGTGGATACTGTTCTTGTCGACAGCATCAACGAGAGACTTGGCGTAGACAAGGTTGGGGTCGGGGTGGTGTCCACCGAAGTCAGGCAGGGGAACGCAGTTCTGTGTGCTGTTGGGGATGCCGAGCTCCTTCTCAAAGATGTCGACACCGTATGAGCCAGTGACACCGCTTAGTCCATCAAAGAGAACCTTGAAGTCTGAGTGCTCCTTGAGGAACGACTTGATGAGGTTGAAGTCAAAGATGTCCTTGAGCATCTCAAGGTAGTCCTTGGTCGAGTGGATAATCTCGACCTCAAGGTCGCCAACCTTCTGTGTGCCAATCTTGCTGAGGTCGACGTCGGGGATGTCGGCGATCTTGTAGGAGGTGAGAGTTTTGGAGGTCTCGAAGATCTTGTTGGTGACGCTCTCGGGGGCGGGGGCACCGTTGGCCAGGTTGTACTTCATACCGAAGTCCTCATCAGGACCTGTAATAATGGTCAGTACTGCTACCATTTCTTCCTTGTCATTGCTGTGAATGCTTACCTCCGGGGTTGTGACTGGCAGTGAGCAGGATACCACCAGTAGCCTTCCTGATCCTGATGACATGGCTGGCAGCTGGAGTACTGAGAATACCGTTCTGACCGATCAACAGTTTCTTGACGCCGTATGCTGCACTGATCTTGGCAATCTTCTGTGTGACCTCAGGGTTCCAGAAACGACCATCACCACCAATGACGAGGAAAGCACCCTCGGCGCCCTCAGGGATCGACTTGAGAATGCTGGTGATGAACGACTCGGAGTAGTTCTCCTTCTGGAAAACCTTAACTTTCTTACGTAGACCAGAGCTGACGACTGTTAGTTCGATGTTTGAAGAGTAGGTGAAATGCTGCCAATTGCAATGGCAGAACTTTGGGGCCAGCTGGATCATGCCATTGGAGACAACGACAACAAGCTTGGAGCACTTACGTTCCGGGCTTCTGGTCCTGGAAGGGTTGAAGCTCGACCGTTCTCACGCTCATGATGTCTGAGTATTTTTTGTATGTTGTTTCAAGGAGAATTGGGGGAATTGAAGCGTTGGTTGAGCGACCGCAGGCGTGTTTTGAGCTCAAGAGGGGCACCAGCTCGTGCCTACCCCCACTACGGGATGACGCCGCCCAAGCGTCGATTGGCAACCACTAGAAGTTCCGCAGGAAAGGATCCGCGTCCTCACACGCCTCAACTGCCAACTTTCCTCAACGGTTTCGTCTTCGTTTGCTCAACACCCGCCCGCAAAGACAATCTCACGGCAAGGCTTGAGGCTGTCTAGCCGTTCTCCAGCATTCGGCTCGGCCTGGCCTGTCGTGCACGGACTCCCCCATCATTTGCCGCACAGTCCAGACGTCTTTTTCCATCCCAACACGAGGAAGATCAATTCGCCTAAGTTCAAGAACCATTCAACACTCGCACATGCCTACGCAAGATTAGTGCCGGTGGTTTGAGGCTGTTCCGAACACATCGAACGTTGCAGTGACTACCTTCTCACCGCCATGGGCATTCCTGGACTTGCCAGACGCTCCGAGCCGTATGCAGAATGTCGTTCTGCTCAGCAACTGGATGGATACCACGCAATTATCGATGGTCCTTCGCTTGCCTATCATGCTCACAAGTTGGCCCTCGCTGGCTCGCCGAGAGTTCCATCATATGCAGACATCAACACTGAAGCCATCCGCTGGCTAAATTCACTGGAGACTGCCAATATTAAGGTGTGAGTGACCACGACTATTTTTGACCCATGATACACTGGTATTCGAACTGGGACCAAGTGAATGGGACGTACTACACTGGTAAGGCGCATGTTCAGTCAACGTCACACCCAGCCTACTATCACATCCTGCCATCACTGCAGTTGTTCTGCAATGGTGGATATGGTTTTCACTTGACAAGCAGCGTCTTCCAATAGCACGATTGACACACAATGGTTCTTGTTAATGTATCCTGGCTGATCAGTGTATGCTAGGTCTAAGATCGTATTCGACGGAGCCTTGCCCCCTTCGAAAAGAAACGAGCGGATACATCGGTTGGAGCAGAATAACTCTAGAGTACGGAATTATCGAGTCCAGTACCCCACATCATCCTGTCCAGTACCAGCTTACCTTGGATCGATCCTGCATGCATTTCTGGCTCCGTCATTGAGGGAAGCCTTACTCGAAACTCCATTTGCGTCAAGAACCCGTATCGAACCTGGAGAAGCAGATGACTGGTGCGCCTTGCATGCTAAGGACCATGCTCGCTCGATCATCTTCACGAGCGACACAGACTTGCTTCTCTACAGTTATCCTGCTGAAACACTGATCGTCTTTTTCCAAGATGCAGACGTTACAACAGGGGTCAAGTCATATTGCCCAGAGCAGATACGCCAACGGCTGCAGTTGCAAAGTCTGGCTCAATTTGCATTTGCCATGAGTCGAGAACCATCACACACTTCGGACGACCTGACTCGCGACGCTCAGAACCTTGACTTGACGTCCGACACGTACCTTGATTTCAGTGGGCGCTACGCCGGACGAACGACTGTCCCAAGTCACTTCTCAAAAGACAGCGGCTTACCCTTGCCGCTCCAGAGCCTAGATGTCAGAACATCCGAGTTCGTCCATCAAGCCCTCGATGGTTCGCCAGCACCACTAGTCTACCTACCGTTGCTGGTAGAAGATCCTAATCAATCGTCTGCATGGAGTTCAGGTCAGGACTACCGTAAGCTAGCATATTATATTCTTGCACCAAAGACTTCTACGGTCCACGAGTATCGACGGAAAGCGCAAGGCATTTCCGTGCAAGAGCTGGCCTTGCATAACTTGGACGTCTCAACGTCAGACATGATGGCACACATCAGTGGCGTATCGAAGTGGGCAGGTGACAAGAACGTTGCATCAGGACTGATGTGGCCACTCTTTGCGCTGAGCATTGTTCTCTTGGATTCCAAGACAACACCTTCGGTACCCGTCGTTCTACACATACTTAATGGTGACTTTGATAACTCGTGGGAATTTATTCACCTTACAGCTCGATTGCAAGCGGTCCTGTACTCGCTTCGAATGCTCCAGCAAGTGATCACCGTCCACCAAGCCATACATGGAGCAAGTGGTACTGGCACTGATGACATTGCACTGCAAATGGCCAAACAGCTGTCAAATTTGTCCTCAATAGCCGATACATTCACAGTTCCAGGGCAATCAAGAAAGCTGCTAGCCGAGTACGAGCAACTGAAGAACATGGTTGAAGAGATATATACGGCTTCTGGTGTTGAGATACCTATTGAGCATGTCTCCAACAAGAAGAAGAAAAAACAATCACGAGAGGCCGAGCGAAAGAAAAAGAAACAGGAGCAGCGACAGCAGGCCAGACCGCAGACATCAAATGTATTTTCGATGCTCGACAGCAAGCAGACATAGCCTCGCCAGACCGCCAGATAGCTAATTGAACATTGGAAATCAACACCTCGTCTCCTTTCAGGATTTTGGTGTAAACCGATCGTTCAACGCTCTGCGCATGAAATTGCTGGATAGGACACAGCGCTGGTAGGTTCTCTTGCGCCACGTCCAGTCAGGGACGAACTAACGTGCACGACCCGGAAGCACAGTAAGGCAACACCGCGCTTCATCAAGCTGATTTTGCGCGATCAGACATACACCCACATCCCCTTCAGTACGAGCCTGTCTCAAAAGTCTGTACGTTATAGTTTGATCAAACGCAGTGTCCCCACAAACGGACATGCTTACCAAGTTGTCAAAGCGTCGGGGTTGTTGGCTTCATTCATCTACCACCCAACAACCTAGATCTTCCACGTGCTCTGAAGTACGCTCGGTGTCTGGAAGTAGGTAAAAGCCCAGCTTGCGATTGCTGCTCTAGGAATGGACAAGCCTGGCACACAGTCGACCGGCGTTGACGCAATTGTCACACGCACGATTCTTTTTGCCTCCTGTGAGCTCGAACGTTGGCTTTTCGGCGTTCCTGATGAAGACAGGTCAGTTCACACATCTATCCGCAATCTCGCCCGCACCTTTTGCGAATCGGGCGTAAGACTTCTTCCTGTTGGCCTCTGGGAGATAGTCCTTGGTGAACTTTGCCCAGATGGCTGTCGTTGCGTTTCTTCCTAATATCGACTCGACTCGCCAGGTCTCAGACCTCGCGTCCCAGAATACTAATGGGAGCTCTGGGACGGCCTTTTCAGACTTCGTCTTCGCCTTGATGGATGATCTGTCAACGTCAGACCCGTCTCCGTCGTCTTCTCTGTCCACGATTGGACAAAGACTCAAGCCTGCCACCCACGACGCGCTCTTGACCACCTCCTGTGCAATTTTATCTTCGTCATCTTCGTCCCGTACAATCTTCCTCTTCTTGCTTTGGTGACCTACAGAACGTGACGCGCTCAGACCTAGGGAGACGGAAGTGGTCAATCGGTCGGACATGGCGGTACCTACGCGTACCTGATAAGTAAGACGTCCATTCTATGGATCATCTAACCTACGTTTTTCTAGTCTTTGTTCTCCTGCTCTACAAGGGCCTGACGACCTCCGGGCTTCAGCAGCAAGGAAGAGTGACGCAGCCTGCGTAACAGTCTCTTTGGACGCGCTGCCGTCGAGATATCGCTGAACAATCTCGCAAACAGCGTCCTTGCTCATCTTGTCGAGCAACACCGAGCGCGCCTCGGCGCATGCTGCGTCGCTGGAGAGCGCACATAGCACCGGCAGATACTTTTCAGCCATAGTTGTGTTGCGTTGTGTCCGAGTTAGGACGTTATCAAGCAAACAAGCCTGTTCATGGAGACGAGATGGAAGCTAACGGAAGTAGCCAGATGAACAAAGCAAGAGCAAACGGTCATGCAAAGACGACTTCATGCAAGATCGCAAGCGGGAGCAGTTCCATTCCGTGTGAAGACCGTGGAGACAGAGAGACTCAGGACTGCTGTATCGACTGGCCACCGTGAAAGCCTCCAGGCAATTGTTCGATAAGATTAGGAGATGAGAGGCGATATGAGTGAGACATGAGCAAACGGTATTGCATAGAAGCCTTCACCTCGGCTTGTGAACCAAAACAATTGCGACTGACGGCACACGCAGCAATGCTAATTGTCCAAGACCAGCCTCTATATCCCATCTATCACTTCTTTTGACTCACAGTCAATCTCGTAGCAGTGGTCGACCGGAAAGTTTCTTGTCATGTTCACTCAACATATGCAAGTACCCGGGCATGCAAGCAGACGGGAGGCTGCAGCAAAACCAAACGGGCCAGCAAAACCAAACGGGCGTGCAAAAACAACGCGCCCAAAGAAACGCTATGCACAACGACACACAATCTGCTCTACGCTACTGCCATGTGCCTCAAATACTTCGTTGAACACGCGACATGCGATCACCACGAGTACCTTGGCAGCCACCACTGCTCCACTACACAATGCGATCTCGACACACAGCACTTCCTTTACATTAAAGACAGCTTCCCAGTTCCTTGGTCGCCGGGCCTGCAACTGAACTTCCGGTCTGACCGAAGCGCGCTCGCATGCAACACCTGCGCTACCAAGCACGGCGATAAGCTCGACCCAGACGAAGTGCCTGTCCAACACTATTCGCCCATAATCGACTTTGAAGTTAAGGAGATCAGGCCTACTGAATATTGTCTGCCCATCAACGTTGTCAGAGTCGAGATAGAGGACGTTGAGGACGTTGAGGAAGTTGAGGACGAGGATTGCCAGTACGACTATGACTACAAGAGCTTGAGCGACGCGGACGAAGAGGAATGGAGAACCTCAGAGGGAGAACGCGAAACTACTGGGGTTCACACGGCGCAAAACGAAATCCTAGCGCAAACGCACCGAGACTTCATCCAGAGCCAGCTCAAAAACCTTCCCAATTACCTTGCGCAGCAACGGCAAATACCACCTGGACCCGCACCGGAAGCGTACGCGATGGGGAACTGCCTCCACTATCCGATGCCGCACATGGCTTATCTGGCACCTTTATCGAATCTGGGAGTGCCGCTGTGGTATGGAAATGCACCAATCCTGTCTTCCGTACAGACCGTGGCAACTGCACATCGTTCTGACGGCCCACAACCGCAGCGCATGCCATCGCCTGTCCAGAAAACCGCAGTCGAACCAACGACCGCAGCAGTGCTGCCGCACCGTCCTGCGACGCCTCCGCCTTCACCACCAATACATCCTCTGCCGACGCCACCCTTCATCGTTGGCAGCATTACCGATGCATACCTGAGGATGGAGGCAGCTAAGAGAAGACACATGCGTGAGCGCGCACGACGAGCTAAATCGTCGCTGCGAGATGCGCTACCAGCTAGAAGCATGGCGCTCACAGACTTCATGGTAACCAGGAGGAACCGGAAAGGGCATCACAAGGGTGTCGATGCTGCGCAAGACACAGAGGTTGATACATGGTCAAACCTGCCTTTCGCGGGCGAGCATTCGGACACAGAGGGCGGCACAGAGGAGTATACAGAGAGTGTGGAAAATGCAAAAGTGGCTTGTATATTCTCGTGCAGATTGGTTACATCAATGTAGGCAAATACACGTACAATCTTCGGTTATGATGTCTGTTGTATCACACGTGTGCCGTTGACGAGGTTGACATCACGCGACAGCTCGGTTGCACCTGCCCTCGGAAACGGTGACGTCTTTGTCGGCATGAGCATCAACAAACGCCCGTCCGCAAGCCGCGGTTCAGCATCGCTTGTTCCTGGCCATCTGTATTCACTAGCAATTTCTCTCTGTGTGATGCGTACGTAGAGCTCCGCGCCCTCAAATCCTCGAACATCTTCAACCCACCACCTACACAATGGCGTCGCTCCCTCCACAACGCCCCGCGCCGCAGCGCAGAGCATCCCCCTCGGCGGAAGCCTCATCGTCTCCGCACCAGGAGGAAACAACACGTAGCAGCAGCTTCTCCGCCGCCTCAGTAGACTCACAGACGCTCCTTCTGAATTCGCCGCAAGTGCACGCCACCGACAACAATCAAAGCGACGTAGCGCAACAAAGCACTGCGCCGCAGCTGCAAGAAGACGATGAGCCGCGCAAGTGCTGGATCTGCTTCACCGACGAGACAGAAGATGATGCGACAGCCTCGGAATGGCGGTCGCCGTGCACGTGTTCACTAGTAGCGCACGAGAAGTGCTTGCTAGACTGGATTGCAGACATGGAGGCACCTACGGCAGGGCGACGGGCAGGGCGAAAGACGGGGAAGATCCTGTGTCCGCAGTGCAAATCGGAGATTCGAGTAGAGCGGCCGCGCAGTGTCATCGTCGACTCGGTGCGCGTGGTAGAGAAGTTGGCAGGTACGCTGTTGCTGCCTGGCTTTGCCTTTGTCACCGGCACAGCGCTATATTCTACGCTGACACTGGCGGGCACGCACACAATATACGCCGTCTTCGGGACACAGGATGCAGCGCAGATATTGCAGCCGCTATATCAGGCGCCGACTCCAGGCATGCCGTCGTCGCTGGCGATACGGCTGGTCGAGCACCTGCGCCACCACTGGAGGCTAGACATTGGACTGCCGCTGATACCGGCCATCCTTGTTGCCAGCCGAACCACGCTCGCCGACTCGTTTCTCCCATTTCTACCCCTCATCTTCTTCGTCAGCTCAGGCCAGCCAGGCGACGAGATGCTGCAGCTGCAGTGGCCTCCGAGTGCTGCTTTCTCCTTCGCCGCTTTACCCTATCTTCGGGGCTTCTACAACGCATACTACGACCGTGTCTGGGCGCCGCGAGAGCAGAGGTGGCTCAAGGAGATCCAGCCTCGGGCAGGCACTGAGGATGCTGCAGAAGAAGGGGGCCTGCAGTTCCAGCTGGGCGAGGTACATGAACATGATCACGGTCATGAGCACGACCATGACCACGATCACGATGTCGACGAGGTACTGGAGGTGGAAGTAGATTTCGACATCTTTGGCGACTGGAACAATGGCGGCGCGGCACACAATCACAACCACGACGTCATCGAGGCAGCACAGCCAGCCGAACATGCACATCCTCTCGATGCCCCACCGCTAGACAATGAAGCTGAAGCACCACACATCCCCGAACAGGAGGCAGCACCTGCGCCCAACATCCCCGCCCAACACCGCCGCCAACGCGTCCGACGCGAACGCAACATAGCATTCTCCACTACCTCGCTTGCCGACACCATCCTCGGCGCCCTGATATTCCCCTCCATAGCCGCCGCCATGGGCGAACTCCTCTGCATCTCCCTACCAACAAGCTGGATCACACCCCCTAAGGGCGCAACGACTACGTCCTGGCTCGGCGGATGGTTAGGAGCTGGAGCGATGCAGGGTGGCAAGGGTAGGCCGACGGGCTTCTTGCAGACGAGGTGGGGCAGGAGTTTGGTGGGCGGATGTTTGTTTGTGGGGATTAAGGATGCGGTCATGCTCTATGTTAGGTGGAAGATGGCGCAGAATCATAGGAGGAGGAAGGTTTTGGACTACGATGGGGGGAGGAAGAGAGACCAGGGCACTGCGAGGGCGTAGATGAGACCAAAGTTGATGATGAATATCCACCCAATTCCATTGAGCCTTTCCAGTGGTTCTCCATCGATTTTACAACCCACTCCTCTACTCCAAACCCTTCTCAATCATCAATGCCGCGGGTAGGCCTATCCGCCCGCGTGTAGATAAGTCCACTGCTCGCAGGTAGTATTCGGCGCTATGTCATACAGCGATCCTTCTTAGGGCAATCTTTGGACGTTACTCAAGGGCGAAGCTCTACCTCTGCTCTACTATGCCTACAAGCGCGGCATCAACACCTGGGACACTGCCGACATCTACGGCCAAGGAACTTCCGAACTCATCATTGGCAATGCTATCAAGGACTACTAGATACTTAGATCCAACCTCGTGCTTCTTACGAAGTGCTACTTTGGCGTCGATTCTGAGATTGTCGAGGCTGGACAAACTGATGTTGCAATGAGCATGATGAATGATGGTCATATGGTCAACTGTGTTGGGTTAAGTAGGAAGCATATCTTTGATGCGGTTGATGCTAGTGTGGCTAGGTATGTTGCGGCGCGTGAGCTTATGCATTTCATACTGATACGCTGAAGACTAGGGAGGTACATCGATGTTCTGCAGATCCACCGCCTCGATCACGACACGCCGCCGGGAGAGATCGTGCGCGCTCTCAACGATGTGGTTGAGAGTGGGAAGGTGCGATACATTGGCGCCAGCTCAGTAAGCTTCGTATTACTCCGAGTCTTGAGCGCCAACCTACTGATCATGCTCGTCTATAGATGGCAGCCTGAGAGCTGCAGATGCTCAACAACGTTGCCGAGAAGCACGGATGGCACAAGTTTATCAGGTCAGTCACTAACACGTTTGCGAGTCATGAAACGTGCACTGACGATACGCTCTGCAGCATGCAGAACTACCACAACCTCATCTACCGCGAAGAAGAGCGGGAGATGCACCCTTACTGCGACTACGCCGGCATCAGACTCGTTCCATGGCCCCCCTTAGCAACTGGCATCCTGGCACGTCCTTGATCACAGATTGGCACTACAGAGCGTGCGCAAAAGAACAGTATCTGTCGTACATGTATCAGGACGAAGACAAAGCTATAGTGAACCGCGTGGAAGAAGTCAGCAAGAGGTTCGGCCAAAGTATAGCAAATGTGGCCACTGCTTGGAGTCTGAAGAAGGGCGTGAATCGGATTCTTAGGCTCAACTCGATTGAGAGGATTGATGAGGTGGTGGGTGCAGTCGGACTGGAGTTGAGTGAGGACGATGTCAAGGCGCTCGGGGAGCCGTACAAGGCGAGGGCTGTTGCACCCATGTGGTAGACTCAAACGTTCACGTACTCGATTTGCAGCGATACTAGATGGCTCACTCACGCACCCACAGGCCGTTGAAATCTCACAACGGGACCTTGTTTTCATATTTTCCTTCAATTTCCTTCATTTGCTCTAAGCCTTTCTCTCCAACTTCGCCAACACATCCGCCAACTCCTCGATTACAACCTGATGATCATCCCACTGCTTCAACCCACTGACCACCACAACCGCCACCGGGCCCTCCACATTCTTCACAAACACCGGCACTCCGCCTCCATGAATTGCATACTCCTTCGCAGTCTCCCCCAAACCCAACTTCGTCTTGAACTTCTCCTCGTCGCCTTCAAACTTGTTGTGCAGCTGCCACGTACTCGCCTGCCACCTAATCACTGCGTTTCTCTTGCGGGCAACCCAGAAGTCGTTGTCCAGTGCTGTCCCGGAGTGCGTTACGGAGTGGAAGAGCACGTGGGGTGGTGTGCTGATGGTGGAGATGTGGATCACAGTAGGCTTATCGAAGGAAAGGAGGCGTGTGCGGAGGGCGCAGCCAAGCTGGAAGGCGACACTCGCGTTCCAGTATGGGAGGACTGATGCTCTTTCCTGTCTTGCGATCTCTTCGATGTCGCGGGGTGCTTCGCCCAGGGCCTTGAATTCGGGGTTGGCGACGTCTTGTGGTGCCATCTTGAATATTGTGTTGGAGTTTGTGGATTTTCAAGATCAGCGCAAAGGAAGGCGGGAGGTTCTTATATGCGCTTGCGATGTTGATGCACGTGTTCTCCGCTCTTTGTAGAGCTTGCGTTGATGACGGACCCACAGAGGCTTCGACTGTTAGGATTGCCGTTTTGGGATGCATCTTTGGCAAAAGGCCCGATGTGCCGGCACCTTCTCGACTGTCACCTTTTACTATTCACGCTAATCAGAGTACTCTAAAGCACTCCAGGGTGTGGTTGCAAAATCGCGCCATGGTATACAAACTTACCCTATTTTCTTTTGAGTTATTCCACTTTACATAATCAGTTACAGTCTCTCTTCCACTCTTCCTGCTATAAACATTCATCTTCAAATCTGCGTTTCCTATGTTCACAAATCCAAAATGCCAGCACCGTCCAGATATGACAAGTCCCTCGACGACTCCTTCAACCACCAAATAAGACTCTCATACCAAGAGTCAGCGTACCTCCGGCTCGCAGAAATAATTCTTCAGGTATACACAAGATCAGCACCACCCTGCTCACCCCTCCTCCTCCTCCTCCTTCAACCCTCATTTTTCTCCACTGTCTCTGTTGTCTCCAAACCCCCTACTACAGATACCTTCCCCTGGTAGCATAGCCATCCCGAAACTCCCAGAAAGTGTCGAAGCGTACGAGTACATCAGCTTCAACCGTGCCATCGCTGAAGAATTATTCAGTAATTTCTCGAGGGTTATCGGGGAATGGGGACACTCTACGCCCAATAACCTTCTTTCCTTTGCTCGCGGGGGTATGAAAAGGCTGAATATGGCGCAAAGCAAGGAGTGTTGAAAACCATCCGAAGCGCGCTATGGAGGGGGTTGGGATTGGTGAAGAAGTCCAGGGTATCATTTTAGACGCCAAGTTCAGAGACATGTTCGAAACGAAGGATTTGTACGAGTGGCAGCGAGAGACCTTGGGGAACACGATGGCCAAGCTTGAAAAACTGCGGAGGGATGGATTGGGGTTTGAGGTTTTTACACGCCGCGTCGCGTGATGAATTTGATAGAGGAAAAGGTAGAGAACGAAAGTACGGGGTCGGTAAAGCGCTGCACAACGCTATGAGATAAACATCCACACATCTTCCCAATGCACCCTGTCGCCAAAACGCCGGTTTATGCAAAACCATGTCGCTATTACCCCTGGGCCAGCATATCACTCGCTCTGTTCAAATAATCCGCCGTCTTCTTGATCTCCTCCTTCGCCCGCGCCCAATCCTTCTTCTCAATCGCGTCTCTCGCAAACGGAAAAACGCTACTCTCACGTCCGTTCGATATCGACGGCGCGAAGAGGACGTGCTTGAACTGTTCGCGGCCGGGCAACTGCAATCATTAATTTCGCGTCCCGTATGGGAAAGGAGAGGGTGACTTACACCGTGCGGACTCGCATCCTTGCTATCCGTCGGCAGATCCAGCAGTAACGTTTCGAAGCGTCCCATCTTGTTGTTGTGATTGATGCGCTGCAGGGTGATGCCGCTAGTTTCGAAGCCGCCCGTCGCATAAACCTGATTATACCAAAACGTCTCCCACTTATGGAACTCGTCCGCTTTACCCTTCAGTCCCGACAAACTCTGCACCAGCGGCTCGAAGATCTCGATATCGTAGTCGCCTCCAGCCTTTTCTGTTTCGTCCAGCAGCTTCTGGCCCTCGCGCTGCAGATGCGAGGCGTAGTTTGTGAGACGCAGCGGTATGATGGGCTCTTGGCTGAGTTCGAGGATGAGGAGGACGAGGAGTTGGGCGTGGAGCTGGTGGTATAGGAAGCCTGGGTCGATTTGCTGCGCCATCCAATCGAAAGTCTCGTAGCACGACCCGGCCATGGTGTTGGGGTGAGCCGTTTTCGGGGCGGCGAAACCAAAGTCGAGAGACGAGGTTCCGGAGATGAACTGAAAGGGGGCGGAGTCGCGGTTTGCGGCGAGGTTGCCGACGGAGGAACCTTGCATTTCCCACACTTCTTTGAGGGTCTTGTTGTCGTTGTGTGGATCGTTGAGGCGGTCGAGTACGCGGTGCCAGGCGTGTGTAAAGAGGGGCGAGCCGTTGGCCCAGAGCTTGTCGCCGGTGATGGCGGCGTCGATGTTGAGGTAGACGAGGGCGTTCTCGCGGAGGGAGTCGACGTTGGCCTCGACGTGCTCGGTTGAGCCGATGCGATTGTATTCGCCCGCGTCCCAAGATGCGAATTCGATGGTGCGGAGGGGACGCCAGCCTTGTGCGCGTAGGTCGCCGAGGACGCGGGCGACTTCGAGCATGATGGCGGTGCCGGAGCCAGGGTCTGCGGCACCGAAGCAGAAGGAGTCGCGGTGGTTGCCGACGATGATCTTGTGAGCCGTGTCTTCGAGGCCGCGGATAGAGCCAAAGACGTTGGTGATGCGCTGCTGCTCGACTTCGTCTTGGAGGTTGTTCAGATTGACCCTGGGCGACTTGTCAGGATGGCCGGAGAACCATTTGTCGCCCACGTCCGGCACGGCGCCTGTCCAATCCTCCGGCAGTTCTTCGCCGATTCCATCCAATGACTGTAACAGCTTCTGCGCATCCTTCCAGGACAGAGGCAAACTGGGAATCTTGACCAGTCCAGGGTTTTTGTCCTTGGGCATACGATCCTGCTTCTTGGTGCTTGGCTTGCCAGGTGTCAGCGGGTCGCCGAGAATCATGTTGGACAGCGCAGCTGAGCCGCGTTGGACGCTGTCCGCAGGTCGCCATTTGCCGTCCGGCCAAGGTTTTCCCTTCTTGAAACCATCTTCGGCCGGATCCGAGTAGACGAGCACACCGACGACACCCGCGTCTTGTGCCGACTTGATCTTCATGGCCAGGTCTGGCTGTGTACCGTAGAGCCTGCACAGGGCCACAGCACCCTGGACATCCACGCCGCTGTCCCACAGTCTCTTGAAGTCCTTCTTGTCGCAGTAGTTGACGTAGATCAGCGGTCCTTGGACATTCCGGGACGCAGACATGGCGTGGAACGCGGGTGTCTGAGCCCTGGGCGGATTATACACCGGCGGCTCCTCCAGCATCGCCTTCCACTTCCTGTCCTCTGGCTCCACAATCTCCACGCCGCGCCCGCCCTTCTTCGCGTAGTTCATGTACACCCAGTACTCGTCGTGCGTGAACGTGTCCATGTGGGCGTCCTTGAACTTGCCCTCGATCCACTGGCCGAGCACGTAGCTGCCCTCGGTGCCGCCCAGGTGGTCGTAGCTAGTGATGTACTCGAGCGTCTTCTCGATGCGCCAGCCCTCGATGTTCTTCTGGGCCTGCTGACGCACCCACTCGGCGTTGAACTGCGCGCCGAAGCCGCCGCCCATGGGCACCACCTCGCTCACCACCAGCATGTAGACCAGCGAGACGATGACGATCAGGCCGCACAGCCGCGCGATCACGCTCCACCCGGGCTTGTACGCGTCGGGCACGGCGGGCAGGCGGTCGGTGACGAAAGCGAAGCTGGGGCGGAAGCGGCGCGGCCAGCTGAGCCGCGGCAGGTTGAGCGACGACAGGCTGCTCGTGAAGCTGTAGAAGCGCTTGGAGAAGCGGCCGCGGCTGCGGTTGCGGCGTGCGCGCCCGTCCTCGGCGCTCTCGGGGTCGAGGATGCCCATCTCCTCCATGATCTGCCGCTGGTCCTCGTCGTGGCTCTCGCGCACGGGGCTGCCCAGCTCCGAGTCGCCATCGTCGACCGACTGCACCGACGGCGGGTGGTAGTAGCCACTGCGCCGCGCTGGACCGCTGCCCTGTACGTGCACGTCGGGGGAGAGGAGGCCCTGCCGCTCGGCGTCGTCGCTGACCTCGTTCGGCCCACGGCGGGCGGTCGATGCATGGCGGGAGCTGGTCGCTTCTTCGTACGACGGAATGGGCGGGAGTTCCGGGGGGTCGTAGAGGTGCTTCTCGTCGGCCATGGCGGCGACGGCGGCGGCGGCGGCGGCGGGTGTGATGTGGCACGATTAAGGTATGACGGTCGGTGCTATTGGCCCAACATAGTGGATCAGGGATAGGACAACCACTCCAAGGAAAACACGCTGACAACACAGGCAAGAAGAGGAAGGGTAAGATATGTCGTCGGGGGTGGTCGTGTCCGAGGGAGGCGGAGATGGAGCGCGCGGCATCTCGGAAGTGATGAAGCTTGGTATCTTGAAACCCTCCCCCCAACGGCTCGACGCTCTCTGAACGACACTTCGACCACGCTGGTTTCAGCACGACCAACACGCTGCTAATTGCACGCAAGCTGAAACGCAATGCCTCACATTTCGCACCACTACACTCTCACCTGCGCGCATCACTGCACCCTCCCCTACGCCCTCCCCTACGCCCTCCCCTACGCCCTCCCCTTCGCGCATCGCTACTCTCTGAATCACTACAATCTCACCTACATCGCCCGTCCGCCAGTCACCTTGATCGTCTCTCCGTTCACGTAGCTGAACAGCGGACTCGCAACCGCCAGCACCGCGCTCGCCGCCTCGGTCGCCGTGCCCGGCCTCCTCAGCGGAATGTCGGCGTGCTCCTGTCCGCCCGCCGCCTCCTTCTGCTTCTGCGGAATGCCCAGCGCGACCTTCTCGCCGTCGGGCAGCTGCACAAATGCACCGGCCTCCTTGGCTGCTGTCAGGCGCGTCGCAATGTGACCGAACGCGACGGTGTTGGCGCGCACGCCGAAGTTGGGGCCCCATCTGCAATGCCGTTAGCGCGAGAATGACCGGTTGAGATGATGCGAGCCCTCACTCCTTCGCAATCGTCTTCGTCACACCCGTTACGCCCGCTTTCGCAAGCGCATAGTTGATCTGCCCCGCATTCCCGTGCAGCCCGCTGGTACTCGAGATGTTGATGATGTTCCTGGGCTCGCCGTCCTTGACGCGGAAGTACGGGGCCGCAGCGCGCACAATCTTGAAAGGCGCCGTCGCGTGCAGGTCCACGATGGTGTGCCATTGCTTGTCCGTCATCTTGTGGATCACGCCGTCCCATGTGTAGCCCGCGTTGTTGACGATGATGTGGATCTTGCCGTTGCCAAAGTCGGCCGCTTTCTGGATCAGTGTTTTGATGTAGGCGTCGTCGAGCACGTCGCCGGTGACCGCGATGGCTTGGCCGCCGCTGGATTGGATGGACGAGACTACGCCCTCAGCCTTCTCTGTATGCTGTTAGCCACGCGAACGAAGTGAGGTGCCGTACACGCGAGCATGAAGGTAGTTTGAGTCCTCCGTCCCACATACTGGCATCGACATCCGCAACAACGACCTTTGCTCCCTCGTTCGCAAACAGCCTTGCGCATTCAGCGCCAATTCCCTGCCCAGAGCCTGTAATAATCGCGACCTGGCCAGCCAACATGCCCTTGGGGTAGTTGAGGTGGCCGGCGATCTGATCGACACGCTTTGACGCGGACATGGTGGTGGACGACAGGCAAAACTCTGACGATGGATAGGAGACTGTTTACGCGTTTGCACCCTTTGGAGGACGTAGAGGATCGTATGTATGCAAAGCCTCTTACTCCAACGCACAGAATGCGGAGTAACCGAGAGCTGCCAAACCTCCGAGGTTCATCGACAAGCGACGATCCTGCTTTGAGCGTAGTCCGGTGAGATCATCGCTGACTCGCCCTGCAACGACATCGCATCATCCAACGCGAGAAAGCGATGTTTTTTCTGCGCCTCGGCAGGTCTTTGTAAATCTTGCGAATCATGCAGTCACATAGCCTGTATCCGGACCCTCAAGCGAATGCAACCGTTCTTCTTGGGATGCTGGACCAACCTGGAGCTATGCTTCTTCAATCTGGAGAATCATGTTGTAACCATTTAGAAGGGTTCCTTGACGCTGTTATCCGCGCTATGCTGTGGGGTCGGGTAAAGCCAAAACAAGCTAATAGTATGTGAGGCGTGGTGCTGTGGCACAATACACGATTCTGGACTGGGTCATCTCTAGCCAACGAAGACGCAGGCAACTGATGAACCCATGACAGGCATGCCGTTTGAAGCGTGCCATTTTCATATCGGAACCCCAAGATGTCTGGCCATCTCCGGAAGATAGCGTTTGGTATACATTCAGAAGGCGGCAACCGATGAACTGTGCCGGCATCCTTGAAATTGCCCGTGCGAAGGGCCATGACCTTTATTTTGTGACTGAACAGAGATGAATTGTACATACCACTGCCTTGTGGGAACCCTGGGTTACCAATGATCATGCCATCCGCCAGTGTACAGATTCTCTCCACCCAGGTATGCACGTGCACGTAGCCAAATGAAGCTAAGAATTGCCAGAATGAGCTTCATTTTGATAAGAACAATTTGAACACCCACACTGAGATGCTCAAGTCTGAACACGCTACCATTTGACAAGATGTATCAAAGCATCGAACGAAAGTTGGTGGCTCCCAATGACTTGACTGCAAGCATGCTGCTGAAACTCTCAAGCTTACCCGTTCCATCGCTCACTTCTCCCGACCCATCACAAGGGAGCGTGCTGTCAAATCTTGAAACGTTATCCAGTATCCTTGTAAGCTGCTAGGCGTTGATGAGATTTCGCTTCTCTAAGCCTGGCCTTCTGCATAAGACTATAGGTAGGGCAACAAACTAACAAGGCTTGTTGTAGCACTGATCACTGCATGTCAAGTGTGCGTGGCTTGATCCACGGAAAAGACGGGGCTGTTCCGCTTGAAGCCGTATCATTGTGGAACATCACGCACAACGTCTGTCTGTATGAACCGGCAAAAGACTGTTGGTGACCGCTTCCTGGGTTGTGACTGTCGCGCTGAAGTGTAACTGACTTTGTTCATCGCATACTCCATTCGTGTACCGTGACTTGATGGCTGCTGCTGCACTTGAGGGCGCTTTGGTGCTGGGTAGGGTGTTTGCAAGATCCAGTTGCATGTCCATGCCGCGGCTACAACTGTGCTTCTGTGGACACCGAATAGACCAAGTCCACTGTTAGATGAATATTGTATGGCGTCGCTGAGCAGGTGTGTTGAAAGCAGCCTGACTCGTTTTCTCAGAGGACCCTAATCCATCGCTAGTACAAGTTTGTTCAAGGCAATGATTTACCCGCACGTCTCTTGTGGTCTATTGCTCTATCGTACCGCCAGCAAGACAGGAGATGATACCAGAATAACACCAGCCAGACGAGAAACATGGTGACTGCACTAGCTACAACAGCAACTAATGCAGCTATAGTGAAGCCATACGAAGCCCGTTGGAAGTCACGGTTATTCTGTAGCACCGACGTCGCAAGGCCAACCTGGAGCGCCGAAAGCAAGACAGAGAGCACAGCGAATACAGCTAGGGTCCATTTGAAATGGCGTCCAAAGAAAGCATTGTACCAGGTCGATCCCGCTCTGTATCCCCGAATCAAGTTCCTCAGCGAGTGTGCAGGGGGCATAAGCCTGTAGATGGTATTGAGTCGACTCAATCGTAGTTCTCCATACTTGTAGCGCGTACTGACTTCGCTCAACGTGACTAGGTTGATGTTGTCAAGAAAGGTGTCCAGGAACTCCACCCAGTTTGGCCATGTGATATCCTTCGACAGCAGGCCAACCTCCTGTGCCATCACGAGGTCGCTTTCGTGGCACACGAGCCAGGCATAGGAGAGTAGAAGCCCACATGCGGACCGGTGGAGATCCCCATCAGAACATAGATGCTTGCTCCAGTAGTCGTAGTCAAGCAAGTAGAGTGGCAGTGGCTTGATGAAGATCTGAGTTTCGAACCAGACAAGATGCTCGTCTGGATCCTCGGTGACTAGTATGCTGCGGCCGAGAAGTCTCTGTCTGTGCAAGGGCCTGGCAGCATTCGGCAAGCCAGCAAGCCAGAGATGATGGTGAATGGCATTCAGTCTTGGCGTCTTCAGGTTGAGCCCCACGTAATCGGCAGGGCATTTGTTGGGCCTCACAAAGTGGTTTCCTTGATAGACGATAGCAGGAAAGATTGGGTTGCTCAGAGGCACCGTAGCAGCGGTGTTTCGACAAGGGTTGTTCTTTGAGATAGGCGGGGCACGCTTTCCCATGGGCAGCGGTCCAGCAGACGAACGATGGTAAGCTGTTGGCAGAGTGTCTGCCCGGACGGTCTGAGTCCTCTGTGTCAGTATTGCGGAAATGTTTGCATCTGAAGGAGCACGCCTAGAAGCTTGCATCATGTAGAGAGCTGAGCTTTGCGAGAAGGACGCAGGCCCAGACACGACTGGGAGAAGCCGCGCTTCACTTCGAGAACGGGGCCGCCTCGGGCGGGTACGGTTGCGGGCGGGAAGGAAGGCCCCACACGCTAGACAGCCAAGTTAACACGCTAAGACACCCCCACGCAACACAGGACAGGGTCACCCTCTATCGACAACATAGCGCTCAGCCCTGCACGCCCCTAGCCTACATCGTCTTGCCTGCATCAGCCCATGCGGCACAATCCAGCGATGGCCGCTCACCACCTGCTCATAACGGTGCCAACCCTCCGCCGGCCTGCTCGCGACCTCCAGGCTGTAGACCTTGCCACTCACCGCGCTCAGCCATGCACCTCTGAACCAACATGGCCGCCATAAAGGGCCCCGTTCTCCGCGTCACCGGCCTCTCAGCCTCGCAGCCTGACGAGGAGCTGACAGCATCGCTGGAGGCTGCTATCAACGACAGCCTGACCAACGAAGAGAAATCGAAGACGGACGTCAGAGTGGCTGTTGTGCCCTCCTGCTACAACGATGAGGAAAAGGTGGCGCTGGTGGAGTGCCGTGGCGGGTTGCCTGCGTTTCTGTCAGCGCTGACAGCCGATCCGCTGGAGGAGTCGCAGATGGAGATGGGCGACACGGACATTAACTTCGACCAGCACTTCTTCGGCTTCACCCAACTGTATACGCCAACGTCTGACGCACCAGTTGCTGCAGAGTACGCACCATGTCGTTTTCTTTTCGTCTAGACGGCCCACTCCTATTGTTTGTCGTTGCTGTCTAGTTGCTGACTTGATGCGCGCAGTGTAATCGCCATCACTGGCCTCGACGGCCACGCGTACGGCTCATGGCGCGGCAAAGGCAATCTCGGGCGCATGTGGCTGCGCGACTTCCTGTCCAAAGACTTGCCGTGCTGTCGCACGATGATCTACGGCTACAACTCGAAGCTGTCGAGCCACGGGGTGGACACCATCATGGACTACGGCCGGGGCCTGCTAGAGGAGCTCAAGAAGATCCGGGCCACAGAGGAGGTGAGTACGGATACAGGCTGCTGTTGTGAGTGTGTGAGTGCGCAAGCGCAAGGCTGACAGTTGCAACGCGCTAGCTACGACAGCGGCCGCTCTTCTTCATCGCACACAGCTTTGGCGGTATCATACTCGCTCATGTAGGTCGCACGCTCAGGAAGCTACGCGCACAGAGCTAAGCAGCTCCTTAGTGCCTTGTCAAGGCGGTCCAGACGACGGAAGACGACCATCCGACGATAGCTTCTCTGCACAAGGCCACCTACGGCATGCTTCTGTTTGGGATCCCGCACAGGGGGCTCGTCGTAGACGACATCCAGAAGATGCTTGCTGGGGAGCACGGTCACCCGCGCAGAGAGCTGCTGGGGCAGATCAAGGAACAGTCCGATCTGCTAGCATTGCAGCTAGACGACTTCAGGAACCTCGTTCGAGACCGCAAGGTGGTGAGCTTCTACGAGACAGTGCAGACGCGGCAGCTGCAGTTTGTACGACGTCGCGACACCAGCAAGGCGCGAGAAGGTCGCTGACGCGTTTGTGACAGGACAGCGAGAGCAAGCGATGGACGAGGACTGGCGACTTCGTCACCGCCGTAGACAGCGACTCAGCGCTTCTCCAGCTCCCAGATGCTATGGAAGAGAAGATCCCCATAGACGCCGACCACTCGATGATCGTCAAGTTCGACAACAAGAACGTTCGAGGGTACAGCAGCGCGCGGGACAAGCTTAGGCAGTTTGCGCGGGATGCTCCAGGTGTGGTGGCAGATCGCTTTGGTACGTAGCTGTGGTACTTTCAATCTATCCTCTGCCAAGCAAAGAGGTGCGTTTGTATTCCTACTATTCTACTTGTTTCTAGCTAACACCGCCGGCTCCCAGCGCGGGCGCAGAACAGGCCTAGACCGTCAATCATGGTACCGTTTCCCAGAGACGATACATTTGTGGGCCGAAAGGATGTCCTTGCAAAGATCCAGGAGATTCACAGAAGCCCAGCTTTGCGAGGTCACAGCCGGGTAGCGCTTGTTGGTCTAGGAGGCGTAGGGTACGTTTTGCCGGACTCAAGCGGTGACGGACTTGTGCTTATGTTGTTTTGTAGAAAGTCGCAGATTGCTATCGAGTACGCGTACAGAGTCAGAGAGGCTGCGCCGCACATGTGGGTGTTCTGGGTGCACGCGAGCAACGCCGCCAGGTTCAAGCAAGCCTACCAAGAGATTGCGGCCAGGGTCGAGCTTCCAGGTCGCGACGATCCAAAGACGAACATCCTCCGCTTGGTGCACAACTGGCTCTGCGACGAGAGGAACGGGCGATGGCTGATGATTGTTGACAATGCTGACGATGATCGAGTGTTTGCCTCTGCCAGCGCCAGCGTTACCGACGACCTGGGTAGCGCTGCGCAAGGGCTTGAACCCACCCGGGAAACGGCGGCGCCGTTGGCAAGCTTCCTTCCGCAAGTGGCAAGCGGCTGGATACTAGTCACTTCGCGGGATCTGATTGCCGCGGTGAACCTAGTGGGAGCAAGACACAACGTGGTTCAGGTGGAGCCGATGGGCGAGCGAGACGCACTGGCGCTATTAAAGTCGAAGACGCGGGTGGACGAGTCGTCTGAAGGCGACGCAAGAGCGCTTGTGAAAACGCTAGAAGGCATCCCGCTTGCTGTCACGCACGCAGCTGCATACATTGAAGTGAACCAGCCAGGCATGGGTCTCTCTACATACCTCGAGCTGTTCCGTGAGAGCGAGGAGAACCAAGCGTCTCTCCTGAACAGCGAGGACGCAAGAGACCTACGGCGGGACGCCAGCATGTCAGACGCAGTCATCACTACCTGGCAGATATCGTTTGAGCAGATCCGGAAGACGCGACCCGAGGCAGCGGATCTACTCTCGCTTATGACCATGTTCGACCGGCAAGGGATCCCTGAGCACGTGCTGTTCGACGGCAAGACCCGATTGCAGTTCACCGAGGCTGTGGGACCGTTGTTCCGCTTCTCTCTAGTCTGGGCGCAAGCTGGGAAGCAGCCAGGCCAGCAGGTCGGGGACCAGCTGCTTGAGATGCACAGCTTGGTGCAACTAGCGACAAGAGAATGGGTGAAGTTGCACGGTCAAGTTGATGTGTGGGAGAGCGCTGCGCTGCGGATCATGGCTGCGGCGTTCCCCAACGGGCAGCATGAGACGTGGGCGGCTTGTCGGACTCTGCTTCCACACTCGACGAAGGTACTTGGCTACAGCACGGAGAAGGACGAGGAGTCGAAGCTGCATCGAGCGACTATCGCGACCAACACAGCGTGGTATCTGACGCTGATGGGGCAGTATGCAGAGGCAGAGCGGATTGGGCACAGTGCAGTGATGGTGAGGGAGGAAGTACTTGGGCTTGAGCACCCGTACACGCTCACCAGCGTCAGCCAGCTTGGGTCGGTGCT